GCAGTGGAAGACGACGACCTGGAATCTTCAGTTCACGAAGGTCGACTTCCATGAGGAAGGAGAGATACTGGAGAAGGACGATTGTATGGAATGGCATTTCACCTTATAGTAATTATTCACTTTAGTGAGGGGCAGTGTCTTGAATGCTGATGTCTGTCTTATACATTCCTTTCAATTAGTACAATTGTGTTAAAATATGACCATGTGGTGTTTTTGCTTTAGCTCTTCAGGATGATGAGGGGGAAAACAATGATGGTATCTCATTCAGCTCCCAGTCTGGTCCGGCATGGGTAAGTATAGACAGACACTACACATATGACGAGGTAGGGCGACTTATTTCAATTCAGTTAAGATTATTTTAAATAATATTGCAAAGGGCATTTGGTTATATTGATTCAAGGCACGCCCTGACTTCAGGCTGTTGGTTCCTGCAATTCTAGTTGCACCAGTTTGAGAGAGTCTGATGTTCATAATCTGATGTTCATATGTGATGTCCTCCTCAGCTGCTGAACCATGTCATCAACATTATGCGGGAGAAGAACCCTAACATGGTGGCCGATGAGAAGAGGAAGTTTGTTATGAAGCCCCCACAGGTGGTCTAAGTGGGCACAAGGAAGACCTTGTTTGTCAACTTCATGAAAAATAAAACACTAATATATCTTGTAGAAAGAGGAGGAAGGGAAGCGCTACTAAGGTACACAATAGTAAATGTTGGTAGACAGAAGGTGCTCTTTGGTCAAAGGGGTGAATTGGTCATCAAAAAGAAAGGAGGACCGAGGCACTCTTCATATAATTAATTAAAATGCCTTTATTAGTATGGCATGTTCAATAGAAACAAGGTTTTTTACAAATCCGACACGTTTCGGCTGCAAGGCCTTCGTCAGGGAGTATAAAGAAATAATACAATGTCCTCTTTTGAACAGCTTTTCCAATTAGCCCTAATTTGAAGAGGGAGTGGTTACAAAGTTGATTGGACACACCTAGTAAGCAATACTATACACATTAAAAAGTGAAATACTGTAACTATGTTATCATACAACTCCAAGTTAGAAGTATCAGAACACTTAGAAAGGTAGTTCTAACCTTTAAATATGACTGGGAAAAGTGTCAAAAATAAGAAAGCAATATATTCCATAGTACACTAGAAACCAGCAAAACATGAACAACAACAGTCTAAACATAGCTGAGGGCAATTGAGCAAAATGTCCACTAGATGACAGCAAATGGACCTATCACAACCCTACAGGAAGGGTGAGAAATCCATATCTTTATTTAAATCAGGGTATTTAGTGGCCTGTAGTTTGTAAATCCAAAAACGTTCCCTTTGGTTTAACTGTTTAAGACGGTCCCCTTTTCTAATAGAGGCCGGAATATGATCAATACCCATAGCTTGTAGGGAGGCAGGGTTACCATGGTGTAAGGACTTGTAGTGCCTTGCCATGAGGTAGTCTTCATTGCCTACCCCTATGGCGTACTTGTGTTCCGCTAAGCGGTCTTGAAGGCGTCTCTTTGTCCGTCGAATGTAGAACACCTTGCACTGTGGACGTTCCAATCTATAGATGACATGAGTGGTTTTGCAGTTAATGAAATGCTTGACGTAATACTCCATTTTGGAAGCTGTGTCAACAAAATACTTTTTCTGTGCAATATTTCTGCAATGGTTGCACTGGTTACATTTAAAAGAGCCCTCTTCAAATTAGGGCTAATCGGAAAAGCTGTTCAAAAGAGGACATTGTATTATTTCTTTGTACTCCCTGACGAAGGCCATGCAGCCGAAACGCGTCAGATAAAAAAAAAAAACTTGTTTCTATTGAACATGCCATACTAATAAAGGCATTTTAATTAATTATATGAAGAGTGCCTTGGTCCTCCTTTCTTTTTGATGACTAATATATCTTGATTAGATAAGTATTCAACACCCTGAGTCAATACATGTTAGAATCACCTTTGGTACTGATTTCAGCAGTGAATCTTTCCGGGTTAGTCTCTTAAGAGTTTTGCCCACCTGGATTCTACACAATTTGCACAATTTAAGTCTAAACTGTAACTAGGCCACTCAGAAACATTCAATGTTGTCTTGGTAAGCAACTCTTGGTCATCAATTTGGTTTTGGTAAGCAACTCCAGGGGCCTTGTGTTTTAAGTTATTGTCCTGCTGAAAGGTGAATTTGTCTCCCAGTGTCTGTTGGAAAGCAGACTGAACCATTTTTTTCTCTAGTATTTTTCCTGTGCTTAGCTCTATTCCGTTTCTTTTTATCATAAAAAACTCCCTAGTCCTTGCCGATGACATGCCACCACTTCACGATAACAGCACTTATAGTACAGTTGACCAGGGCAGATCTAGCAGGGCAGAAATGTTATGAACTGACTTGTTGGAAAGGTGGCATCCTATGACGGTGCCATGTTGAAAGTCACTGAGCTCTTCAGTAAGGTCATTCTACTGCCAATGTTGACCTATGGAGATTGCATGGCGGTGTGCATGATTTTTATACACCTGTCAGCAACAGGTGTGGCTGAAATAGACAAATCCACTCATTTGAAGGGGTGTCCACAAACTTTTGTGTATATTATTAAGTACAATTTATACAGGGAATCATATTACATTGGTGTATTGGTGACCAGAGCAAAATATGTAAAGCAGGGGTTGGCAACAGGTGGCCCACGGGCCAAAACCGGCCCACAAAAAAGACTGTAAAGTCACCAGGAATTCCACAAAAAAAGAGTTTAATTTAGTACATCTGTTCCCAAGTATTCCCACGAATAAAGGAATAGACATATGTGATCATCTCAATGTAATCAAGTTATTGTTATTTGAAAATAACAATCTATTTTTGGGCTTAGTTGTGGTAAATTTGAAGTACACAAATTGTTAGAATTATGCCGGCCTCCCGACCATCCGCTCCGACAAAAATCGTCCCGCGGCTGAATCTAGTTGCCTATCCCTGAAGAATGGTTATAGATGCAAATTATCTGGTTATCCTTCACTTGTGGTTAATATTTAGACACTCGGTATGTCATGTTTGCGTGCCTCATCTTGGTTTGTGTTTGGCTTGCAGAGGAAATGTGACGTGTCACACCTTTCGCTCCCCTGACACCATCCTCTGACCCTCCCCTGGGCCGGAGATTTGGATACCCTTGATAACTGGACTTTGGTTTGGACTGTGAGAGGGTTTGTTGTTGTTGCTGCATTATGCCCAGGGTGTGAGGGGAAAAAAAGCTACATGCTTTGAGGCTCAAAGGTCTTGCATGTCAAAAGGAGCTGTGCACGGATGCATTTGTCTTGCAGGCAAATCCCCAATTTTCAGTTTTCTCAGCTGTGATAGATTCCTTCAGAGCCTCTCTCTATTCCCTCCAAGTGAGCATTCTTCCTACATGTTTTTCTTCCATCGTATATAGCCCACATATTGAATCATCAAGACAACTCTGTTATGACAAAGTAATTGATATTGGCTTCCCTCAGGTTGAAGCATAGGGGTGTGTAAACAAACATTGAAAGATGCATTCAGGGAGCTAGGTTTCAGTATCACATGTTGTCATGTGAATTTCTATCTCTAATTCAACCTAAGCTTGAATCATTACCAGAGGTTGTAAGGCTCTGGTTTTAATCATCAATGATTCAAGGTCCACAACCCACAAGTATTATCTGTATATTTATTCATGGAGAGCTCTGGCGCCAAAAACACATACATACTGTTTTTATACCTCTTGACAAACAAAGGCACTATGCTCCTCCCACCTTTAGGTGGCTTTCTTAAACAGTTTCCGCCTTCCCCTTCACCCTTGAATGTTTAGTACCGCCCCCTCTGTTAGTGGGTTGACACTACATGATAATTCTAACATTTATACTGTATTTGGGGTGAAATCCTTTAGTCATTATTCTTAAAATCCAAATTAATCTAACACATGTACCCTTTTCAAACGGCCAAGCTGTACTCTAATGGTTACACATCCACCATAGCTGCTGGAACTGTGTTGAAAAGAACTGCGAAAATAAAATGTTAAAAGCAGTACATTTTCGGCAGGATAGTGTAAAAAGGTTAATGGAGCGTCGGTTTATTTTTTAGCTTGTCTACCCTCTACTGCTTTTACAGGCTTATCTGAGATCTTTATACTTCATCATAGCAGACTGTCAGAAGGATGTTTAAGCCTTGAGACATGGATTGTGTATGTGTGCCATTCAGAGGGTGAATGGGCAAGACAAAATATTTAAGTGCCTTTGAACTGGTATGGTAGTAGGTTCCAGGTGCACCGGTTTGTGTGAAGAACTGCAAAGCTGCTGGGATTTTCACGCTCAACAGTTTCCTGTGTGTATCAAGAATGGTCCACCACCCAAAGGACACCCAGACAAATTGACAACCGTGGGAAGCATTGGAGTCAACATGGGCCAGCATCCCTGTGGAATGCTTTCGACACCTTTGTAGAGTCCATGCCCCAACGAACTGAGGCTGTTCTGAGGGCAAAAAGGAGGGGGGTGCAACTCAATTTGAGGAAAAATATTATTCTGAGCAGGCACCTGGGATGTAAGAGGTTGTTGATTTCAAATAATAAACCAGAACTTACAAGCTATTCACAGGGTATCAAAGCAACTCCTGATTTGTTCAAAAAAGCATATACAAAGTCTATTTCAAATTATTTTAAACCTGATTTTTACAATAACAACACAAATATTCAACTTTCTTGCATCACTGTTTCATTTTTAAGAGAATGTGTTGTTTGGTTTGCCTTATTGATTATATTGAATAGGTAACACCAAAATAAATGTTTATCGTGCAACTAATCCTTGAAAGTGTGTCAAAATCGTTTTATATCAAAACGGGAGTAATTTTTAACGTAATTCTAAGTAACCAGATATCACCTGCGATTCAGATCGAACTACTTTTTACATGTCAAACACGTATTTCATTGTGAGATGAGATTATCTGCGCAGCGCGTCTGCAATAAAGACTACCTGGAACGGACCCTAAATTGCCGACATGTGCAGTGAATGCACTTCCTTTTCCGCTCACCGCGCTGCGTTTTCTTCTTCGACTAAGCTTCTTCTCAACGTTAAAAAAAGGTAAACAAAATTGGTATGTACACATTTGAAGCTACTGCATTTCACTGGGACAAAAGTAAGCTATTTAGTGTCACAGCATCGGTTGATATGAGGATTGGGTGCAGATGTATTGCTTGCTAAGTGAGCAACATGATAATGGTTTATGAGTAACCTCCATTCATTTAGCTATATCACTAAAGCCCAACAATAGCTAAATCTATTGCCACAATTTGACAACCGCTAGCTGTCTTATGTTATTATAGTTTATGTATACTATCACTAATGCATGTAAAGGTTAATTGAATAACCACGTTATTGTAGTGCTGTCCATTCTGTACCATTTAAGGTTACTAACCGCGTGTTGGCTCAAGTCAATCCGACATCATGAGCTTGTTCGGGGCCAGCACTGGCTTTGGCGCGGGGGGATTCGGAGCGGCAACTACGGACACCCACAACCCAATGAAGGTAGCTAGCTAGCTAATAACATTCCCTATCTGTAACCTGCTTAATTATCAATATTTTTTTACTATTAGAACTTGTTCTGAGAGGTTTAATTCAAATGTATTTGATTTTGAATGATGTGTTATCTCATATAGGATGTGGAAGTAACCTCACCCCCAGATGACAGCATCAGTTGCTTGGCGTTCAGTCCCCCAGCCATGCCAGGGAACTTCTTGATAGGGGGGTCCTGGGCCAATGATGTGAGTCAAGTCGTCATGTTCCACTTAAAGTGCCCACTTCAGACATATGCCTTTTTTGTTGCTATGAGTCTAAAACCCATTAACTTTGTAACAACACATGTGACTGTTTTCTTACATTTTTCCAGGTGAGGTGTTGGGAGGTACAGGACAACGGGCAGACAGTCCCCAAAGCCCAGCAGATGCACACAGGTCCAGTCCTTGATGTCTGCTGGAGCGAAGTATTGCCCCCTCACATCACACATCTTTACCAACCAAATTAGGTGTTTGAATGAAACTTGACTTATTCGTTACATTGCTCTTTTAGGACGGTAGCAAGGTTTTCACTGCGTCTTGTGACAAGACTGCCAAAATGTGGGACCTCAACAGCAACCAGGCAATACAGATCGCACAGGTAAATATTTCAGGCTATGAACACTGTTTTCAGGGTTAATTTTCAATTGTTAGTTTCATCACCTCTTTGTGCTTCCCTTGAATACATTATGACAAGTTCTGTTGACACTAGATCATATTAGAAATGGTCTTTGATTTGTGTTTCCACTTAGCATGATGCTCCTATTAGAACAGTCCACTGGATCAAAGCCCCCAACTATAACTGCATCATGACAGGTAGCTGGGACAAAACTCTGAAGGTAAGAAAAATGATTGGGATTGGGAACAATCCTTGTTCCAAAATGATGAACTATTTTATATAATAGTTATTATGTAGTTATATAGCATATTAAAGGAATAGAGCCAAACAGTCCTTTATCCCAGCGGCAGTAAGGCTCCTGAATGACAATCACTAGTAGGTCCAGCGGGCTGGCTTACAGTTGACATTGTTGTTGGCAGTGTACTGATGTGAAAAGTGTATATTGTGTACAGTTGAATCATGAATCCCCCATGAATTGCACTGTTTCTATTATCGTTGTGTGTATTGTCTGTATTTGTCCATTGTATGCTTGATGATATGTTTAATGTAAACAAAATGTTCCTATTGTGATCATAAAGTCATTATCTTAGTTATACTTTAATAGTTAATTTACTCCCTTGTTTGATTTCCTCTGCTGTAGTTCTGGGACACCCGCTCGCCCAACCCAATCTTGTCTCTGCAGTTGCCGGAGAGGTGCTACTGTGCAGACGTGGTGAGGACCTAGTGCTAAAGCTCCAGTGGTTCATATTCTTTAAGTGTTTTTCTATAATAGCTCTGAATAGAGTCTACAACCCACACAAGTGGCTCAGGAAGTGCAGCTCATCCAGGATGGCACATCAATGCGAGCTGTGGCAAGAAGGTTTGCTGTGTCTGTCAGCGTAGTGTCCAGAGCATGGAGGCGCTACCAGGAGACAGGCCAATACATCAGGAGTCGTGGAGGAGGCCGTAGGAGGGCAACAACCCAGCAGCAGGACTGCTACCTCCGCCTTTGTGCAAGGAGGAGCAGGAGGAGCACTGCCAGAGCCCTGCAAAATGACCTCCAGCAGGCCACAAATGTGCATGTGTCTGCTCAAAAGGTCAGAAACAGACTCCATGAGGGTGGTATGAGGGCCCGACATCCACAGGTGGGGGTTGTGCTTACAGCCCAACACCGTGCAGGACGTTTGGCATTTGCCAGAGAACACCAAGATTGGCAAATTCGCCACTGGCGCCCTATGCTCTTCACAGATGAAAGCAGGTTCACACTGAGCACGTGACAGACGTGACAGAGTCTGGAGACGCCGTGGAGAACGTTCTGCTGCCTGCAACATCCTCCAGCATGACCGGTTTGGCGGTGGGTCAGTCATGGTGTGGGGTGGCATTTCTTTGGGGGGCCACACAGCCCTCCATGTGCTCGCCAGAGGTAGGCTGACTGCCATTAGGTACCGAGATGAGATCCTCAGACCCCTTGTGAGACCATATGCTGGTGCGGTTGGCCCTGGGTTCCTCCTAATGCAAGACAATGCTAGACCTCATGTGGCTGGAGTGTGTCAGCAGTTCCTGCAAGAGGAAGGCATTGATGCTATGGACTGGCCCGCCCGGTCCCCAGACCTGAATCCAATTGAGCACATCTGGGACATCATGTCTCGCTCCATCCACCAATGCCACGTTGCACCACAGACTGTCCAGGAGTTGGCGGATGCCTTAGTCCAGGTCTGGGAGGAGATCCCTCAGGAGACCATCCGCCACCTCATCAGGAGCATGCCCAGGCATTGTCGGGAGGTCATACAGGCACGTGGAGGCCACACACACTACTGAGCCTCATTTTGACTTGTTTTAAGGACATTACATCAAAGTTGGATCAGCCTGTAGTGTGGTTTTCCACGTTAATTTTGAGGGTGACTCCAAATCCAGACCTCCATGGGTTGATAAATTTGATTTCCATTGATAATTTTTTTGTGATTTTGTTGTCAGCACATTCAACTATGCAAAGAAAAAAGTATTTAATTAGATTATTTCATTCATTCAGATCTAGGATGTGTTCTTTTAGTGTTCCCTTTATTTTTTTGAGCAGTATACAATCAATCTTGCAGAATGCGCAGACGGGCACTCGCTATAAGCAGCATGTTTAGTTTGAAAAAGTGATTGCAAAATAGCAAAACTTTCTGCCCACACCTCTACAGAAATGTGATCAAATATGCCATTGCTCTTTCTTTTACAAACTGCCGTGGCCTAATTCCAATAGTGATGAATGATACAGCAAATAAAGGGCGTTGTTGTCACCCTAAAAGGTGAATGGAGGCTGTTTTCCGGGCTGAGTTTTAATACTCGTTCACGTGTGCACAGTTTTACGACAGGTCTGATTTATAACGGGAATCATGCGTATGTATGGCGTGCACCAAGTTTATAAATCTCCATATTTTTAGACTTACGCATTCTTTTCAGAAATGGCGCACGCAGATATTTAGTGTGAAATTTACGCAACGGTTATAAATGAGGCCTCTGGTTTTATAAGCCATGTGTTGTCATCTCAGCTGATTGGTTCCCTGTTGTTGTTTCCAGGTGTACCCCATGGCAGTGGTAGCTTCTGCAGACCGAGGTTTGATTGTATATCAGCTTGAAAACCAGCCGTCTGAGTTCAGGAGGATAGACTCACCACTCAAACACCAGGTGACTGGTCTCACATACCAGGTGACTTACAGGTCTCCCTAAAATAGTTATTTTGACCTCAATGGGACTTCCTGGATAAATAAAGGTTACATAAAAAAATTAAAAAAATACATTTACTAGACTGTCTACTACTGTGCATACACACACTTTTCTTCCTCACACATATTACACACACCTTTTCAGAGTGTAGATTCCATTGATTATCAATTATTCATGAATAGTTCATGCCTGTGGTGTACAACCTAACACCACCTCTTCCATCTCCCTGTATCAGCACCGCTGCATAGCCATTTTTAAGGACAAACAGAACAAGCCTGCTGGATTTGCTCTCGGGAGCATTGAAGGGCGGGTCGCCATTCACTACATCAACCCCCCTAACCCGTGAGTGCCACAAACCAGGCTTTTCTTTACCAACTGTGAGAAAGACCTTGGCTACCACCCACTGCACCCTACTCACCACACTCTGTGTTTTTGTGTTGTAGAGCCAAGGATAACTTCACCTTTAAGTGCCACAGGTCGAATGGAACCAACACAGCCACACCACAAGATATCTATGCTGTGAGTCCAGCTTGTGCTCTCTCCACCCTGCTTCCATATTAGTTTGGCTACAGTCAGTAGGTAGAATAAGATATTGGGGTGTTTTTCATGCAAACACCTTGCTGTTTCTGATCAAACAGGTAAATGCCATCTCCTTCCACCCTGTCCACGGGACACTGGCGACTGTTGGGTCGGACGGTCGCTTTAGCTTCTGGGATAAAGATGCCCGCACCAAGCTGAAGACCTCGGAGCAGCTGGACCAGCCAATCACAGCATGCTCCTTCAACAACAACGGCAACATCTTTGCCTACGCCTCCAGCTATGATTGGTCAAAGGTAACATTTAGTCTCGTACCTCATGTTATGATAGGTTGATTTAAGACTCATTCTATTCCTTCAAAATGGCCAGGCAATATTTTAAATAAGCTAAATTGATACATCTTTGTGTTAAATCTCAGGGACATGAGTACTACAACCCTCAGAAAAAGAACTACATCTTCCTGCGTAATGCTACTGAGGAGCTGAAACCACGGAACAAGAAATGGTGAGTCAGACTGCCTGTGATTGTCATTTCATCAATCACGTTTGGTCACCTCTATGGTGACCTTTACAAGACATGATTTTCTATGCTCATTAAGAAATGTAAAACCACATGTATAATGGTGGACAGGAAAATACTTGAAAGCAATAGACTTAATGGCTTGTACATTTCTCTCATGTCTCTAGATTTGTCCAGTGTCTCGCCTGTTGTTTGCAAAATGGAGGGTTGTCAAACGCACACGTCATGCCTGCACGACCCTGTTCCTATCCTGTGCCAACACCAGTGGTGGAGCTGCTGCTTGCAAAAAAACCAATCACCAGAGGTCTTTCATCTACTTTGCATTGGCCTGGCTACTCTTTCCCAGCCACGGGCATTCCAATAGGGGTTGGAGAGTGACAAGATTATATTGTTTTGTAATATCTGATATTTTATTTTCTATTGTCACGATACCATGATTGCATTTAAAGTAATGTTTTTTTTCTCTGTTACATTGTTGTACAATTTAATGACATTGGAGAATGAAATAAATGAGTAGATAAAGACAAGTTACACTATACGTCTGGTTTTTGCAACACCTTTTTTCATTCTCCTCTTCTACTCTTGCTCATATCCAGTGCAGTGATGCACAATGTTTAGAACAGTAAACAAACAAGAATGCATAGAACATACATTTACATTTTAGTCATTTAGCAGACGCTCTTATCCAGAGCGACTTACAGTTAGTGAGTGCATACATTTTCATACATGTAATATGATTATATTGTATTATGTGCGATTTAGCTGACGCTTTTACCCAAAGCAACTTTATAGGCATGTGTGCACAGAGGGCCAGTATGAAAAATGTATGCACTCACTAATTGTAAGTCGCTCTGGATAAGAGTGTCTGCTAAATGACTAAAATGTCAATTGGATCACAAAAAAAAATACATTTGTTGGCGTGTGTGTGTGTGTAATACGCAGGCGTGATGACATTACATACATGGGCTTCTGTAACTAAACTAAGGATAGTAATTATAATTGAACAATTTTTCATCCATTTGGATTTCTATAAAAATAGATTTCTATAAAAGGGACACTGCATTTGGCATCAATATGTGCAGGTCCCAGTATCTCTAAAATTCCCTTGTCTACAGTAGGCTACTATAATATATAACTAAACTACTCTGTATGATAGACTGAAAAATGCTGCAGGAAATTCAGTTTAGTTCTATATGCTTGAAGACTACAAGCAGAATTTAGAGAGACAGACGGGTTTGGTTTAGATCAGTGTTTCCCAACAGTACACATTTTTATTGTAACCCTGGACAAGCACACCTGATTGAATTTATAGTTGAATGAGGTGTTTGTCAAGGGCTACAACGAAACTATGACCAGATACAGACACCGGAGCGTGAATTCGTGTATTCTCGCGATGGTCCTTTACGTCACAGTCTACATAAAACATTCGATCTCCTCGGCTACTTCTCTTTTGATAACGGTATTTTGTGCGAGGATCAATAATCATGCCTCGCATATATGTTGGAAAACTTAATTATAACGCTCGAGAAAAAGACATTCAAAGATTTTTCAGTGGCTACGGAAAGCTTATGGAAATTGATCTGAAAAATGGGTAAGTTTATCATATCAAGAGAATCAGTTGAACAAAAAATAGCTGGCAAGCTAGCTAATGGTAACTTCATATCCAGTTAGCTACCTACTTGCTTTCGGCTAGCTAGCTTCCCCAAAACATAAGCGAAATACATTCACATTTGCCTTTCAATTGTGTTGATTGCGCATGTAATAGCAATTAGCTAAAGTTAGTGGTTATTACATGCACACATTTGCTTTACTAAAGCATTTAACATGTTTTGTAAAGAAGGCCCCTAGCTAGCTAACGTATTTAGCTGCTAGCTACTACACATCGTGTTCAAAATGGCTGCTTGTTTGGCTGCAGGCAGTTTTTTGGTCGTTACTAGTTATTACAGACAAAGTCATGAATCCCGCCTATTTCTACAATTGATCTTCTTAAAATGTGATTTTTAAACCTAACCACACTGCTAACCTTATGCCTAACCTTAAACGAAGACCAAAAAGCGAATTGTTTTCATGCATTTTTACAATATAGCCAATTTGGACTTTGTTGCTGTGCTATCTAGTGGAAACCCATTTTTTGTGCAGCCATGTAGCTACCAAATGTTATTTGTCACATGCGCCGAATACATCAGGTGTAGACCTTACAGTGAAATGCTTATTTACAAGCCCTTAACCAACAATTCAGTTTTACGAAAGAATACCAAATAAAATCACCCAAAAAATACAATATAAAATAATACTAAATAAAAGGAACAAATAATGAAAGAGCAGCAGTAAAAAAAAACATAGCGAGGCTATATACAGAGGGTACCAAGTCAATGTGCGGGGGCACCGGTTAGTCGAGTTAATATGTACATGTAGGTAGAGTTATTAAAGTGACTATGCATAGATAAACAGAGTAGCAGCAGCGTAAAGGGGGGGGGGGGGTGCAAATAGTCTGGGTAGCCATTTGATTAGATGTTCAGGAATCTTATGGCTTGGGGGTAGAAGCTGTTTAGAAGCCTCTTGGTCCTAGACTTGGCGCTCCAGTACTGCTTGCAGTGCCGTACCAGAGAGAACAGTCTATGACTAGGGTGGCTGGAGTCTTGACAATTTTTAGGGCCTTCCTCTAACACCGCCTGGTATAGAGGTCCTGGATGGCAGGAAGCTTGGCCCCAGTGATGTACTGGGCCGTACGCATTACCCTCTGTAGTGCCTTGCGGTCTGAGGCCAAGCAGTTGCCATACCAGGCTGTGATGCACCCAGTCAGGATGCTCTCGATGGTGCAGCTGTAGAACCTTTTGAGGATCTGAGGACCCATGCCAAATCTTTTCAGTTTCCTTAGGGGGAATAGGTTTTGTCGGGCCCTCTGATGTATATAAACCCTGTATTGCTGATGCTAGGTATTGGCAAATGAGGCTCTGAAGTCACCGGTCGGCCATATTGGCACTTCCCACAAGAAACAGTCCTCCATGTGAATGAATGTAATTCCTACAGTATTACATGTATTAAAGTATTTTTTGTTTTTGTAGGAGAGACTAACATTAGCACTTTTTAAATAATGTATACTTTTATAGGGTGTCCTCCCCACAGGGTGAAATATCACTTCCTTATGTTATAAAATACATTTTACTAAGACAAATATGATTATTCATGTTCTGACTCGTTCTGCGGGGTCTTTCTCTAACACACCATTAACATTATATTCAGTCTGATTTTGTAACCTAATACATCCAATAAAAAGTACTGAGCTCTGACAGCGGTGCAGGTTTCTCAGATTTTACATTTTGTGATCGTCATCTTAGAAGTTGTTTCCGCCAGTCACAAAAATTAGCATGCGCTGAATTAAATGTAAAAGGCATTGAGAATGAAAAGCTTGGTATACACTCAGTGCTCCTTGACATTTCAGAGATGCACTTGTTTTTGTGAAATCTTAGAAAAATAAAAGGACATTTGAATTAGTATGAAAAGTGTATACTAAAATGTGAAAATACTACATGAAGTCTCAAAATCGATATCCATCTTACCTCTTATGTTAGGGCTGGGCGATATGGGCCAAATGGCATATCACAGTATTTTTACAATTTATGACAATATTTTATGTTTTTAAATAATAAAAGTTCAAAATTTGCTTTGAGTAGTGCGTGACCCTAGGGCGGCAACACATACATTCCAAGTAAATTAATTAGGTCTTTCTCCATTCTGTTCAATTCATCTTCAACCAAAAATTATTTCCTGCATTTTCATCAATTTCTGCGTTTCCTGCACTCATTTGAGATCATTTCCACTCTGCCACATTGGGTTGCACAATATGGGCAAAAAAATCAAGGCCTTATTTTTAACTAAATGTTGCAATTGCGATTTAGATCAAAACACTTGGGTGAACTGTTGGAATCATGGAAATAGAATGTTTATTCTAATTCTCTAGTTAGAATATAAATAATAGTGGCCACTTTGAACGACAACGAATGAAAATGCCATTGAGTAGTTATTGTGACAGGGTAGGAACCAAAATGTTGGGCAGTGTTTCCTAGGGGACCCTATAATCTTTGGCTACATTAAATGTTTCTTCATGTAGCCAACATATTTATGCTTCGCCTATTCCTCTTTGATTTAGAAGATACTGTTGCACAAACAACATGCTGATTAAGGCCTGCTAAAACTTGCATAGAAAATAAACTAGCTGTTTGTAGACGTAAGAAACAAACTGTAATTATGGAACGCTTTATATTAAGAAGCAAAGTGGAAACAACATCGTTGTCATTAACATTGTTGCATGTGATGCATTGACCATGCAGACTGAACACACGTTTTTCGTGGTCAAGCAACAACAAATGCGCTCCTAGAGTGACCGGGGCAGGGCTAGACCTATGTGGAAAGCGGCATGGAGAGAAGGAGAGGGATGACTCGAGTAGAGGTGTAAACTATAAAATGGACGTTATACATGGCATATCACATTTAAAAAAGAAAAACATTCAAATACTATTTATAACATAGAAGGTAAAGTAAAAACTCAAACCGGTACCTGCATCGATACCGGTGTATATAGTAAAATACAGCCTTACTATATATTGTTTTATGTCCTGCGGATTCGAAGAAGAAAGATGCAAGTTCAACGGGGAAGTGAGCCTGTCAGGTAGCCAGTAGACTTAATTCTTGCACAGAATTCAGCCTAGCTGTTGCAATGCAATTTTTCAGATTTTTTACCACTGTTTTTTATTTTATTTTGGCCCAATGACTTTTGAACAGATTGAGGTTTGGACCATTGGTTTTCTTAGAGGAATATCTACATAATTAACACATTATTTTACCCATTGGTCAAGAGGCATTTTTGATTGGACACCCTATACTGCAGGGGTTGCGTTAGTTGAGAAATATGCATTTTCTAAACGCAGACCATCAAAAAATGTGCTTCAATGGTGATCAGGGACGTGCAACTTTAGTTATCCTTCACAGAAAACGTTAGTGCAACAAATTCGGCAGATAATAGCTTCATTTTCATCAGATGACTACAGAAGTGCAACGCTATTTGGCTAGCAGCCACGAGTGCAGTCATTTTTGCAAAATCGATGCATGGCCATCATATTTCTGTTTATCATAAAAAGAATGCAGCCAGCGACATTTCCTAATGTTTTGCTTCAAGTTAATCTCAAATTTTACCGTAGAAAAGTAGGATATACCGAGAAATGCCCGTTGGTGAATTCTCATCCGAGTGGAGAAGTGCAACTGAAGCACAAAATCAGTCTGATGCAGAGCAGAAATTACAATAGGAAGCATTATAGATCTGCATTTACAAAACGCACCAAGATAGTTATGCGTTAACACAACCCCTGTACTTTAAGGAAAAAGTTTTGATATATCACATAATATAATTTAAAAGTATGCATTAAGGTGTCTCTAATAGAATAAATGTTGCCTTTTTACAATGGTGGGGGAGTGCCAAGATGGAGGCGTGGTGGCTTCAAAACAGCGGCCCTTGTGACATCTCTAGTGTGTATATAAATCATTGGTAGCTACCTTAAAATTAGTTAGCTTATTAGCTAGCTAGTAGCTGATAAGTGCCTTCAAACTCATTGGTTTGGCATTTTTATTTATTGCCAGCTTATTTAACTTTTTTATCTTTTAGATATGGCTTTGTAGAGTTTGAGGACAATCGCGATGCGGACGACGCAGTGTATGAACTGAATGGCAAGGAGTTGTGCGGGGAGCGCGTGACCGTGGAACATGCCCGAGGACCGCGGCGTGACCGAGATGGATATGGTGGTGGTGGCGGGGGTGGTGGTCGCAGTAAGTGCAATGTTTTTAAATTTTCACTATGCCCTTTTCCCAATGGGTCAAGGAGATGTGAATGTGGACCGTACACACACAGACCTGTGATCCTGAAGTGGAGTTTGACATAGCTCGCCAATACTCAATGATGTCACAATTGCCATTGTGTCACCATTGAGTATGGTACAAGTTTGACCCAACTCAGAGCAGACATCAGATTACTGCTACTGATTGTTTAGGTGTAGTGAAACCATGTTTCCAGTGTTTTCTTCCTGGTGGAATTGTAAACCCCAATAAACAACTGTATTTACTTAATAAGAAATCACGACTTTGTCACCATATAGCCCAGCTGTACCGTTAAATACCATTACATGTGAATTGTATTTTGCGTTTTGATTTAAACATTAACAAAGTCCTTGATGTTTCAATTTGAAAGAGTCCAGCTGCGGGCTGAGTCCATTGAGGCTAAGATGACTGCCTGTCCCGTTTGGCCTTGGCTTTCACCTTACAATGTGTGTGTGACCTATGCCCCTTGACCCTTGGCTGACCTAACCGGAAGCCTTGACGACATCATCCTTTTTCCAATAGACCAGGGGTGATGGTGAGGATTCCCATTGGTTTCTATGTTGAAAGAATAAGTGGGACGGCTTTAAGTCAACATGTTACCGCTCGCTGTAAGCAGGCAAAGCAACTGCATTGTCCCCAGTTTGACAACCGGTTAGGCTAAGTCATAGGGAAAAACTTTTGTAGAGTTATGTCAGTTGGCACTCTTGCAAAATGTGATACAAGTTTTTGACAGAGACTTTGTGGAAGCCTCCATTTGTCTTTCAGGATTCAAGGGTTTGTAAGAAGAACATCACTGTCCATTTGTTTGTACTGCTAAAGATTTGCAGTTAGTAAGACTGGCTGTATGTTGCTGATAACAGATGCAGTGGTGTTCTTTGCACAGCAGTGAACTACTTCAGAGGCTGTACAGTGAAGAGAATAAAAACTGACAGCCACTAAGCCAACAAATGCCACGGCTTTAATACCTCAGTCACTTTATTAGGTTTGTCTTGAGATTGGGTCCAGATGGACATCTCACAGGACCTATATTAAACATTACCACACCTTTTATCCTGGTAGTTGCATTCTCTGTTTATGGTCTGATCCACTAAGTGAAATGCCTATATGCCACTCTGTTTTGCTGACTATTTGTGTCTTGTCATTTGAAAGGTAGTAGTGGTTACAGCAGCAGCAGCAGAAGCCGCACTGGCAGGGATAAGTACGGGCCACCCGTCCGTACGGAGTACCGACTGATTGTTGAGAATCTGTCCAGCCGCTGCAGCTGGCAGGATCTGAAGGTGAGTTGAGGGGACAACTATGTTTAAGCAGTAAGGCCCGTGGCAGTATTGCCAATATGCCACACCTAAGGGCTGTTCTTAGGCACGACGCAAAGCATATTGCCTGGATACAGTCCTTTAGCAGTGGTATATTGTCCATAACCCACAGACCTGCAAGGGGCCTTAATGCTATTATAAACCGGTTACCAACATAAATATAACTGTAAACAAGTAGTTTTGCGTCAAACATGGTATATTGTCTGATATACACAGAGCTGAAATGTTGTTTGAGACAATCAGCATTCAGGACCCAAACTACCTGGTTTATAATTATAGGTGAGGGACAGGGACAGGTACTGAAGATGAACTGCCAGTTGCTATCCATGGTAGGCCATTTGGTTCAGAAAAATGAGGGTAATATTCAGCAGTGACTTTGCCTTGTCCCCTACAGGATTTCATGCGCCAGGCTGGAGAGGTCACGTATGCCGACGCCCATAAGGAGCGTACCAATGAGGGTGTCATCGAGTTCGGCTCGCGTTCGGACATGAGAAGGGCCCTAGACAAGCTGGACGGCACAGACATCAACGGGAGGAAGATCCGCCTGGTGGAGGAAAAGTCCCGCCGCCGACGCTCCTACTCCGGCAGTCGGTCCAGGTGAGGTTCTACACACCGCCCTGCTCTTTATGAGTAGTTGAATCCAGTGTGTCCTCACACATAGCCACCCCTTTAATGAGACAATTGTATTCTTGTTACCCCCCTGCAGGTCTCGCAGCAGACGTCGCTCTCGTAGCAGGAGCCGCAGGAGCAGTCGCTCCAGGAGTAACTCCAGATCCCGCTCCCGGTAAAATGGCCCTCCTGTCTTAGAGAATTATGGTTTAGATTAGTCAATATGGGTACAACAAAGATTGTAAACAATTCTGTCAACCCCATGCAGATCCCATTCTCGCAACAAGAGACGCCACTCCAAGTCTGCAAGGAAGTCTCGTTCCCACTCTCGCACCCGCAAATCCAGATCCCGTTCCAACAAAAGCAAGTCCCGTTCCAAGAGCTGCTCAAAGGTGAAATCCGAGCGGGATTCCCGCAGCCACTCCAAGGAGAAGTCTGCCAGCAAGAAGTCCCGTAGCCGCTCAGCGTCTCCCATGGAAAATGGGAAGGAGGAGCGTTCCTCTCGCTCCCCTTCCCCAGCAGCTGACCGTCCCTCCAAGTCTCCGGACAAGCGTTCGGTCTCCCACTCCAAATCCCGCTCCAGGTCAAGATCAGCATCCCGAGATTAAAGGCTTCATCCACATGTTCCCCATTTGCGCAACTGGTGATATAGGACCAGCTCCTATTTAATTTGACAGATCAATCGCAGCACCAGGTGCATCAAGGCTTGCTCAGTCTTAATCAGTGCTATCCTTGACACTTAAAAATCAAAACTACTAGCTTGATTTTGTATTATACATGGCATGAGAACGATTTAGTCATGTTTATTGTGGGGGAGTGCACGTCGTAGATTACAGCTATTGATCCGTTTTGTGTTCATTGTACATAGAGGAGCTTGTCTGGAGGGCTTTGTGTTTAAAACAGGCCTTTTCATTAATATCCTTTTAGTTCTTGTTAGTCTTCCTCCCTATCTGCTTTTGCTTACCTCAGAGTGGTGTTTTGAGTTGATTTTTCATTTTTATGATATGTCATTTCACCTATTGAGCCTAAGTGTGTTTTTTGACCCCCTCTCAAGATGTACTGTATGTGTGCAAACAATTTGTAGACAGGCAGAGTTTTGGCATTGTATGAACAGATTTACCATCGACGGTGGTACAGATTACACCCTCTCCACATAAGAATCAGTTCTGATTACATGTAACATGCCCATTTTTTTTATTGTACATTTAATTAAAAGTTCATATGAAAATGTTTGGGTTGTGATTTGTTATTTCTCCAATGATGACACAGCTTTGCTTTAACATATTTGGGCCCAAAACTACAGAAACAAAATCCGTGAACATGATGATTGACAGTGAAATTGTGTTCATGTTAACATAATATATTGTATTCTTGACGTGAAAAGCGGTGGGGAGAGGTTGTGGTTGAAACAATTTTGGATGCTATTTATTTCATGGAATTGGAGCGATGCATTTGAATAAAATGAATGAATCCGCTGTGGGGTGAGCTGCGCATGCGTGATTTTAAGATTCTGACCCGCAAGAAGATACCGCTGGTAAGCTAAATTTAGTCCCAAATTGATCAGCTAATATGCATGTATATTGCTTTGACTTGCCTGCAATAAGCGCTACAGAATCCTGAAATTATAACGCTTGCAGATGGTAAGAGAATTTGTCATTTTCTTGCGGTTGACATCCAGCATGCATCGACAATTAGTCATAAAGCTGTTTTTGGTATCGCAAATCATTTAAGAATTCAATATATTCTGTAATTCGATAGTTCTCTGGAAACGTGATATAATAGGTTTAACGGTCCGCAACATAATATGGATTTTATTTATTTTTTCTCGCCTGCATGTCATGAAACGATGTCATTCATTCGAAATCTTGCCAGGATTTGTTGCTTTGTACATTTTCACAAATTAGTGTCTTTTTTTCTCTTCTCAAATAGCTTCAAGGATTTCTGATCCTCCGCCATTTTACAGCTGAATTGCTGTTTTTGTTAAATTAATAATATAATTATATTTTGCTTTGTGGCTCTACTTTCCCTTGTTATTCGTAGAGGAGCGTTGTCAAATAAAGCATTTGACATTACAGAGAGGTCATAATAGTTAAATTAAATGGTTTATTTTAAAATAAATCATTCCCCGAATGTACTTTATCTCCGATGCTGTCAAGTGAGACTAAAAGTCAATCATTCCATTTTCAGGGTTTCCTCACAACACTGCAGAAAACAGCATTTTTATTGCTAAAATGAGAAGAATGGCAGCACATCTGTACAGGGAATTGTCCCACATATTTTGCTGTTTAGTGGTAATAGAGAACAAGACTGTGGATGCAGGGGATGCATAATATGGGGAAGAAATCTGAATCCTTTAACCTTTCTGGCGTTCAGGACCCATAGCACTCTGTATTCCAATGTCACTTCACCTGTCATTCTAATCCTAATAAATATGTGAAATTGTGATGGTTAAACTGACATCAGTATGATCTTTTTTTCAGAGGCAGTAAGTGAAGTCTGCCATGAGTGCCAAAGTAGAGCTGGATGTTTCAGCCAAAGAAGCAGATCCCAATCCTCCCACTGACTCCAGTGATGCCCTCTCCTCCAATGACAGCCTGTCAAAGAAGACACACCCACAGACCACCACAGCACTCATCCTGCCTGGTGAGATAAGGCCACCATAACACTCCTTGAACTATGACACTCAATAGTGTTCCGTAATGTATTGCACCCTGAACATTCTTCAACTCAGAGATATGCTGCACACTGTCCTACATTTCGACAAACCAGAGAGGGTACATACTACCCTCCTACTAGTTTCACGCAGCTACATGTCACATTTGCTCAGAACTTAGAAGACTGGCCCCTCTCTCCCCAGCCCCTGTTCCCAGTACACAGAAGGTGGAGGTCTCTACAGGTGCTGCTGAGGCAGGTAATGGAGCCACAGCTGGAGAGGTGGAAACCCCCACTCTAGCCCCCCAGGTTGGCGGGGCCTGTAGCATCGTCCATGTGCTGGAGTGGAAAGAAGGGATGGCCATCTTACCCAGCAACAACCTTAAGGTGAATGACATCTCATGGCCATTTTATGTTATTATAAGCATAGGGTTCTCTAGTATTAGGCATTGTTGGAGTAAAGAGGCACCATGTATGCCAGCCTGGTCTCATAGACTAGACATAACATAGTAAATGTAAAAACATAGTAAATGTAAATCTGGAACACTCAAATTAGTATGATATGTTTGGTATGGTTACATAAGACAAGACAGAAGGTTGCCCAAAGGTTGCTTGTTCGAATCTCAAAACGGACAACTTTAGCATTTTAGCTAATTAGCAACTTTGCAACTACTTACTACTTGTTGCTCCTTTGCAACTACTTAGCATGTTAGCTAACCTTATAACTTTAACCCCTTGCCAAACTAATGTTAGCCACCTAGCTAACGTTAGCCACAACAAATTGGAATTCGTAACATCATACGTTTTGCAAATTCGTAACATATTGTACGAATTGCAATTTGTAACATATTGTACGAATTGCAATTCATAACATTTCATACAAATTGTAATTCGTAACATATCATACGAAATGGACATCCACAAATGAATGCATACGAAACGTAACATGTCACACTAATTGGAGTGTCCCGGATTTACCCCTGAGTCCAGGTTGTGTATGCACATGGTTGAAATTCAGTATGTGTATTTTTCAGTTCTGTGTGAGTGACTGTGGAACACTGGAGATGATCAGCCAAGGGAAAATCAGCAGTGCTGAACCAGCAGTAATGGTGTCTGGGAAAATACCTGACTCCAAAAACAGGCCAACTAAAAAAACAGGTAGGCCACTGGAAATTAGTAATATTGTGTGTTTTCTGCAGCTTAACAGTCTCTTAACTAAACCCTAATGAAAATAATCTAGCTAGTGAACTAGCAAGTTCACACATCATATTTCATTCCAGAAATATCCTCAAAAACTATTAAGAGCTTTAAACAGGTCAACATTCACAAGGCCGCAGGACCAGAGGGATGTCTTCACTGACATTTTCAACCTCTCCTGACCGAGTCTGTAATACCTGCATGTTTCAAGCAGACCACCATAGTCCCTGTGCCCAAGAACGCCAAGGTAACCTGCCTAAATGACTACCGCCCCATAGCACTCATGTCTGTAGCCATGAAGTGCTTTGAAAGGCTGGTCATGGCTCACATCAACCCCATCATCCCAGAAACCCTAGACCCACTACAATTCGCATACAGCCCCAACAGATCCACAGATGACGCAATCTCCATTGCACTCCACAATGCCCTTACCCACCTGGACAAAAGGAACACCTATGTGAGAATGCTGTCCGTTGACTACAGCTCAGCGTTAAACACCATAGTGGGGGTCCTCAGATCCTCAAAAAGTTATAGTCCTCCAAAAGGCTCCTTAACAGCTTCTACCCCCAAGCTTCTACCCCCAAGCCATTAGACTGCTAAACAGTGAATCAAATGGCTACCCAGAATATTTGCATTGCCCCCCTTTTTTAAGCTGCTGCTACTCGCTGTTTATTATCTATGCATAGTCACTTTACCCCTACCTACACTACCGTTCAAAAGTTTTAGAACACCTACTCATTCAAGGGTTTTTCTGTATTTTTAATATTTTCTACATTGTAGAATAATGGTGAAGAGAACAAAACTATGAAATAACCCATTTTTTTTTTTTTGTCATTTTAGCAGACGCTCTTATCCAGAGCGACTTACAGTTAGTGAATACATATATATATATTTTTTATACTGGCCCCCCGTGGGAATCGAACCCACAACCCTGGCGTTGCAAACGCCATGCTCTATCAACTGAGCTACATCCCTGCCGGCCATTCCCTCCCCTACCCTGGACGACGCTGGGCCAATTGTGCGCCGCCCATGAGTCTCCCGGTCGCGGCCGGCTGCGACAGAGCCTGGATTCGAACCAGGATCTCTAGTGGCACAGTTAGCACTGCGATGCGGCGCCTTAGACCACTGTGCCACTCAGGAGACATTTGGAATCATGTAGTAACCAAAAAAGTGTTAAACAAATCAAATATATTTTATATTTGAGATTCTTCAAATAGCCACCCTTTGCCTTGATGACAGCTTTGCACACTCTTGGCATTCTCTCAACCAGCTTCATGACGTAGTCACCTGCAATGCATTTCAATAATCAGGTGTGCCCTCTTAAAAGTTAATTTGTGGAATTTCTTTCCTTAATGCGTTTGAGCCAATCAGTGGTGTTGTGACAAGGTAGGGGGGGGGGGTATACAGAAGATAGCCCTATTTAGTAAAAGACCAAGTCCATATTATGGCAAGAACAGCTCAAATAAGCAAAGAGAAACGACTGTCCATCATTACTTTAAGACAAGAAGGTCAGTCAATGCGGAAAATTTCAAGAACTTTGAACATTTCTTCAAGTGCAGTCGCAAAAACCATCAAGCGCTATGATGAAACTGGCTCTCATGAGGTCCTTCACAGGAATGGAAGACCCAGAGTTACCTCTGCTGCTGAGGATAAGTTCATTATAGTTATCAGCCTCAGAAATTGCAGCCTAAATGCTTCACAGAGTTCAAGTCACAGACACATCTCAACATCAACTGTTCAGAGGGGACTGTGTGAATCAGGCCTTCATGGTCGAATTGCTGCAAAGAAACCACTACTAAAGGACACCAATAAGAAGAAGAGACTTGCTTGGGCCAAGAAACACGAGCAATGGACATTAGACCGTGGAAATGTGTCCTTTGGTCTGGAGTCCAAATTGGAGATTTTTGGTTCCAACTGCCATGTCTTTGTGAGACACGGTGTGGGTGAACGGATGATCTCCGCATGTGTATTTCCCACCGTAAAGCATGGAGGGGGAGGTGTTAGGGTGTGGGGGGGTTTCTGGTGACACTGTCTGTGATTTATTTAGAATTCAAGGCACACTTAACCAGCATGGCTACCACAGCATTCTGCAGTGATACGCCATCCCATCTGGTTTGGGCTTAGTGGGACTATCATTTGTTTTTCAACAGGACAATGACCCAACACACCTCCAGGCTGTGTAAGGGCTATTTGACCAAGAAGGAGAGTGATGGTGTGCTGCATCAGATGACCTGGCCTCCACAATCCCCCGACCTCAACCAAATTGAGATGGATTGGGATGAGTCGGACCGCGGAGTGAACGAAAAGCAGCCAACAAGTGCTCAGCATATGTAGGAACTCCTTCAAGGCTGTTGGAAAAGTATTCCAGGTGAAGCTGGTTGAGAGAATGCCAAGAGTGTGCAAAGCTGTCATCAAGGCAAAGGGTGGCTATTTGTTTAACAGTTTTTTGTTTACTACATGATTCCATATGTGTTATTTCATAGTTTTGATGTCTTCACTTATTATTCTACAATGTAGAAAATAGTAAAAATACAGAAAAACCCTTGAATGAGTAGGTGTTCTAAAACTTTTGACCGGTACTGTACATGTACATATTACCTCAATTACCTCGACTAACCTGTGCCACTGCACATTGATTCGGTACCGATACCCCCTGTATACAGTGCATTCTGAAAGTTTTCAGACCTCTTGAATTTTTCCACATTTTGTTACGTAAATAAAAAAACAGAATTCAGACCCTTTGCTATGAGACTCAAAATTGAGCTCAGGTGCATCCTGTTTCCATTGATCCTCCTTGAGATATTTCTACAACTTTATTGGAGTCCACCTGTGGTAAATTCAATTGATTGGACATGATTTGGAAAGGCACACACCTGTCTATATAAGGTTCCACAGTTGACAGTGCATGTCAGAGTAAAAACCAAGCCATGAGGTTGAAGTAATTGTCCGTCGAGCTCCGAGACAGGATTATGTCGAGGCACAGATCTGGGAAAGGGTACCAAAAAATGTCTGCAGCATTGAAGGTCCCCAAGAACACAGTGGCCTCCATCATTCTTAAATGGAAGAAGTTTGGAACCACCAAGACTCTTACTAGAGCTGGTCGCCTGGCCAATCTGAGCAATCGGGGGAGAAGGGCCTTGGTCAGGGAGGTGACCAAGAACCCGATGGTCAATCTGACAGAGCTCCAGAGTTCCTCTGTGGAGATGGGAGAACATTCCAGAAGGACAACCATCTCTGCAGCACTCCACCAATCAGGCCTTTATGGTAGAGTGGCCAGACGGAAGCCACTCCTCAGTAAAAGGCACATGACAGCCCACTTGGAGTTTGCCAAAGGGCACCTAAAGGACAAGATTCTCTGGTCTGATGAAACCAAGCTTGAAATCTTTGGCCTGAATGCCAAGTGTCATGTCTGGAGGAAACCTGGCACCATCCCTACGGTGAAGCATGGTGGTGGCAGCATCATGCTGTGGGGATGTTTTTCAGCGGCAGGGATTGGGAGACTAGTCAGGATCGAGGGAAAGATGAACGGAGCAAAGTACCAAAAGATCCTCGATGAAAACCTGTTCAGGACCTCAGACTGGGGCCACGGTTCACCTTCCAACAGGACAACGACCCTAAGAACACATCCAAGATAACGCAGGAGTGGCTTCGGGACAAGTCTCTGAATGTTGTTGTGTGGCCCAGCCAGAGCCCGGACTTGAACCCGCTCAAACATCTCTGGCCAGACCTGAAAATAGCTGTGCAGCGTCGCTCCCCATCCAACCTGACAGAGCTTGAGATGATCTGCAGAGAAGAATGGGTGAAACTCCCCAAATACAGGGGTGCCAAGCTTGTAGCGTCATACCCAAGAAGACTCGAGGCTGTAATCGCTGCCAAAGGTGCTTCAACAAAGTACTGAGTAAAGGGTCTGTATACTTATGTAAATATGATAATTCCGTTTTTTAAATTGTAATACATTTGCAGAAATGTCTAAAAACCTGTTTTGCTTTGTCGTTATGGGTTATTGTGTGTAGATTAATGAGGGAAAAAAACAATTTCATCCATTTTAGAATAAGGCTGTAACTTAACAGAATGTGGGAAAAGTCAAGGGGTCTGAATACTTTCCGAATGCACTATATAGCCGCGTTCTATTTTATTGTTACTTTTTTTCTAACTTTAGTTAATTTGATTTTGTATTTATTGTTTTAGCAAAAAATAAATAAACTTTAAAACAAATTCTGCATTGTTGGTTAAGGGCTTGTAAGTAAGCATTTCACAGTAAGGTCTACACCTGTTGTATTCGGCGCATGTGACAAATAAAATTTGATTTGATTCCATTGTAGATGTGGTGTCTCCTCTCAGCTCTGTGGGTGGTGTGGCCGTGGAACAGGAGAGGCCCATCAAGACTGAGCCTAAGACCCATGGAGGGCCAGGCCAACAGGAGAGCTGTGATCTTATGGCACAGAGAACCTACCCAGAGCAGCTACGCAGGGAGCCCATGACTGACAAGTAAGTACTAAAGGCTGAAGCCTATCCACACTTTAGAAAATAATGTTTTGTGATAACATCCTTTTACCATTGAAAGTGCAATTTATGCTCAATTAAAATCAAGGAAGCATGATAAGCATACCGTGGTTGCTCAGACACAAAACAAACAAACTGCAGGAAGATATTAACCACCATGCAGAAGATGTAACATAGGTCATAGGTAGCCTAAGGCAAAACTTTGTGTAGTGGACTCAACTATTCTCTTATCTGGCCCTTAGGAGGGGGGGAGGTGCAGAGAAGATTCCTGGGGGCAGGGTAGCATCTCTGGACCCTGAGCTGCTCAAACCCATGAAGAAGAGGAAGAGGAAGGACTACCTGAGTCCGTCAGAGGAAGAGTTTGAGTTGGATGGCATGGTGGGAAATGCTCGAGTGTCACTCTATCCCACATAAATCATGCACAATGTAGTAGTATATTTTGTTGTTGTAATAAGTAAATTACCTCACATGTATGTGATGGCCGTATGCATCAATAAACAATTTTGTTCAGTACAACTATTCATAGTGGAGGCACTGTCTTTGTTGTAGTAAATGTATGTCTTGTATTTGTGGTTCTAGGATTACTTGAAGACAGAAAGCAGACACAACAAAGCGGGTAAGAATCAGCAAAATGTTAAATAAAAAACCCTATATTCATGTCATATTTCCGTTGTGTCAGAACTCCCATAAGCTTTATGTTGTGTTTTCTGTCTGTGTACAACAGGTGCTGGTGAAGTCAATATGGAGCTGTGGACATGGGGACAGTATCTGGAGGAGACCAAAGCAGTGGCAGCTCCGGCCAAACTCTTTCAAGAGGTGGGTTTTATTCTCTTTCGATACATACTAAATGAGAGAACAAAAGTTGATATTCTTTGCATATTAAAGTGTGTGTGAGTGGGCGTGTGGGCATGTGTGTAAGGCTGTGCTTTTCTCACTATGACCCCCTGTATTTCCAGTCTCAGAGGGTCCCGCAGTGCAAAAGCAGCTTCCGCCAGGGCATGAAGTTAGAGGGCATCGACCCCCAGCACCCCTCCATGTACTTTGTTCTGTCTGTGGCTGAGGTACTGTGTGCAGCGCTGCTCAACCTACAGTCACATGTTCTTTGAGGTTTGCTTCTACCTCTCTCCCTGTCCTGACTGTTTTTCTTCATACACACTACACACTCTGACTGAACACATTGAAGAATAACAGAGAGAGAGCGAGAGCGATATAAGGCAAGAGACAGGAAGAGAGGAATCCACATAACTGGGGAAAGACACGGAGAGAGACTTGGGGAGACATGGTTTGACTCCTGTCTGTCTTGTCCTGTCTGTAGGTTTGTGGCTACAGGCTGCGTCTCCATTTTGACGGCTACTCAGACTGTCATGACTTCTGGGTAAACGCCAACTGCCCCGACATCCACCCGGCGGGATGGTGTGAGAGCACTGGACACAAACTGTACACCCCCAAAGATAAGAATACACTGGGCTTTGGTTTGGGGTTGGGCTGCGCTTTGGACACTGATTTGTTTAATGTTCACATTTTGATTGTGGCGCAGAACATTCGCCCAAGCATCCAAAGTATCTAATTCATAAAGTAATTAATGAGAATGTCCTTATTGGAGTATTGGTCCAGGAAAATGTCCACATCATATGTTTGTGTCTGTTTGTGCCACAGGCTGCAAAGAGGAGGAGTTCTCCTGGGCCAGCTACCTGAGAATGAGTAAAGCACAAGTTGCCCCTAAAGAGGTGTTTGCCAGCCCTGGAAGAGTAAGTATAAGCACGACTCTTATCCTCAATCAGTGGCATGCATCTGCCTGAAGTAAGTAACTGTAAGCGGCTAATGTGGTGTGTTTGTGTTGGTGGCCCCCTGGTCAGACGGATACGGAGTGTGGCTTTGAGGTGGGCATGAAGCTGGAGGCGGTCGACCGCATGAACCCCTCTCTCATCTGCGTGGCGACCGTGACCGACGTGGTGGACGACCGCTTCCTGGTTCACTTTGATAACTGGGACGACACGTACGATTACTGGTGAGGCCATTTTTCATGGCTTCTCTAAAATAATTACTGTGCAGTTTTAGTAGCCATGATACCATGATTTATATTCTAAACTGATTGGTCGATGTTGCATTACCCCATCCAGGTGTGACGCCAGCAGTCCATACATCCATCCTATTGGCTGGTGCCAAGAGAGGAGCCTCCCCCTCACGCCACCTCAAGGTGACTGACAAAGTTCTAAGATATGAATATAGATCTAATAAGTGAACTATAGGGAATGCAGTGGCATTTCACACACACCTATGAACTAGATCCCATGTGCCCTGTCTGTCCTGTCAGATTACCCAGACCCAGGCAGGTTCTCCTGGCCAAGGTACCTCGACGAGACTGGCTCTACCGCCGTGTCTGCTGAGGCTTTTAAAGTGGTGAGTACTGAAAACTTGTTGCAATGACATGGACATGGATGAATACATTTTACTTGACTTGAATTCTTTTTGGTGGGGTAAAGTGCAGTTGTGAACATAATTACTGTTATGAGGTAAGGAGTTGGAATGAGATTAACTATAGGGACTGATTTGAGGTTAAGTGGCGTTGTGTGATGATGATGTGACCCTCCGCAGCGTCCTGCCCATGGCTTCCAGGCTCAGATGAAGCTGGAGGTGGTGGACAAAAGGAGCCCCGGCCTGATCCGGGTGGCCACAGTGGAGGAGGTCGACACCCACCGCATTAAGGTCAACCAACAGTGTGTGTGTGTGTTAGTGATGCGCAGGTCAGCTGTTTGTTCACCCACCCGCAATTGCAAATAACCCATCCGCAACCGCCCGACTATACACTGAGTGTACAAAACATTAAGAACACCTGCTCTTTCCATGATATAGACTGACCAGGTGTGAAAGATATGGTCCCTTTTTGATGTCACTTGTTAAATCCACTTCAAATCAGTGTAGATGAAGGGGAGGAGACAGGTTAAAGAAGGATTTTTGAAGCCTTGAGACAATTGAGTCATGGATTGTGTATGTGTGCCATTCAGAGGGTGAATGGGCAAGACAAAACGATTTAAGTGCCTTTGAATGGGGTACGGTAGTAGGTGCCAGGTGCACCGGTTTGTCTGAAGAACTGCAACGCTGCTAGGTTTTTCACGCTCAACAGTTTCCCGTGTGTATCAAGAATGGTCCACCACCCAAAGGACATCCAGCCAACTTGACACAACTGTTGGAAGCATTGGAGTCAACATGGGCCAGCATCCCTGTGGAACACTTTCGACACCTTGTAGAGTCCATGCCCCGACGAATTGAGGCTGTTCTGAGGGGGGGAACTCATATATTAGGAAGGTGTTCCTAATTTTTGGTATACTCAGTGTATGTGATAAAGTGAAAATCTGAGGCCCGCACTCGACCCTAACCCGCATATATAGAAAATGCGCTGTACAGTTCCCTTTTTTTCTCTTGAACATTTATTGAACAATGACATTTTTCTTGAACATTTCTTCATTTATTTATTAAATGTTTAGGTCTATTGAACAGTAGCCTAATGTTTTTCTGAAACAAAAAATGTCAAACAATTGCCTAAATTGACACCTTGCGCATGGTTTTTATGCCCAAGTTCCCAAAAGCATGTGGGGATTGCTGTCTATTTGGCGCATGTTAGTCCCTAAAGCTTAGGCTTATGCACTAATGCCAAATAAAAAATTATGAAAGAAAAACCTCAATGTAACCTATAGATATGAATTGCACAAGATAATACATTTTTTATACAGTGTTTTTTTTTTTCGCCCTTCATCCACAATATTTCATGACCCTAAACCCACCCGCCCGTGGATACAACGTGGGGACTGCAGGTTATGAGTCAACCCGCGCATCACTAGTGTGCGTGTCTTGCGGTTGTATGTGCCAGTGCCACTACTACACTCCCATAACTATATCATATTATACCATATTATACCATACTCCCACAGATCCATTTTGATGGCTGGAGTCATATGTATGATGAGTGGATGGACTCGGACCACCCTGACACCCACCCGGTCGGCTGGTGTGAGAGTACGGGTCACCCACTAAAAGTCCCACCCCCTGAGTCCAACAAAACCCAACAACTTGGTAACAGCTACCATACTTCTCTAACTCTACTTCACCTTGAAATGAGTGCTTAAATGTTCTGTTTGATGATGTTGGGCTCTGTGTATGTTTGTGTGTGTGTTTTAATAAGGCCCCAGGGAACCTGCAACCACAGGCCAGTCCAGTTTCTCCTCCATGCCTTGCAAAGTAATCAGCCACTCCAGATCCACCAAGTACAGCTTCCATCACAGGTCAGTAGTCGCCAGAAACAGGTCTCTGAAATGCCTATGAAGCAGTAAATGTAAGTGGATGTGTTCCATACCAACCTTATGATTATGTTATCATGATGTTATAATGAAGTCAACTCTACTGTTTGAAACAGGAAGTGTCCGACACCTGGATGTGATGGCTCGGGTCACGTGACTGGGCGGTTCACAGCGCATCACTGTCTGTCAGGCTGCCCATTGGCTGAGCGAAACCAGGGAAGACTCAAGACCGACCTATCAGATACAGAGGGGAGTGGAGCCAAGCGGAACATCTTAGTCTTTGGCCAAAGGACCAAAAAGTCCCGGTACCATGGCAGGTAAGCCTCATGTTAACAGTGGCTAAGGCTGTTATAGTCATAGTGGTATATTGATATAACCTCTGCTACTGTAGCCCCCCTTCTCACCAGTTTCTCTCTTTTTCTATTGTCAGGATTGGCCGTCCCCCCAAGTATAGAAAAAGCCAGCATAGAGCGTACCAGAGTGAGTATCACAGCTTTATGCTCTGTACACAGTACACATACTTACTGTATCTATTTATGTCTATGGCCGCACTCTGATTATCTATGGCCTCATTATGAGTTTACTGCATCCTATATACAGTATTCTATGTGTATGTGTTACATGCGTTACTATGTGTGATTTTGTGTGTGCCGACGTGTATGTGTGTGTGGTTTCCTGTGTTGCAGCGATAGCCACAGAGGGTATGTGCCCTTCTCTGTTCATGTCTGCCCTGTCGGCCCACCCGGACCGAACCCTGTCTCTGTGCTGGGAGCAACACTGCAAACTGCTGCCTGGCGTCCAGGGCATCCATGCTACACAGGTGGCAGCATGGACCGTGGAGGAGGTGGGAGCTGTAATACTCATCCAAGTTCTCCGTCACTGCAACGGATTTCCAGTTTGAGGGGGGATTATGATTTTGGGTTAAAAATAAATAAAAACACTCCAGAACATCTCAAACTAGATATAAAGTATGTAGAAATGATAATGGACCTATAATGAACATTTTCAAATAAAATGGATGCACTCACTACTGTAAGTTGCTCTGGATAACAGCATCTGCTAAATGACTAAAATGTAAATAACTGCCCTTGACAAACACATCGGTCGTAAAAAAAATCTGTGCGGCCTTTGTTGTTGTTGCTTTAACCCCTATTTATCTTTGGCTTCAACAAACGGGTGGAGCAGAGTACATTGGTAACTCTTTGTGTTCTGTGTATCAGGTCTTTGGATTTGTCCAGAAACTGACTGGTTGTGAAGAACAAGCCTGTGTCTTCAAAGAGGAAGTGAGTACAATGTTAATTGATAATTAAGTATGAAGTAATGAAACAAACAGGAGCCCATTTAAAACAGTTAAATTAAGTAATTTAAGTTACATTCTGTTGTCCTCTATTGTTGTTTTGTTTGTATGATTCACTTTTTTATATTCCTGCGATTGAGAGTTTCTTGTCTATTTCTCCTCAGATGATTGACGGAGAGGCCTTCCTATTACTGACACAGACTGACATCGTCAAAATCATGAACATCAAGCTCGGTCCCGCCCTCAAGATCTCCAACGCCATTTTAATGTTCAAGAGTACTGACGAAGGCCTCAAGTGATCCCGTCCCCACTCCGCCAGAGACTCCGTGACCAATCATCATGTGCCAAATTCATCCAGAACCCTACCCCTGTTATGTGTTTGGTGTTCAGTACCCATCAGAGAGAGAGAGAGAACATGAGAGGGGGCTGAGAGAAGAAAGTAAGTGGGGTGAGAGTGGAAAAGAGATGGGGACAGAACTGAGAAAGTGAATGAAGAAAACAGGGAAAAAGTGTAAGCAAATGTTTTTATAATGTTGCTTCACTGCTCGTGCAATAAAAGGAGTAAAATCTTACCTGAAAGTGTAAGCAGCTTCGAAAGATATACTTTTTTCATTTATGCAAAAAATATATGGAATTATTTATGTGGGATGATGTTTTACTGCAATTTTGTGTCACAGATTTGAAATCGAGGGTGGTTGTATGCTGCTGTTCCTATACTTGGTCACTAGATAGAGCATATGGACAGTTTTTAATACCAGAAAAGGTTTCAATTTTCTCAAGTACTGATCTTACGTGAGATAAATTCAAAATCATGTTTCAAAATATGCATTTGAAAAGGTTTACATTTTCAGTCAGAAATATTAAGATATCTGGGGGATTTATTGTTTTGTATAATTTTTATATTTTATGTAGGCTTATGCACTGTATTTAAATAGAATCTTACAAGGGCTCCAGGATTCTTAGAACTATATTTCTCTCTGGTGGGCAAACTGTCACGATATTCTTGGGTCAAAATCATTCATTCCATATGTACAAATAAATGTCAAATTCAATCTCTTACTTGTCTTGACTTCAGTTGACTGGTGATGATGAAGTAAGTTCAATTCAAAATACTTTATCCTTATTAAATCGTGTATTTGTGCGCAGAGGGTCGTGCATATGGCAAGCAGTACCGATGCACCAAGTCATGTGTGCGCAGAGGGTAGTGACAGCTTCCACCCCCAAGCCATAAGACTGCTAAATAGTTAGTTTGGGTAGCTATTTGGTTAACTATCGACAATGACCCTTTTTTAACAAATTTTTTGACTCATCACATACGCTGCTGCTACTGTTTGTTGTCAATCCTGTTTCTTCATCATTTTATTCCTAGTTATATGTACGTACTGTGCCTTCAGAAAGTATTCATACACCTTGACTTATTCTACGTTTTGTTGTGTTACAGCCTGAATTCAAAATGGATTAAATAAATACAAATTCTCACCCATCTACACACAATACCCCATAATGACAAAGTGAATGTTTTTAGATATGTTTGCTAATTTATTGAAAATGTAATACACAAATATGTCATTTACATAAGTATTCACACCCCTGAGTCAATACATCACCTTTGGCAGCGATTACAGCTGTGAGTTTATCTGGGTAAGTCTAACACCTGGATTGTACAATATTTACCCATTATTCTTTTCAAATTCTTCAAGCTCTGTCATTGCTAGACAACCATTTTAAGTCTTGCCATAGATTTTCAAGCCGATTTAAGTCAAAACTTTAACTCGGCCACTCAGGAACATTCACTGTCTTCTCGGTAAGCAACTCCAGTGTAGATTTAGCCTTGTGTTTATTGTCCTGCTGAAAGGTGACTTCATCTCCCAGTATGTTGGAAAGCAGACCGAACCAGGTTTTCCTCTAGGATTTTGCCTGTGCTTAGATTTTGCAGTTAATTTTTTATCCTGAAAAACTCCCCAGTCCTTAACGATTACAAGCGTACCCATAACATGATGCAGCCACCGCCATGCTTGAAAATATGGAGAGTGGTACTCAGTAATGTGTTGTGTTGGATTTGCCCCAAACATAACACTTTGTATTCAGGACAAAAAGTTAATTGCTTTGCCACATTTTTTGCAGTATTACTTTAGTGCCTTGTTGCAAACAGGAGGCATGTTTGAGAATATGTTTTATTCTGTACAGGCTTCGTTCTTTCCACTCTGTCAATTAGGTTAGTATTGTGGAGTAACTACATTTACATTTTAGTCATTTAGCAGACGCTCTTATACAGTGCATACATTATTTTTCATACTGGCCCCCCATGGGAATTGAACCCACAACCCTGGCGTTGCAAACGCCATGCTCTACCAACTGAGCTACATCCCAGCCAGCCATTCCCTCCCCTACCCTGGACAACACAGGTCACGGCCGGCTACGACAGAGCCTGGATTCAAACCAGGATCTCTAGTGGCACAGCTAGCACTGCGATGCAGTGCCTTAGACCACTGCGCCACTCGGGAGACTACAATGTTTTTGATCCATCCTCAGTTTTCTCCTATCACAGCCATTCAACTCTGTAACTGTTTTAAAGTCAACATTGGCATCATGGTGAAATCCCTGAGTGGTTTCCTTCCTCTCCGGCAACTGAGTTAGGAAGGACGCCTATATCTTTGTAGTGACTCTGTGTATTGATACACCATCCAAAGTGTAATTAATAACTTCACCATGCTCAAAGGGATATTCAATGTCAGTTTTATTTTATTTTTTACCAGTAGGTGCCCTTTGCGAGGCATTGGAAAACCTCCCTGGTCTTTGTGGTTGAATCTATGTTTGAAATTCACTGCTCAATTGAGGACCTTGCAGATAATTGTTTGTGTGGGGTACAGAGATTAGGTAATCATTCAAAAATAATTTTAAACACTATTATTGCACACAGAGTGAGTCCATGCAACTTATTATGTGACTTGCTAAGCACATTTTTACTCCTGAACTTGCCATAACAAAGGGGTTACTTATTGACGCTTTTTATTTTTAATTAATTAGTAAGAATTTCGAAAAACATAGTTCCACTTTGACATTACGGGGTAGGCCTATTGTGTGTAAGCCAGTGACCAACAAAATCTAAATTTAATTATTTTTAAATTCATGCTCTAACACAACAAAATGTGGAAAAGTAAAGTGGTTTGAATACTTTCTGAAGGCACTGTATCTACTAGTGACATTAGTGACAATGTTATGTCTGTCTCTCTCTCTCTCTCTCTCTCTCTCTCTCTCTCTCTCTCTCTCTCTCTCTCTCTCTCTCTCTCTCTCTCTCAATTCAATTCAATGGGCTTTATTGGCATGGCAAACATATGTTTACATTGCCAAAGCACGAGCGCACACACACACACACAGCAGTGTTCCCTGCCCCTAAATGTATTTAATGATTCACTGGCACAGTGGAACCACCCATTCATGACGTGACCCCAACCAGTCGCTGCTATCTGTAGCCTAATGATGCAGGACAACAACAGTGCTGTGCTTTAGCTGGGACACTTGACTCGATCTGCGGGGCTTCGGACAGTCAGTCGACAAGACATCGCTCCGGCTGCACGCACCTGCGACAGGTGGCATAAACTCCGTTTTAACATTCACAAAAGGTAGGTTGAGAATGTACAGAATGGACTAGATAATGTTACAATAGTCTATAGATCTTTTTATGTCTTTATGGTTACTGGTGAATGTTTGAAATACAGTTGTATCATGTTCTATAACAAGTTGGAAAATGTCCTCGAAGCCTTTCGAAATACTCAAAATAGCCTTTGTAAACACTCGAGGAATACAACGGTAAACAGTAATAGGCTAGTAGTCTATATTAGACCCTCTTTGATATATGTATGCATGTTTTATGCTGTCATAAAAGGTCTGCTGAATTTTGAATAGTTTGTTTGCACCCCATTTGCATGTATTTCACACAATGGTTTAATTTGAGAATGTAAGGCCTGTAATAATGACAAACTGCTGATTAGATGGGTAATACACTTGACTATAAATAGTTATCAGCCTTCAAATGGGTTTCTAACTAACTTTTCAAACCTCTACTGTAGCAAAATACAATCTACTCTTGAGGACATATGGCTGATCCACAAGATTGTATTTAGTTAAAGTAGAGGTTACTGTATTTATTCAGTAGGCCTAAAGGTTATACATTTCCCAAGATCAAGGAAGGAACATTTCAAAACATTCATCCAGTCTTGGCAAGTGACTGTGTGGGGGAGGTTTGAATCCTGACCTAAGCCATCCCATGCACATTTGTGGACATGGAAATGGCAAAATAATATTTACCATGGAAACGTGTCCACTGATATGAACTCTCCAAAACACCAAATGTCCTTCGTTGTGCCTGCGTTGGGTTTCAAACCAGAACTACCAGTTTTTCAGGGTCAGACTGGCATAGGGGGACCAGCAGCAGAGTCACACACAGATGGGGGTGCTATCATGTCATGATGTTCTTACTGTGTCCTTTGTGCAATGACAGGTCTATGAAGCACTGATGTAGGCTCCTGGTGGGTACGGAATGGACCAAGACCATGGCGAATTGTAATCCAGTGAGTGTTTCTGTCTGTAGTGTGGTGTCCAACCACGGACAACCAGGCCTTTGTGCAAATACAGTCAATGAAGGATTTAATCCTAGTTTTGGTTACTGGTTGTTTACACCGCTTTGCTCCATCATTCATCTATTTTCTATGTATCATCTAGCTTAGATCACCGTCCTCCACCCTCAGTGAGGTCAACCTGGGACCTTCAGCAAACCCACAGTATGTACAGTATTAAGAGTCATGGGTTTCAATAATCCACAATGCCATGTAGAACTGACATCTGGCAACCCTTTACCAATGGAATTGTGGTCCTGATGTCATATTAATTAATTGACAAAACTATTTTTATCTCGATTTGATGCCATACATCAATTGCAACCACAACATACACTGAGTGTAAAAAACATTAAGAACACTTGCTCTTTCCGTGACATATACTGACCAGGTGAATCCAGGTGAAAGCTATGATCCCTTATTGACGTCACTTGTTAAATCTACTTCAATCAGTGTAAATTAAGGGGAGGAGACAGGTTAAAGAAAGATTTTTAAGCCTTGAGATAATTGAGACATGGATTGTTTGTGTATGCCAGAGGGTGAATGGGCAAGACAAAATATTTAAGTGCCTTTCAACCGAGTATGGTAGTAGGTGCCAGGCGCACCGGTTTGTATCAAGAACTGCAACACTGCTGTTTTTTTTAACGCTCAACAGTTTCCTGTATGTATCAAGAATGGTCCACTACCCAAAGGACACCCAGCCAACTTGACTAAATATTAGGAAGGTGTTCTTAATGTTTTGTACACTCAGTGTACATTGCTGTACATGTGCTTTTGAGGCTTGATTGAAAATGTTATTTCATGCATCATACTAGAGTCATGATGCGAGACGGTTGTCTCTGCCATAACCTGTTATGATAGGTGTTATCTCCATCCATATGACACAGATATCTGTATCATCATTCCTGTCTTGTTTCAGTGCCAAGCCCACTGACTTTGACTTCATGGCTGTTATTGGAAAAGGGACCTTTGGGAAGGTAAGACTGCTGTTTGCCTGATAAAAGGCTGCATGCTTTCATCAATTATTAACTCAGTCTATGCCGGACTGTTATGGTTACCTTGATGAAAAGGCAAAAAACAAACAATGAAACAATGAATGAGGATAGTTTTTCACAAATTGTACTCAGGATGAGCAGCCATTTTTAATTATTCCAGTTCAGTCGCAGTCCTTTTTCATTGTGTCAATTACTTTTTTCTATATTTTGTGTGACCGATAATAAAATATGTTATTTGTGTGTACTCATTGCCCTTCTATTTTTAAGATAGGGTTATGATAAGAGAGTGTCATATTAGTAGGTGACGTTTTGAGGAAACAATCAGAAATGTACTGACAACCACCCTGCATCCAGGTCCTGCTCGCCAAGCTCAAAGCTGACAATAAATTCTATGCTGTCAAAGTTCTACAGAAGAAAGTCATCCTGAAGAAAAAGGAGGTTGGTCTATAAACTTTTCATTTTGTTATTCATTATCACAACAAACTCGCATATAGTTGATTTATTTTCTGTTTTAAAGGTCAACTCAATTACACTAGCAAATCCCTTCATGTCAGTGTATATTCAATGTGTGTATGATTTTCATTGTGTAGCAGAACTGGTTTAGCCTAAATCTGTGTTGTGTGTTTCTAAGAAAGATAACATCTAATCTAATCTGAAGTGTGTTCTGTCCTTTGTACTCCGACAGACTGATTTTACAGCCCCCAGTCTCTGTTTTGTGTTTCCTACATACTGTACATTCCCATAATCAGTACTGTTATATTCCCTGGTTTTTGAATCACTTGATAGTTATAACAATCAGCAAATTAATGTTGGACTTTCTGAGCTACTTACAGACACACGCTATAGCTGTCTGACATACCTACTCAGTCCTGTAACAAGAATGACTCCCTCCTCAAGTGAAGTGTTATCTCAATGAAGCCAACTTACTTTATATACTGAGAGCCTGTTGTCTGCCTTGGAAACCAGGGCCATAGCTACAGTGGAGAACACTAGTCAGAAGTGTGTAGGCGGCTGCACTTTCAGCAGCATAAATAACACTGAGGACCTTGTAGGAAAGAGGTTCTCTCTCTCTCTCTCTCTCTCTCTCTCTCTCTCTCTCTCTCTCTCTCTCTCTCTGTATATCATCTCTTGTCTTGTGCTTGGGGCCGAAGCAGTGGTGGTGACAGGGGCCTGTATTCTGCTGTGTCCTGCCTTCTGCCTCGTGTCCGCTGGTTCAATGCTGCTTTGTGTCCTCTAGCAAAAGAACATCATGGCAGAGAGGAACGTGCTGCTGAAGAGCCTGAAGCACCCTTTCCTGGTGGGCCTCCACTACTCCTTCCAGACCCCAGAGAAGCTCTACTTTGTCCTCGACTATGTCAACGGGGGAGAGGTAGCTAGCTAACGGCCCTGGGTCTTGTGTCTCAGAAGGTTTCATGTGACTGTTTGGATATGGCAAATGATAAAAGGAGTGGACTGTAGCAATGTTCCCAATAAGTAATCCTTTATTTATATTAAAGCTACCAAGCTATTGACAGCACAGAAGCAGCAGAGCAGTGTGGCATAGCCCCAAGCCCTTGGCTCAATCAGTGTAGTGACAACAAACACATTACTCCCCTTTAATCATTGGCTCAGTCCACAGTGTCTTTATCACAGCGTTATTATGAGTTAATAATGTAACAGTAGTAATATTACATGCTTCGTCAGAGTCAAGCTGAATGACAGTTAAAACAACATGTCAGAACTGTTTTCTCTCTCCTTTCTCCCTCTATATCTAACCTCTCTCTTTCTCTCTCTCTCTCATAGCTCTTCTTCCACCTGCAGAGGGAGCGGTGCTTCTTGGAGCCGAGGGCAAGGTTCTATGCTGCTGAGGTAGCCAGTGCCATCGGCTACCTTCACTCCCTCAACATCGTTTACAGGTCAGCCATAAGGACATATTCACGTAGAAACAACACATTATTATGTACAGTATTGAGGTTCAGTGAAACAAAATATCTTTGTTTGTTTGTTCTTATGTAGAGATCTAAAGCCAGAGAATATTCTCTTAGACTTTCAGGTAAGTGTTGACTCATAAGTGGATGTAATGTTATTGGATTGTTTTCAATATCTCAACTCACTTCCTTCTCATCTTAGAGAAGACGGTTCAAGAGTTCACAATACAGTATCATATGCAGTCTGTAAGTTCCTGTAATATTGGGATGGTGTTTAAAATGTGTGTTCCAGGGCCATGTGGTACTTACAGACTTTGGGCTGTGTAAAGAGGGAGTGGAGCCGGAGACCACCACGTCCACTTTCTGTGGAACCCCTGAGGTGAGGGATAGCCCTGAGATAGTGTCTGTGCTCAATGATATGTTAACGATAATGCATGTCTAATAGTCACACCGCTTGACTTTTTCCACATTTTGTTGTGTTACAAAGTGGGATAAAAATGTATTTAATTGTCATTTTTTGTCAACGATCTACACAAAATACTCTGTAATGTCAAAGTGGAATAAAAATTCTAACATTTGTTTTCAATTCATGGAAAATAAAATACTAATATATCTTGACTAGATAAGTATTCAACCCCCTGAGTCAGTACACATTAGAATCACCTTTGGCAGCGATTACAGTCTCTAAGAGCATGGATTGTACAATATTTGCACATTATTCTATAAAAAAATGTTCAAGCTCTGTCAAGTTGGTTGTTGTTCATTGCTAGACAGACATTTTCAACTCTTGCCATAGATTTTCAAGCCGATTTGTCAAAGCTGTAACTAGGCCACTCAGGAACATTCAATGTCGATTTGGTAAGCAACTCCAGTGTATATTTGGCCTTGTGTTTTAGGTAGCTGTTCTGCTGAAAGGTGAATTTTCTTCCCGTGTTTGTTGGAAAGCAGACTGAACCAAGTTTTCCTGTAGGATTTCCCTGTGAATAGCTCTATTCCATTTATTTGTATCCAAAAAAACTCTCTAGTCCTTGCGGATAGCAAGCATACCCATAACATGATGCAGCCACCACCATGCTAAAATATGAAGGGTGGTACTCAGTCATGTGTTGTGTTGGATTTGTACCAAACATAATGCTTTGTATTCAGGACCGAAAGTTAATTTCTTTGCCACATTTTTGGCAGTATTACTTTAGAGGCTTATTGCAAACAGGACAAATGTTTTGGAATATTTGTATTCTGTACAGGCTTCCTTCTTTTCACTCTGTAATTTATGTTAGTATTGTGGAGTAACTACAATGTTGTTGATCCATCCTCAGTTATCTCCTATCACAGCCATTAAACTCTGTTTTAACTGTTTTAAAATCACCATTGGCCTCACAGTGAAATCTCTCAGCGGTTTCCTTTCTCTCCGGCAACTGAGTTAGGAAGGGTGCTTGTATCTTTGCAGTGACTGGGTGTGTTGATACACCATCCAAAGTGTGCCCTTCTTTGAGAACCATTGGAAAATCTCCCTGGTCTTTGTGGTTGAATCAGTGCTTGAAATTCATTGCTCGACTGAGGGACCTTACAGATAATTGTATGTGTGGGGTACAGAGATTGGATGTTCATTTAAAAATCATGTTAAACACTATTATTGCACTCAGAGTGAGTCCATGCAACTTATTATGTGGCTTGTTAAGCACATTTTTACTCCTGAACTTATTTAGGCTTGCCATAACAAAAGGGTTGAATACTTATTGACTGAAGACATTTCAGCTTTACATTTTTTATTAATTTGTAAACATTTCTAAAAACATAATTCCACTTTGACATTATGGAGTATTGTGTGTAGATCAGTGACACAAAATCTCAAGGGGTGTGAATACTTTCTGAAGGCACAGTATCTATCTGTTTATTTAACTCTCTCTGTCTCTGTAGTATTTGGCCCCTGAGGTTCTGCGTAAGGAGCCCTATGACCGCACAGTGGACTGGTGGTGTCTGGGAGCTGTGCTCTATGAGATGATCTACAGTCTTGTACGTTTTTCAATCTTATATAGCTACTGTACTTAGCGCAAACTAAGGCCAACCCAAATATTGTTTACACGTGCAGCAAATATCCAAGACAATTATGTTACCAACTTCAGGAAATGCTTCTGGTGTAGCTGGCTGCTACAGTACTGTGTCTCTTCTCTGCTCTACTCACCCTGTTTCTGTTTTTCTAGCCCCCGTTCTACAGCCGGGACGTGTCTGAGATGTACGATGGCATCCTACACAAGCCTCTGCCGCTGCCCCCAGGGAAGTCAGGCGCTGTCTGTAGTCTGCTCCAGGGCCTCCTGCAGAAAGATCAGCACCGCAGGTTGGGAGCCATCGCTGACTTTGTGAGTCACTGACTGGACCGTCTCCACGACACCCTATTCCCTTTATAGCCCTATGTGGGCTCTGATCAATAGTCCACTATATGCCATTTCTGCAGTGGTTTAAAGTACTTAAGTAAAAATACTTTAAAGCACTACATAAGTAGTTTTTTGGGGTATCTGTACTTTAGTTTACTATTCATATTTTTGACAACTGGTGTGTTCCCCTGGCTAGCCGTACATTTAAAAAATAAGAAAATGGTGCTGTCTGGTTTACTTAATAAAATGAATGTGAAAAGATTTATACTTCTACTTTGATACTTAGTAAATTTAAGCAATTACACTTAATTTTGATACTTAAGTACAGTTGAAGTCGGAAGTTTACATACACCTTAGCCAAATACATTTAAACTCAGTTTTTCACAATTCCTGACATTTAATCCTAGTAAAAATTCCCTGTCTTAGGTGTCAGTTAGGATCACCACTTTATTTTAAGAATGTGAAATGTCAGAATAATAGTAGAGAGAATGATTTATTTCAGCTTTTATACTTTCATCACATTCTCAGTGGGTCAGAAGTTTACATACACTCAATTAGTATTTGGTAGCATTGCCTTTAAATTGTTTAACTTGGGTCAAACGTTTTGGGTAGCCTTCCACAAGCTTCCCACAATAAGTTGGGTGAATTTTGGCCCATTCCTCCTGACAGAGCTAGTGTAACTGAGTCAGGTTTGTAGGCCTCCTTGCTCGGACACGCTTTTTCAGTTATGCTCACGAATGTTCTATAGGGTTGAGGTCAGGGCTTTGTGATGGCCACTCCAAAACCTTGACTTTGTTGTCCTTAAGCCATTTTGCCACAACTTTGGAAGTATGCTTGGGGTCATTGTCCATTTGGAAGACTCATTTGCGACCAAGCTTTAACTTCCTGACTGATGTCTTGAGATGTTGCTTCAATATATCCACATCATTTTCCTTCCTCATGATGCCATCTATTTTGTGAAGTGCACCAGTCCCTCCTGCAGCAAAGCACCCCCACAACATGATGCTGCCACCCCCATGCTTCACGGTTGGGATGGTGTTCTTTGGCTTACAAGCATTCCCCTTTTTCCTCCAAACATAACGATGGTCATTATGGCCAAACAGTTCTATTTTTGTTTCATCAGACCAGAGGACATTTCTCCAAAAAGTACGATCTTTGTCCCCATGTGCAGTTGCAAACCGTAGTCTGGCTTTTTTATGGCGGTTTTGGAGCAGTGGCGTCTTCCTTGCTGAGCGGCCTTTCAGGTTATGTCGATATAGGACTCGTTTTACTGTGGATATAGATACTTTTGTACCTGTTTCCTCCAGCATCTTCATAAGGTCCTTTGCTGTTGTTCTGTGATTGATTTGCACTTTTCGCACCAAAGTACGTTCATCTCTAGGAGACAGAACGTGTCTCCTTCCTGAGCGGTATGACTGCTGCGTGGTCCCATGGTGTTTATACTTGCGTACTATTGTTTGTACAGATGAACGTGGTACCTTCAGGCGTTTGGAAATTGCTCCCACGGATGAACCAGACTTGTGGAGGTCTACACATTATTTTCTGAGGTCTTGGCTGATTTATTTTGAATTTCCCATGATGTCAAGCAAAGAGGCACTGAGTTTGAGGGTAGGCCTTGAAATACATCCACAGGTACACCTCCAATTGATTCAAATGATGTCAATTAGCCTATCAGAAGCTTCTAAAGCCATGACATCATTTTCTGGAATTTTCCAAGCTGTTTAAAGGCACAGTCAACTTAATGTATGTAAACTTCTGAACCACTGGAATTGTGATACAGTGAATTATAAGTGAAATAATCTGTCTGTAAACCATTGTTGGAAAAATTACTTGTGTCATGCACAAAGTAGATGTCCTAACCGACCTGCCAAAACGATAGTTTGTTAACAAGAAATGTGTGGATTGGTTGAAAAATGAGTTTTAATGACTCCAACCTAAGTGTATGTAAACTTCCGACTTCAACTGTATATTTAAAACCAAATACTTTTAGACTTTTACTCAAGTAGTATTTTACTGGGTGACTTTCACTTTTACTTGAGTCATTTTATTAAGGTATCTTTATTTTTACTCAAGTATGACAATTGGGTACTTTTTCCACCACTGCATTTCTGACGCATACCATGCCATTGCCGTTTACAGTGTTTCACACATTTTGAGTGTGTTATACACTGGTCAAATCTCATATCATCCTGAAAGGTTCTTGTTTTGCTTTACAGCTACAAATCAAGAACCATGTGTTCTTCTCCCCGATTAACTGGGATGACCTGTACCACAAGAGAATCACTCCTCCATACAACCCCAATGTGGTGAGTTGTTTGTGCTGCCAGTTGTTTCTTACCATCTTCTCTAACTTCGATCTTCACTGCTTTTTTTCTAAAACTTTCTCTCACTACCTTATCTTTGTAACCTTCACTCTTACCTATGTTTTCTCTAGCAATCCCCTCTATTTCCTAACAAGTCCCCTCTCTCTTCTCCTTTAGAAAGGGCCAGCGGACACACAGCACATAGACCCAGAGTTCACCAGAGAGATGGTGCCTAACTCAGTGGGCCGCACTCCTGAGCTCAACACCGGCACCAGCAGCTCCAATGCATTCAATGGCTTCTCCTACATCTCTGGTGAAGACAGCTTCCTCTGAGACAGGGAGGAAGGTCCCTCACAGCACCACCACTGCCGAGGTCGAGGTAGAAGTTACCCGTAACCACATATCTACAATTCCATTCCTTAACCCCAAATCCTAACCTTAACCTTTAAGTCAGGAGGATAAAAAATATATTTTACCCTGGATTCAGCAGTTAGTGGCAACCTCTATCAACTTCATAACTTCTTCGCAGCCATAGAAATTTAGCACATTGAACATCATGCATTTTTGTGTAGGTGACGCAAGAAAAAGATGTTGTAAGAAAACATTTAAATGCATCACCCAATTGTTGCTTTTGCTGTAGGTGACTGCACTATGCATTCTATTTATATGTCCTCGTCTCTGCTTGAATTCTCATTTCAGGACAGTCTTTTGGCACATCCAATCGTGCTGGACTTTTTATTTGCTAGCAGACATTAGATGTTGATTTAATTCTCCTTTCACTACAATGTAAAGTCAACAGTGTGACTACATAAAGGACATGTAAATACAGTACACATCCCTAGATGCTATGTGTAGAAGGTAAAGCATCAGGTTCTATGGAAAGTTGTGGTGTGTGGATTAAGATGGTCTGATTATCTAGACATCACTAGAACAGGCAGACACAAATAATGTGTGTGAAACTCTAGTCGAAACCATATTTCTGCTCTTTAAGTGCTGTTTTTAATACAAACACTGTCGACTTTCCAAACATTTCTTGTTTTTAATGAAACATATTATATTGAGTATATATATTGATATTATCACTGAGTTTTTGTAGATTAGAGTACATAGAGGCTTGACTGGAATATTGCGTCCAGGAATGCTTAACAGCAACATAAACCTATGCCAGATTCTTCTTACAGCTGTAAAGGTGCGTGCCATGGTGCTATTAACCTTGTGGAACAAAACATGTGATTGTGTCAACACAACAGGTGACATTAAAGACTGTTGACATGCCAGCACCATGTTAAAGATGACTGATGCTCAATGAAGCACAGTTACAAGTATGTGTACATAACTTTACAATAAATCACTACCCTACCCATATGTTTACCGTGTCTTGCGTTGACAGATTTTCCATTGATTCAACTGTGAAATGAAAACCAACACTATGAAGAAAGAATGACTTAAAACATTTTTCTTTATTTCTCAAAACGTTTCATTTTATTTTCATAAAACAAAACAAGCAACACATACAAAATCAATCAAAAACATGACAAAAGGCAAGACAGGGATCACTGACTGGCAGAGAACATGCTGAACAGCTCATCGCATTTATTTCACGCTGCACAGAGGACATGTGTGTGTTTTCCCTAAGTGTCATCACACAGAGGTGTTCATCCATGAACAATGACAACAATACTTTTAAGTGGGACCCTGATGCCTGACAACAAACAACTAAACAGAGACAGGTGTTCAACCTTGTGATTTCATAGAACCAGGATTGCACTGTCAACCCGTGCATTTCCTGTTTTGGGATGTATTGTGAGTGTGTGTTTGACCAAAAACACTTGTGTGTAAAGTGTGTCCATCCTATTTTTTGTAATTGCGCTTGCTAAAGAAAAAGCCGATGAGCAGCAGGACCACAAAGATGGCCAGGAAGATGCCCAGTGCAAGACCAGAGGGCAGAGGGTGAGGAGGGAACGCCCCATACACATACACACTGAACGTAGTGGTCAGCATGCAGTAGCTGCAGAAACACAGAGACAGTCAATATCATCATAAATATTACAAGATCAATGACAATCCAGTTTTAATGTGTACTATAGAATATGTATGGCAGGGTTCTTCAATTCCGGTCCTGGAGGGCCGAAACACCTCTGTTTTTCATCCTCTCCTTCTAATCCGGGGCTAATTCAGACCTGGGACACCAGGAGGGTGCAATTAACTACCAGGTAGAAATAAAAAACAGAAGTGTTTCGGCCCTCCAGGACCGGAATTGAAGAACCCTGATGTATGGCATACAAATAGTATACTGGCTATGTATTATGGGTCTTTTCCAAAATTATACTCCACTTGGTATGAAAGTATTCAACTACTGTATTCAACCTTCAGTTGATGTGCTATGCAGCCTAGTAACTAAATGCCCTCCTGAAAGAGGTTGTTTACCCTCCTGGTCCACACTGACCTGTAGCTAGGATCCACCACTATGACTTTGAACACGTACATCCCGTTGTAGTTGGGAAACAAGATTCTGTTTCTTGTGCCCATGTTGAGGACCTGATACTGGGCTTCTGGGTCAGTGATGGGCGGGCCATCAGAATCCTTGCAGCTCTTATAATTCTTAACCAGGAAGAGGAGAAAGATAAACCCCAGAGAAATGATGCTCGGTAGCCAGGTACAAAGCAAGCAGAGGGATGAATGTAAGCCATCTTAATGAGAGGACGAGGACAATGTATCGGCATTTGATAAGTTGATGAATATGTTGGATGAATATTCAATTAAAATGTGGTAAATAGAGCTAGATAAGATCATCCCTCAGGATACAGGCTATATGATTATGGTTACAGTGCAAGGAGCCTCTAGTCTACAGTGCTGTGTGAACAAATTCCTATCAACCATTATTGACTGGTGATTAAGTATGAATTAAATTGAATTGTTATAGAATGTGTACATACACTCCTGGTCCAGGCGGTGTTGGGGTTAGGTTCATATTGCTGCTGGCTCAGCAGAGAGGTCCAGTTCTGGGGCTGGGAGACGCACTTGGCATCCTGGACCGACTGGAGGTACTGGTAGTTATACATGCCGTTAACTTCGAACATCACGAAGTCAGCGCTCACCTGCTCCACAAACTCATTACCGTTCCAGCTGCAAAGGGACAGGGCTGGTTTGGAGGTACATGCCATGTTCACCTGCTCTAGAAAAGGCTGTGTGGTGGGTTGGCACTGGCATTGTTACTCTGTGATGGAGTGCCATGATGTTCTATGGTCTTTGTGTGTGTGTCAACTAGTTCTATCAAAGGTCTGAACTCCACTTCACAGAGATGACAGGTTTCTTACACTGAACGTTCTACAGTAACAGCTGTTAAGGGGTTGCCCATGTGTGTATTTTGAGGGGTTTGAGGTTTACTCACAGCTCCAGGGAGGGTATCCAGGGGGTGTCGTGATAGACCAGTAGGGGGCAGAAGTAGTCTGTGATGCTGTAGGAGATGTGCAGGTCACTGGAGGCAGAGCCAGGCCGGAACAGGTGCTGAGGGTCATACACAGCTCTGGGAGGAGGAGGAGGAGGAGGAGGAGGTAGAGGTGAAGGAGGAAGAGGATAATGAGAGGAATACTAGTCGTTATAACTGACATGACACAAATATATATAATATATAATAATACCCTTCTTACAACGCTGTGATACCTTATTTTGCGCAAGGCTTAAAGGTAGACTCAGCGATATGACGTAGGTGCACAAAGTAAACAGCATAGTGGGTCAATTTCCACCACAACAAGAGCGTTGAAGCGCAAGGCTAAACTCCCCCACTGTTTTGGTCCCATACCTACTACGCTCTAACAGCGTGACACGAACGCATGCACATGCGCAGATACTGTGTGTGACTGTGTGGGAGCGAAGACTTGCATCTATCTCGCTCATCGCAATATCTGCGCTGCTGCTCGTGGCAACGTCATTTAGCTGAATCTACCTTTAATGTTCCACGAATGAAAAAGTTAAATACTCTACTTTGGCATTACAAGCATCTTTTTATAGAACAGATCATATGTTGATTAAACATTTCTATCAACCATGATAGTCTAGAATCTAGATCCATCAGTGCTCTGTGTGTCACAGCCCCGTTCGCACAACCTACTTGGGGATGACGTAAGAGAAGTTGTCCTGAAGCTGCTCTTGAGTGAATGTGCCTTTAGTGCAAGTGGTTATGTCCCTGTGGCAAAAACAACAATGACAGAAAGAACAAATGAGTTTGGACACTCAGATGTTACAGTAGAATAGTTCAGAAATGTTTTCAATGTTTTGAAAATAGGGAATACGGCATGAAGATTTATCCCTCACTTAAGAATACGGGTATGCTTTCCAGGAGGGCATCCAACAAGAATGTGAGCTTTCTAAAACGGGAAAAAGAACAACAAACAATGTTAAGATATTAGTATGTACGAAATTCCACACTGGAGGGCCATAGACTTTTCTGTACACTGTGAGGACAAACTAACATGTCCTTTCGATGTTAACTCATACACATTGTCGTGACTGTTAGAGGGCTGTGTTTCTGACCAGGGGGTTGAAGTCTTTGCAGGACACGTTCCTTCCCATCAGGTCTACTGCGACTGTGGAGAGACTGCCTTTACGTAGACTGGAACTGACCCAGAGAAAACACAACACATCAGCAACAAGAACATACAGCACCCTCTGCTGGAGAGACCACTGTCCTTCTACCAGCTAAAACTCCTATTGCCAATTTGCCATCTTTGAAAAGTTGAGAATGCATTCTTACCTCGGCTTGAGGGTTCCGTCTGCCGCCTCCATAAATGACAACTGCTTCAGTTCAATGTCCTGCCATTCAAAATACAGCATGTTAAGAGACCGAACCCCCCCATCTAAACTGTGTCGAAATGATAATGGACCTAGATTCATACATTTTCGTGACTGTGTCCAGCACCTAAATTAAAGCTAGACAGTCAAGGAGCATAGAAAATTCCAAAAACAATGGATAGAGGACTATCTTTTGCTCATTTTGATGGCGAGGAAATATAACACATTTTCAGTGCGGCCCTCCGGACCTCATTGAAGACAGAATGCGGCCCCCAGGGCAAAATGAGTGTGACACCCCTGGTCTAGGGATTCAGTTGTACCAGGCGGTATTTCTTGGTGCCCTCTGTAGTAATGCCATCCTCCACACACTTCTCATCTACGGACAGAAGCTTAGACTCTGTAACTGTCACCTGGTCACACACAAGAGGAGGAGAACAAGGACACAGTTCAGATTCATTCATTGTATTTGCATGACAACAGTAGCACAGATCTGGGACCAGGCTACTGTGAAGGCTACGGTGAAGTTTATGAACTTCTTACCAGGGGGAAGAATTTGCAAAGAGGTGAGGGGATGTAGACAGCAGACAGGTGGACGGTGCTGCCCATGTCGATGTAGAAGAGCTCCCCTGCAAACGTGCTGTGGAACTGCTCCACCTGGAGTGGGAAGAGAAACATGGCTACGTCTCAGACGACACCTTATTCTCTATGTACTCGTGTTTTTTTCTGGATCAAAAAGGGGTTTAGTTTGTGGGCGTGGCAGGGGGCGTGGCTATGGGCGCAGTCGGCCCATCAGGTGCTGAATTTAAGCCAATTTCCAAAGCCAATGTTTATCCATGGAGCTGAGATTATTTTTTTCGTTTTTAAAGCACATTTTGGCAAAGGGCGTGGAGAAAATGTTACAGATCCACATTTTTGGTGGGGTTTTCTTATTACAATTGTTGCATTTTTTTTGCTAATTTCCTGCAATTCTCAGAATTTCTCCATGGATCTGTGATACATTTTTTCAGTTTTAAAGTTAATTTCCTGCAATTGTACACCTTTTGCCATGGAGCCGAGAGAAAATGTTGCAGTTTTAAAGATAATTTCCTGCAATTCTATGCATTTTCACATGGCTAATGCTGTGTTCTTTTGCTCAAACTTAATAACAAAATCAATACTGTTAAATTAATTGTTTTTGGAATTCTCAATTCCTCTGACTGTTTAGCTTTTATTTTGGTGATTGTTAGTTCTCAAAGATTATATTATTTAAAAATATATAGGTCCATTATCTTATCTACATACTTTATATTTGGTTTTATTTGTTTAAATTTACACTGAAAGCGTTTTTCCACCCCGAAAATGTATTTCAATAAATGTTTTACTTATTTTTCAGTTTGGACTTAGGCCTCCCGAAAAAACGCTTAGGCAGCCCACCCAGGGGTTTCTATGGCAGAAAATGTCTGGTACTGTATGTTGGGGAATAGGATGTAATTTGCTGCTTTTACATTTGTTTTGTCTCTCTACATAGAGAATGTGATGCGTCATTTGTCATGTAGTTTATCTTCACTCACTGGGCAGGACTGAACGGGTGGTGTGGTACGTGTTAGCTCCTGCTGGACAATGATAACCTTATGGTTAAAGTCCACCCCTGTGAGCAGCAGGTCCTCCCGGGCTTCGATCAGCATCAGGTCCCCATAGTCACTGAACAGCATCAGGTTGTCCTTGGACATGTCAATGACAGACGCAAACTGAAACAGGCAGGCAGACACAGGACAGTACAATACATTATAATACAGGACAGCTCTCTGTTACTGACAGTGGATTTATCTATCCAGTCAGGACCATAGACGTCATTTTGTATAATAATACATAAGGTGTTCACCCACTCTGCCCAGAGTGGGTGAACAGTGGGGTCAGTGGGGTCTTTCAGTGGGGTCTTTCTCTAACATATCATTAACATTATATCCAAAAAGTCGGATTTCGTAACCTAATACATCTGATAATAAGCACTGAGCTCTGTTTACAGAGCGATGCCGCTTTCTCACAGGAACTTTTGAGGATTTTACATGTTGCGGTGGTCGTCTGCAAAGTTGTTTCCGCGGGTCGCAAAAATCTAAATTAGCATGACACAAGCTGAATTAAATGTAAAAGGCTTTGAAAATAAAAAATATTGCGGTACGCTCAGTGCTCCGTTGACATTTCACAGAGATACGCTTGTTTTTGTGAGATTTAATCGAAAAAATTACAGACATTTCACATTAATATGAAAAGCGTATATTAAAATATGACAATACTACACGTCATGTCTCAAAATCGATATCCATCTTTCCTCTATATTGTTTTATGTCCTCCGGATTCCAGAAGAAAGATGACGAGTTAAACTGTGAGCCTCTCATTTATCCGTAATTCTAGCACAGCATCCAGTCTAGCTGACTAAATGCTATTTTCCTGATTTCTGGCCACTTTTTTTCTCTGGCCTCCATTGATTTAGTCATCTTAATTTTGGCCATCCTACAAGGCTAAAAATTCCAATAACTTTTAAACGGATTATGATAGAGACATGAGGTTTGGAGCATTGGTTTTCTCAGAGGAGTATCTACACAATCAGCATATTTAGCATTATTTTACCCATTGATCAAAAGATGCGTTTTGGATTGGACACCCTATAATACATGTGTAAAATATACAGGCCTACAGTGTATACAGTATGTATGACAACACTGGTCAGGACTCAGAATATCTCACTACCACTTAAGGGATTTCAGAACTTGCAGTTGAAGCAGTTGCAATTGAGTTACACTATATGAAAGCAGTTCCACAACATTGTGAGGGTGGCAGGTAGCCTGTGGGGGTGGCAGATAGCCTAGCAGTTAGAGAAGCGGGCCAGCAACTGGAGAAATGCCAGTTTGAATCCCAGCTAGGTAAAATCTGGTGCGGAGTTAGCATTGAAACAATGGGTCAGCCGCTGTGCAACCGGAGGGTTGCTAGGGTCACCTAGATACCATCGCCTGCTGTTGTGCCCTTGAGCAAGGCACTTAACCTGCTATAATTGCTCCGGGGGGCTGCACAGCGGCTGACCCATTGTTTCAATGTGTCTTTGGGGGTTGGGTTGTAAGCATAAAGAACATTTACATTCTCTGCAAGTTAATGGACAATGTACATCTTATCTGAAAAAAGCTACATGTAGAATTTTTGAATTGTAATTTCAGAAAAGGTCTATAACATATCTGCAGTAATAGTGGAATTATAGTGTTTCACAATTTCACATTAATTTTTATTTTGGGCCAATACAACATCGCATTCTAAAATGCAGACTTTCTATTTGACAACCGAATAGTGTAGGGAATCATTGTACCATCAAAATAGCTGCTAAATATATTTTCAATGTGGACAAAACTGAAAGTAAAATAGCCATGTTACAGAGAAATGGGATGCGGGGGAGGGGGAGGGGGAGTTGTTTGGAAAGCAGTCTAGTTGTTGCAGTACACCTAGCACCTTTAATATGAACATGACATGTTAATCACATACTGTATGTACAGTACGTATGTACATCCTGAATACTTACCCTTACTGTAGTTGCCTCCAGTCCAGCCCTGCCATAATACAGTACCCCGTTGCTGGTGAGAACAGCCATTGCACCGTTGTCATCTAACCACACACAAGAGGGAGGATTCAGTGGTACCATGTTGGTTTAGTATAATTTACATAACACACACACACACATCTGTGTGATTTAGTCGTGACATTGTTTTAGTCTAATTTATGACACATGAACAAGTGAGCACACACACTCACACACAGAGTTGTCAAGTAGAGATTACCTGTTTCCACCTGTAAAATGGTGACTTTAGGAGGCGGGAGGGTGGCATTCTCTTCTCCCATAATGTACACTGGCACAATCACAACGCCTGAAAACCAAAATCGGCATTAAGATATGTCAGAACAGTGAGCCGAAAGGATATTCTTTGGTCACCCACTGGTATTCTTTAAATGGACTAATATCACAAGAAGAATCCAGCATCCAGCTGAGCAGCCTCATGCATGGGGACCCTTTAGATGGTGATTGTGTAGTACCATGGTTGGGTGAGTAGAGCAGCATGTGTGGAGACCAGATGATAAGGTGGCCTCTCATGCCTGCTGGCTGGATCACGTGGATGCTGGACAGCGGGTCTCGCATGGGGTGATCGTCTGTCTGCAGCGAACGACTTTCGGAAATATGCCGGAAAGAAAACTACCACACATTTTACAGCTGGTACACTGATCATGTCTGTGATTATTTGGTGACTTCAGAAAGGGCCGTGGTCAATCTCTCACCTTTCTTTGGTTGTCTGCTAACATAGCCACAATGCTTGACACAGTGGGCATGTTGAATACCCCTATTATAAATTCCTGTGAAATGAGAGTGAGAGTTGGCTTTTGGGGTGCTGCTGACTTTTTTATGCTTAGACCTGAGGACTATGAACTTGAATGATTTTGCATAAGTTTGATTGCTACGGTTAACTTCAAATAAATGTAAAATAACTTTGAGATGACACTGACTGACAGAGTATCCAAGCTCACCGTTGCCTTGGGGGCCATAGGGAGGTTAAAAAAGGAGCTGCCTCCATTCGAGGACATGTAGACCTGTTGGTCCTCAAGAGCACTCCCCAGATTGTACAGAAGAACAAAAGAGCTCACATCCTGTTGACAAAAAAATAATAAGACACAACACATAAAAAATATCACATCACATCACACAGCCATTCACAGCAGTCTAAAACAAATGTTGAACATACTACAGTGACACACGTGTTTGATGAGAGCAAAGATTTAGCTGAGGAGTTTACCATGCAGGCCTTGTCTTTGCTGAAGCAGCACTGTAGTGCAGATACAGTAGACACTGTGGATTTCACTCCTGAAACAAGAGGTCTGTGATGATCACTGCAGGACAATGGTTTTAATGAGCAGAAAGTAAATGATAGGAGGACATTAGGAAACCATTGCACATTATTTTCTACTAAAACTTGATATTTTAGGTGCATGGACATGGTTATATGCTCCAAACCTTGAGCAGGAGTCCATGTCCCTTTAGTTAGAGAGTATAAGTACAACTTTCCGTCGATCACAATTGCAAGGTTGTCCAACACAAAAACTGCAGAACTCACTGACCCCTGAAGCTTCTACAAATATGAGAAATGGTTATGAACTTCAATAAACATTAGTAACGCATGACATCAGTAATAGGCATCTGGAGTAAATATACAAGTTATCTATGTCATATCAATCGCACTTGGCATTATTCTTCAAATAATGTGGTATCTTACATTTAATTTGTTGGAGGTAGCTAAAGATAGTGTATTGGAAAGTGGGAGCACAATCTTGCTATATATTCACGACGTGAACAAATTATAGAGATAAATTACACATTGGTGGGTTGAGGGGAATTTGTACAGAGACTCACATCAGCCCCTTTATATTGGAGTGGAATGGCTGATTCCTCAAATAATGTCATTGTAATGAGGATCCACTTCCTGTTATTGGAATGAGAAATGAGGCGAGAACATTTTCAAGAAAACCACTGTGCTAAACAAGATTGGAAGAAGTTGCTAGCTAGCCTAGTAATAGCAAAAAGTTTCACCCCATGTACAAGGCCATTTGATTGTCGCAGTGACTTCGAACCAGAGCTGGTCGTTTCTCCGCAGAATACAAGAATGTCTGATGAGAAACATTGAGATGGTTAACTTTATGTTAGCTGGCTAGCTAGAGGTTGAACAATGGAAGACATTCCCTGTGCATAGAAACTGGGTCAAAATTCACCGCAGGTGGCGCTGGAATCGATCGATCCTGCCTTTTGACATCTTGTTTCGTTGTGGAAGACCATAGAAAACCTGGACTTTGAATAACAAAGTTATAAGGTACAACAATAACCTATGTAGTGCAAAACGAGAGAGATAAAATTTCATTTTGTCTATCAATAATAATGACAGGTCGTATTTTCCTAATTAAAATACATTTTAAAAGAAACATTAGTCTTGCCTAGCGATATGAGGCTTGAACTTGGCTAGCTAGCTGGCTAGGTGGTTACCTGACTTCTTCATTGGTAGAAAATGGCAAAACGGACATTATTATAATTATAAAAATAGGTTTAGCATGCGTCCGCCACATTGTTGAATAAAATTGTTCACGTATATTAGGTTGCTAAGTATTGCTGTTTTTAGTGACTGAGAATGCGCTGGACTGCGCGGGTAACGATCTAGCGTTAACTGCCTAGTTGGAGAGGAAGAGGCGATGCTGCAACCTGATCTCAGAGGATTTTGTATTATTATGTACGTAAACTCGAGACATGCGTTTCGTATATGTTCCGAATAAAAATGTGTATGACATGTGACGAATTGCGTTTCGTACAATATGTTACACATTTTCCAAAACGTATTATATGTTACCAATTCCAATTTGTTGTTGCTAATGTTAGCTAGGCGGCTATCTCTAAAATTAGCTAGGCTAGGGGTTAGGGTTAAGATTAGGAGTTAGGTTAAAGGGCTAAGGTTAGGGTTAGCTAAAGGGGTTAGGGGAAGAGTTAGCTAACATGCTAAGTAATTGCAAAGTATACTGAACAAAAATATAAATGCAACATGCAACAATTTCAAAGATTTTCCTGAGTTACAGTTCAAATAAGGAAATCAGTCAATTGAAATAAATAAATTAGGCCATAATCTATGGATTTCACATGACTGGGCAGGGGTGCAGCCATGGGTGACTTGGGAGGGCATAGGCCCATCCACTTGGGAGCCAGGTCCACCCACTGCAGAGCCAGACCCTGCCAGTCAGAATGATTTTCCCCCCACAAAAGGGCTTTATTACAGACAGAAATACTCCTCAGTTTCATCAGCTGTCTGGGTGGCTGGTCTCAGACAATCCCGCAGGTGAAGAAGCCGGATGTGGAGGTCCTGGGCTGGCGTGGTTACACGTGGTCTGCGGTTGTTAGGCCGGTTGGACATACAGCCAAATTCTCTAAAACAAAGTTGGAGGCGGCTTATGGTAGAGAAATTAACATTCAATTCTCTGGCAACAGCTCTGGTGGACAATCCTGCAGTCAGCACGCCAACTGCATGCTCCCTCAAAACGTGAGACATCTGTGGCATTGTGTTGTGTGACAAAACTTTTGTTGTCCCCAGCACAGGGTGCACCTGTGTAATGATCATGTTGTTTAATCAGCTTCTTGATATGCCATACCTGTCAGGTGGATGGATTATCTTGGCAAATGAGAAATGCTCTGTAACAGGGATGTAAACACATTTGTGCACAACATTTGAGAGCAATAAGCTTTTTGTGTAAATGGAACCTTTCTGGGATCTTTTATTTCATCTCATGAAACATGGGTCCAACACTTTACATGTTGTGTTTATGTTCAGTATAGTTGCTAATGAGCTAAAATGGTAAAGTGGTCCATGATAAGATTTGAACTCGCAACCTTTGAGTTGCTAGACATTTGCGTTATACTTCCATCCATCCATCCATCCATCCACCCACCCTGACCAACCACCCTCCTTTCGTTTTTGCCTTAAGTAACCTTCTGTCTAATGTAACCATACCAAACGTAATATATCATACTAATTTGAGTGTTCCAGATTTACATTTACTATGTTATGTCTAGCCTATGAGAGCAGGCTGCAACCTGGTCTCAGAGCATTTCCTATTATTCTGTATGTAAATCCTCCTCTACTCCCATTTCGTATATTAACCTTTACAGGATCGGTGTCCAGTATATGGGATGGTTGAGCTAACGTGTGCTAATGTGATTAGCATGTCTGTTGTAAGTAACAGCAAACTTTCCAGGACATAGACATGTCTTATATGGGCAGAAAGCTTACATTCTTGTTAATCTAACTGCACTGTCCAATTTACAGTAGCTATTACAGTGAAAAAATACCATGCTATTGTTTGAGGAGAGTGCACAACAACAAAAAACGTATCACGGCAACTGGTTTGATACATTCACCTCTGAAGGTAAATCATGTACTTACATTCAGTAATCTTGCTCTGATTTGTCATCCTAAGGGTCCCAGAGATAGAATGTAGCATAGTTTTGTTTGATAAAATCAATTTTATATTCAAATGTAGGAACTCGGTTCTACAGTTTGAACCCCTGCTGTCTCTGGCGCCACACCCACCCCGCCCGGCCATCTAGATGTGTGAAAGTTAGTGAATAAGCTAATGATCCATCATGTATGACATTCATGGGAGTGTGTAAACTTACATTTTGTATTACCATATCATTATTGTATGTTCTCTATAGTTATGCCTGTGTTTCTCAAATGACTGCCTTGCCTAGTTCACCAACTACTTCTCAGATAGCGTTCAATGTGTCAAATCGGAGGGCCTGTTGTCTGGACCTCTGGCAGTCTCTATTGGGGTGCCACAGGGTTCAATTCTCGGGCCGACTCTATTCTCTGTATATCAATGATGTCGCTCTTGCTGCTGGTGACTCTCAGATCCACCTCTACACAGACAACACCATTTTGTATACATCTGGCCCTTCATTGGACACTGTGTTAACAAACCTCCAAACGAGCTTCAATGCCATTCAACACTCCTTCCGTGGCCTCCAACTGCTTTTAAACGCTAGTAAAACTAAATGCATGCTCTTCAATCGAACGCTGCTTGCACCCGCCCGCCTGACTAGAATCACTACTCTCGGCGGGTCTGACTTAGAATATGTGGACAACTACAAATACCTAGATGTCGTGTTAGACTGTAAACTCTCCTTCTAGACTCACATTAAGCATCTCCAATCCAAAGTTAAATCTAGAATTGGCTTCCTAATTCGCAACAAAGCCTCCTTCACTCATGCTGCTAAACATGCCCTCGTAAAACTGACTATCCTACCGATCCTTGACTTTGGCGATGTCATTTACAAAACAGCTTCCAACACTCTACTCAGCAAATTGGATGTAGTCTATCACAGTGCCATCCGTTTTGTCACCAAAGCCCCATATACTACCCACCATTGTGACCTGTACGCTCTCGTTGGCTGGCCCTCACTACATATTTGTCGCCAAACCCACTGGCTCCAGGTCATCTATAAATCACTTCTAGGCAAATCCCTGCCTTATCTTAGATCATTGGTCACCATAGCAACACCCACCCTTGGTATGCGTTCCAGCAGGTATATCTCACTGGTCATCCCCAAAGCCAACACCTCCTTTGGCCGCCATTCCTTCCAGTTCTCTGCTGCAAATGACTGGAACGAACTGCAAAAATCTCTGAAGCTGGAGACACTTATCTCCCTCACTAACTTTAAGCATCAGTTGTCAGAGCAGCTTACCGATCACTGCACCTGTACACAGCCCATCTGTAATTAGCCCACCCAACTACCTCATCCCCATATTGTTATTTACATTGTTATTTATTTTGCTCATTTGCACCCCAGTATCTCTATTTGCACATCATCTTCTGCACATCTATCACTCCAGTGTTAATACTAAATTGTAATTATTTTGAACTATGGCCTATTTATTGCCTTACCTCCATAACTTACTACATTTGCACACAATGTATATAGATTTTCTATTGTGTTATTGACTGTACGTTTTGTTTATTCCATATGTAACTCTGTGTTGTTGTTGTTTTTATCGCACTGCTTTGCATTATCTTGGCCAGGTCGCAGTTGTAAATGAGAACTTGTTCTCAAATGGCTTACCTGGTTTAATAAAGGTGAAATAAAAAAATGTACTTGAAAATGTATCAATTGACCAATTCGGCATATTTGGGCAGACTTGTTACAAAATAATCCAGTATTGCAACGCTTCACTGGATCAATCTGAAACTTTAAACACACACTGCTGACATCTACTGGCCAAAATCTAAATTGCGCCTAAATTGCAATATTATATTATGGCCTTTTCTTGCATTTCAAAGATGATGGAACAAAAAAATTAATATGTTATCTTTTACCAGATCTAATGTGTTATATTCTCCTACATTAAGTTCACATTTCCACAAACTTCAAAGTGTTTCCTTTCAAATGGTATCAAGAATATGCATATCTTGCTTCAGGTCCTGAGCTACAGGCAGTTAGATTTGGATATGTCATTTTAGGCGAAAATTGAAAAAAAGGGTTTGATCCTTAAGAGGGTATGTTACTAATTACAATTCATATGATATTGTAATGACCTGACTAGATCATAAAAGAACAACTGTCCAGACAGAGGATTGAGTTTACGAATGGACGGTTTATTAAACCAACTTCACACAGGCTACTGTTTGGCCGTAGCCCACGCCAAATAAATGAAAGATAACCCACAAGCCAATCGTGACCTTCTCTTGTGAATCCCAGACGTAAAAGAGAGAGAACAAAGGCTAAACCTGGTCTTAACTTCCAATGCTCCATCCCCCTGCCCAACCCCCCTCCACGCCACTCCGCCAACCGCCAGGATGCCCGGCATCAGAACATTCCAGGCATTCCCGTGATTGGCAGATAGCAGGTTGATTGACATGTCGGACCCCGCGAACACTGGGTACTGGTAGGTACAACACAACCATCTACTAGCCTAACACATAACACACAGCTGTCTGTGCAGACTTGTTACAAAATAGTCCAGTATTGCAACGCTTCACTGGATCAATCTGAAACTTTAAACACACACTGCTGACATCTACTGGCCAAAATCTAAATTGCGCCTAAATTGCAATATTATATTATGGCCTTTTCTTGCATTTCAAAGATGATGGAACAAAAAAATTAATATGTTATCTTTTACCAGATCTAATGTGTTATATTCTCCTACATTAAGTTCACATTTCCACAAACTTCAAAGTGTTTCCTTTCAAATGGTATCAAGAATATGCATATCCTTGCTTCAGGTCCTGAGCTACAGGCAGTTAGATTTGGATATGTCATTCTAGGCGAAAATTGAAAAAAAGGGTTTGATCCTTAAGAGGGTATGTTACTAATTACAATTCATATGATATGTTACGCATTTCAATTCGTGCAATATGTTACGAATTTCAATTTGTACAATATGTTACGATTTTGCAAAATGTTCAATATGTTAAGAATTTGAAAAACGTATGATATGTTACGAATTACAATTTGTTGTTGCTAACGTTAGCAGGTGGCTAACGCTATCGTTAGCTAGCTGGCTAACGTTAGCTAGGCTAGGAGTTAGGTTAAAGGGTTAAGGTTAGGGCAAGGGTTAGCTAAACCGCAGAGACAGAAGGGGGAACTCAGACACTTCACAGGGGCTATAAAGCTGAAGCATCCGTTATAACGTTTTCTCACCACCAGATATGGTAGTGAGAGGAAGTCCAGTCGCGGGTAGTGGGAGAGGATGGAACTAGGTGAAACTGGGCTGAGAGGATGGAACTAGGTGAAACTGGGCTGACATTCTGCAAATTTTCTCATCAATGAAACATCTGATCTCAATACATGTTTCTGTTCCCAAAACTGGAATCTGTTACGAACACAGTGCACTAAGTTTTATAGACTTGAGGCTTTGCCAAAGTTTTAAAAAATTGCTTTGTTTTTAAGGAGTGCAAGGTCTAATTGAGTTTGTGCACATGTGCACTTCACAGAGGAGGAAATATGCAAATACATGCTACAACGTGCAAATAGGACTCGCTAGCTCGTGCTTGGCTTTGCCCACTAATGATGGGAAGTTCGGCTCTTTTCTGAGAGCCGGCTCTTTTGACTCGGCTCCCAAAGAAGAGCCGGCTCTTTCGACTCCCGAACGGCTCTTTATTTAGGATCTTTTGTAGCCTATATTTTACCTTAACTTTGAAAAAAAATCATGGTTTATGTGTTGAAAACCCTTTTGCTTTCAGTGTTTTTATGAGAGACCTTATAATGCCTAATTCTGTGCATTTATTCTGTGACAAAACCACTCTTACATTTGTTTATTTCAATTAAACTTTTTTATTGCACAAATTAACAATAAACTTCAAACAAATCCACAGAACAGAATCAAAACCAGAACCAAACTCCAGCAAACAGCATTAGTCCTCAGGGCAGGTTGGCATTCAGGAAGATCAGATGCCTCAGCTTGGATGGGCTGATAGGCCTGATACGATTTCGCCTCTCCGTGAGTATCTGCCCTGTTTTGGAGAAGATTCTCTCAGAAGGAACTGATGTGGCAACAATACATAGTCTCCCCTCCATCACCTTCACCAGGAGTGGAAAGACTGAGGCCTTGGCCTGCCACCAGCTCAGTGGGTCTTCTGCTCTCTGGATGAGGGGCTCCTCAAGGTAGCTCCTCACCTCCATTATAGCATCAGCTGTCGGATTTCTCCTTGAAGCATCTCCTGTAGCTCTGTCATCAAAAAGCCTCCAAACAGCAGAGGTTTGCTGCTCCTCCTCCACTTGGCCCTGTAATGGTGGAGCTGGCTGGCTGCTGGGGGTGCATTTTGCTGCTGCTGCTGCACTAATCCTCTGAAGAGCTTCATCAACAGCTCTACGATCACTGAAGGCAAGTTTTTTAAACCTTGGATCCAATAAGGTAGTTTCTGAAAGGACAGTGTTGTACTCCATCCGCAGAAATTTGCGGTCCATGGCTGAACAAAGAGCTGCAACTAATTCCTTCACTTTCTGCACAGTTACTGTCCATTGGTTCTCGGCTGTCACCAGCTGCAGACCTTTGCAAAGCAGGAGCATTTTCGAGGCTGTGACATAGCTGAAGGAGAGAAAACAGCAACTTTTAGAATTTAGTTTTTTAAAAGTATGTGGCATATTATACGTGATGCATTATACTGTATGTGTTGTGTTTGCAATGTATAATAGTGACTGAATAGTAGTAGAGAAAACAATGCTTCAATGGTTCTAGGTACCTGTCTGCACTTATCTCCACAGTCACCTCCTGGAATGGTTGCAGGACGGCGCAGACCTCTTTCACCAGCTCCCATTCCTCTTGGCTTAATGGCTCAATAGATGCGTTGATGAGGGCCAGGGTGGAGATGATGGCATCTTTTATTTCAAGCATTCGTTTCAACATATCAAATGTTGAGTTCCACCTGGTGGCACACTCTTGTTTGGGCCTCAGTTCAGGAATCCCCATTTGGCGCTGTGTGGACTTTAGCTTCTGTGCTGCTACTGTGCTTTTGTGGAAAAACTCCACAATAGCCTTCACCTTATCCACGGTTGTTTTGATCACCTTCAGAGCATCTCTAACCACCAGGTTTAGTGTATGCGCCAGACATGGGTGATGGGTCCACTTCAAAACTTTTATGGCTTTGGTGATGTTTGCAGCATTATCACTCACACAGCACACCACTTTGTCCTCTACTTGCCACTCTTTTGCCACTCTTAGTAGCTCCACTGCCAAGTTTTCTGCAGTGTGTCTGTCGGTGAACTCGAAGCAGTCCAGAAGGCAAGATGTCATCTTGTAATCTTCAATAAAGTGGCAAGTGACAGACATGAAAGAGCAGGTTGTTCTGGAGGTCCAGCAGTCAGTTGTCAGGCAAACTGATGGAGCTTTTGTCACCCTTTCTTGCCATAATGCACGTTCTGTGTCATATAGTTTTGGGATCATTGTTTGGGAAAGTGTTTTTCTACTGGGTAGAGTGTATGTGGGATTTAGGGCTTTGACAAAGTTTTTCATTCCTTTGTCCTCCACAATGGAAAAGGGTTGAAAATCAGAAGCTACCATTTTAGCCAACTCATCATCAATACTGTGCTGTTTGGCTGGGGTCATCAGTTTAGGTAAAAACTGACTTATTTTGCTTTGAGTTGCAGTAGGAGAGGTTATACTTGCACGCATGGGGATGGCAGTAGACGTTACAGCAGCTGTTGTTCTGGTATGAGACACACCAGGATCAGTAGATGGTGAGCTGGCTTGCCCTCTCTCCTCTAACTGCACTGTAGGATGGACAGTTCTTGTATGTCTATGCAGGTTTGTGGTGGAACCTGCTCTTATAGTGACCTTCGTTTTGCAGTGAAGGCACTCTGCTTTCTTGTTCCCAATATCTTTAAACTGCAGCCAGATGCTGCTTCGCTTTCTAGTGTCACTCATAGTTAAACGACACGACAATGCAAGACGCACACACGCTCCTCAGTCCGCTCTGTCTCTCTCTTCACTTGCAGTGGAGTCAAGTGGTGTGTCTGCCCCGCCCCCTCTCTGTTTACACATCCTTAATTCTCACGTGAATGCCGCATGCTGGTCGCCATGCTGGCCAATCATAACAGACCTCTGTGAAAGTGAAACCTAAGCAGCGAATGGGCAAAAAACTGGGAGCCGGCTCTCACTCGATGCGAGCCGGCTCTTCTGATTCACTACAAAGAGCCGGCTCTCAGAGCCGATGCTTGTGCGCATGACCCATCACTATTGCCCACCTGCTTGCTTGATCTGTCCACTGTGGTTCATTTGCTCCCACTGTAAACGACACAGATTAAATATCTTGGTTAGCTATAGAAATCATATATTTTTTTCTTCTTTTTTTTTTTAGGTGGTAGATCAAGTTTTAATATTGCAGATAGATTGTAACTTCCATCAATGTAATTGTCTGCATCACTGCCAATCCCAAGGTAGAGGATGTGTGTGTGTGTGTGTCCGTGCGTGTGTTAACGTTCAGATTTTGACGAGACCCTTTTCGGTCGTTCACCCTGAGAGAGCTGAGGGAGAAAGGTGCAAGGGTCTGTCAAAATTAATTAGCCTACTAGCCTACGGTCAACTTGAGTTCATTGAACATAAGCAAGGGACACTGTTTTGTTTGGTTTATACTTTGTCTAAAGGTATAGAAAAAACACAGGAGAGAGTGACAGTCTGACATGCTTTTTGGTGTTATGTAACGTTAGCCGTTATTGCAATCTCCAAGTCCAACAAATGCGTTGTTTCCGGATAGGATGCGCACCGGGAGGCAGTCGGAAATGGCGGCGAGTAGTGCAGACGAAATTGAGAAAAAAGTTGGTGAAGCAACAGCTGTGCTGGAATGCGAACAATATGGGTGTCAGTTCTGATGGTATGGAGCGGGTGGAGAATTTGTCCCATATGCACTGCAGTGTTTTAAATGCCAAAGAATGGGACATGTAACTGCTCAGTGTAAAGGAAAGAAAATATGTGCCAAGTGTGGAGGGGAACATGATTACGGTAAATGTGGAAGCAATGTGAAGGTTAAGTGTTGTAATTGTGGGGAGAACACAGTGCAGCATTTGGTGGATGCCAGGTACAGAGAGAGGCTAGAGAGGCTCAGAGATATTGGATCAGTCATGATGTATCATATGCAGAGGCCATAAAACAGATTGGTAGAACTACAGTACGGACTGATGGAGCTTACATGGATATACGTGTAGTAAGTGGACCTACTGTCGGGGCTGGTGCTTCTGATGGTCCTTACATGGTTTCGAGGCCTGTTCAGAAATATTGTGCTCATGAATGTGTGGTGTCAAAGGACACTTTGATAATGAATAAAGTTGACTTCATAGCTTTTATTGGTAAGGTTATCAATACGACTCGGGTTGTGGAAAGCAGACATGCCAGGTTGAAGGTTATTGTGGAGATGGCAAAATAGATATTGGGGGTAACAGATGTTAATGTTGAAATTGTTGACATGCTGAACAATCCTACGGGTGGAGTATTTCCGCATGATATAGATAAAGCTTAATGGGGTTGGGGAGGGGAGAGGTTGTGGTAGAATTTAGGGATTTATTTGTGAATTTTATTTCCATGGTAGTACAGAATTGGGCAGATCATGATTGATAGTACATTCCAGCACGGTAGTTGGTGGCATGCACTTTAAACGTTTGTTTGCGGACCGCCATGATATCATAGAAAAGGAAAAAGAAGAAGCAGCGTTGATGGTCTTGAACATACAGTTCTTCATACCCGCTTTCCCGGGAAAATCTGCAACAAAAATGCGCTAGGCGCGAAATAGAAACTGAAGCACATGAGTCTTGTGGATTCGTTTTCTATAGTCTAGCAACTTTACTTGCACAGTCTTGTAACTTAAAGTCGTTTGTTGCGGTGAGTTCAGTGTCGATTGAACAGACGGGACTGTATGTGAGGCAAGGCCGCGACAGTTGGGTTTTGGAGGTTTGCTGGTCCCACGGAGAAGCGAGGGGTAATGTCCTGGTGGCCGCGCGGGTAAGCCAATCGGACATATTATTGCATTGTATACAGTTGTAAAAAGGAGCCACGCGCATCAATTTATTCCACGAAAACCTGGCACAGTATTCCAGAAAGCATAAAGCCTTGTGTACACTCGTTTTATTTTCAGGGGACTTCGTGTGCATTTTGGTTGTGATCCGGAAGCTAGCTCCGCAGCTAGCTAACTGTTCAGTAACAGTCAATTGCTCGTTTAGAAGCCGTTGTTATTGTGGCCAGCAAATCAAATTGTATTTATCACATGCACTGAATACAACTGGTGTAGACTTTACAGTGAAATGCTTGCTTACGAACCTTTCCCAACGACGCAGAGTTAAAAATAAATAAATAATAGTAACTAACACGAGGAATAAAATAAAATACACAAGAATGGAGCTATATACAGGGAGTACCAGTACCAGATCAATGTGCAGAGGTACCTTGAGGTAGATATGTACATGAAGGCAGGGTGACAAGGCATCCGCTTGGCTAGATAATAATAAGAGTAAAATAAAGAACGGAGTAGCTGCCGGCTAGTAGTTGTTTGCTTGCTGGTCAAGTAAGCTAACGTTACCGGCTTCTTCTTCACCACCAGTTGCAGTCAATTTGACGTTTTTCTGTCATGTATGCAACAATTTACTAATCACAGTTGTAGTTATCCACTTAGCATGGTGCATATGTCATTGATAAGCCTAAATTGAAGGTTGGCTTTATCGCTCGCAGCAGTAGTAGTTTGTTGATTAGCTAGCGAGCTAACGTTAACTACATTATTTCCAAGACGGGTAGGTGGGCTTAAGGATGGAATTCGTTACATTGTGTCTGTGAACACTAACGTAACTTGTTACAATTTTGCGCATTTTGAAGGACATGTATTGGAATTTTGTAATTCATGTTTCAACATACATAGTTAGATGCACGAGGTAGGCCAACTGCAGTATTTTATTTTTATGTAGTCCAAATAGCTTTTTAAAAGGTAAAGATGTATTGTCATTGCATTGGTAAAGGGTGTATTTTTTAAGGAGAGGGTTACTTTTGACCGAATGACCTTGAACTTTGTAAAAAGTGGGACAACTTTGTGAGAATCAACCGGCCTAACTTTGTTGTGGGGAAACGAAGCGTTACAACAACCATGTGTAGTGATCACTTTGTCCCGAACGACTGAGTGATACATTTTCATTTTAGTCATTTAGCAGACGCTCTTATCCAGAGCGACTTACAGGAGCAGTTAGGGTTAAGTGCGTTGCTCAAAGGCACATCGACATATTGTTCACCTAGTCGGCTCGGGGATTAGAAGCAGCGACCTTTCGGTTACTGGCAAAACGCTCTTAACCACTAAGCTACCTGCCGCCCCACATGTGGAAGGCTGGTTTCTTGAACAGGCTCAGGCTGAATGTCGGCGCTGTACCGACCGTCATCAGGGACATCATACCATCTGTGAGAGAGGTAATCGGTCTATCGTTCTAAATTACCACGCGTTCTACATGTCCAAACCTTGTGGTAGAGAGAAGATACTGTCATATTAATTCAAGACATCTCTTAATAAAGCCTTGTTCACATTGGCAGTTTGAAGTGACTCAAAAAAATAACAATTGCATATCTGATTAGAATCTGTTCGTTTTCCTGCAGTCTGAACAGCCAAAAGCCACATGGAATTGGATATTTCAAGCCACATTTCAAACCACCATCGTGGGTGGTTTGAAGTCAGATACAAATCTGATTTCTGGCCATGCAACTTGCCTGGTCAAATCTGATTGATTTGCCCTCAAGTGTTTAATTTTTTTTTGCTAATGGGGATCCCTAATAAATACAAAAATAACCCTGCACACACACTGGTCTTTACAATGACAACTACCGTTGCCATGTCAGCAAATTACTGCTGTCTGAACACACACAAATCCAATTTGGTCACTTGTAACTTGTTGTTTGGACAGTCAGTATCCCAAAATGGATTTGAAAAGCAAAACTGATTTGAGCATTAAGGCCTGCAGTTTAAACAAGGCAGCTCACATGAAATACATTCAGCTCAATAAAGCAGCTGGTATGACTGGTAAGTGATAGCAGCTGTGAAGAAACTTTATAATTGATAGGCACATCCATGTCTCACTTAAACATCAAATTAGATTGAATCCAGGTGTGCTAGAGTTTTATGCCTTCCTCTGGTCTCTCCTTCTTGTCTTTTTCTACCTGTTTATTTGCAGCATGCAGAGTGACGATGGAGACGAGATGCTGTGTGTTGACACAAGACTCTGATGTGGCGGAACAGAGGGAGAGTTGTAAAGTTAAAGTGAAGTGGACACATGAGGAGGTGAATGATTGATCTGGACTTAACTTGAGCTCTTGTCCCATAACTCTAAAATGGCCTCCTATACTTGTATACAGTCCTCTGTAACCTAAACACTAACCAGAGGCTCTCAGCTCTGACTAATCTAAAAGTGCTATAAAGAGTGAGGAGAATAGTTGCAGCTGCTCTGTAGTTAGCAGGTGCAGTGGTATTTTCTCTAAGTTGTTTTATCTTGTACTTGTAGGATGATAATCTAAAGATCCTGGTGCACAACTTTGGAAAAAGTGACTGGAAAACTATTGTCAGCTTCCTACCAGTGAGTATTGGGGACAGATATAGTACAGGCTATATGGCTGAATTGTAGAAGATAATTCTAGTCCAATTTTTTCCTATTAGGATTGATACTATGAATAAGAGCCTTATCTGTGTAAAACCTTACAAAAGTTTATTTCCTCTAGGGACGCACAGAGTACCAATGTATGCACCGCTATATGAAGGCTCTGGATCCAGATATAATCAAGGGTACATGGACCAAGAAGGAGGATGACAAGGTGTGCATCAACAAGCCAATGTCATTATACAGACAGACAGATGGTTTACTGTCCTTAGAGGGAAATTATTTCCACAGCCCAATAGTTATCCTTCCCCTTCTTTCATCCTTGTCTCTCTGTAGGTCATTGAGCTGGTGAGTAAATATGGGACCAAACAGTGGGCGATGGTGGCCAAGCACCTGAAGGGCCGCCTTGGGAAGCAGTGCAGGGAGCGCTGGCACAACCACCTCAACCCGGACGTTAAGAAGTCCTCATGGACCCCAGAGGAAGACCTGATCATCTACAAAGCCCACTGCGTCCTGGGGAACCGCTGGGCTGATATCGCCAAGCTGCTACCTGGAAGGTAATTTGCCACAGCAGGGTGTAACATTAACGTTTTTCATCACTGGCCCATTAGGCTAGTTGACCCGGTCACGTCAGTTGACCCAAAATCTACAGTTTAAATGCATTGGGGTCATGCAGGGCTCATACGTTAGGGTGCTGTGTCTATTATTCAACTACGCATAGGCAACATTTTAATATGGTATGTATTAAAAGCTGCATAATATAAATGAATAAAACGAAATAATTTTAGTTAAGTCTAGTAATATTTAACTAGTTATGCTGTGCTCTGATTTCAAGAAGTTATGACTCTTGGTGGTGCTTGAATGAACAGCCAATCATATTGCTCAAATAGCCAGACTTTTACGCATGTGTTTTCAATAATGTGGTGCGGAATCCGATGCTGCCCCAGTAGTTTTCAATGGAAGATCGCAGCAGTGCACAGAGATCTCAAACTGAACAGCCAAAATGCGCGTAAAATGTTGATCGAGCCAGTGGCTGTCGAGATCAACTGGGCCAGACATGTTTTTATTGGCCCGCGGGTCATCATTAATCATTATAATGTCAAATCCTGCCACATGCAATGAAATGGGTCGCATTCAGATCCTACAGTGAGGGGAAAAAAGTATTTGATCCCCTGTTGATTTTGTACGTTTGCCCACTGACAAAGAAATGATCAGTCTATAATTGTAATGGTAGGTTTATTTGAACAGTGAGAGACAGAATAACAACAAAACAATCCAGAAAAACGCATGTTAAAAATGTTATAAATTGATTTGCATTTTAATGAGGGAAATAAGTATTTGACCCCTCTGCAAAACATGACTTAGTACTTGGTGGCAAAACCCTTGTTGGCAATCACAGAGGTCAGACGTTTCTTGTAGTTGGCCACCAGGTTTGCACACATCTCTGGAGGGATTTTGTCCCACTCCTCTTTTTAGATCTTCTCCAAGTCATTAAGATTTTGTGGCTGACGTTTGGCAACTCGAACCTTCAGCTCCCTCCACAGATTCTTTATGGGATTAAGGTCTGGAGACTGGCTAGGCCACTCCAGGACCTTAATGTGCTTCTTCTTGAGCCACTCCTTTGTTGCCTTGGCCGTGTGTTTTGGGTCATTGTCATGCTGGAATACCCATTTTCAATGCCCTGGCTGAGGGAAGGAGGTTCTCACCCAAGATTTGACGGTACATGGCCCCGTCCATCGTCCCTTTGATGCGGTGAAGTTGTCCTGTCCCCTTAGCAGAAAAACACCCCCAAAGCAAAATGTATCCACCTCCATGTTTGACGGTGGGGATGGTGTTCTTGGGGTCATAGACGGCATTCCTCCTCCTCAAAACACGTTGAGTTGATGCCAAAGAGCTCCATTTTGGTCTCATCTGACCACAACACTTTCACCCAGTTCTCCTCTGATTCATTCAGATGTTAATTGGCAAACTTCAGATGGGCATGTATTTGTGCTTTCTTGAGCAGGGGGACCTTGCGGGCACTGCAGGATTTCAGTCCTTCACGGCGTAGTGTGTTACCAATTGTTTTCTTGGTGACTATGGTCCCAGCTGCCTTGAGATCATTGACAAGATCCTCCTGTGTAGTTCTGGGCTGATTCCTCACCGTTCTTATGATCATTGCAACTCCACGAGGTGAGATCTTGCATGGAGCCCCAGGCTGAGGGAGATTGACAGTTCTTTTGTGTTTCTTCCATTTGCGAATAATCGCACCAACTGTTGTCATCTTCTCACCAAGCTGCTTGGCGATGGTCTTGTAGCCCATTCCAGCCTTGTGTAGGTCTACAATCTTGCCCCTGACATCCTTGGAGAGCTCTTTGGTCTTGGCCATGGTGGAGAGTTTGGAATCTGATTGATTGCTTCTGTGGACAGGTGTCTTTTTATACAGGTAACAAGCTGAGATTAGGAGCACTCCCTTTAAGAGTGTGCTCCTAATCTCAGCTCGTTACCTGTATAAAAGACACCTGGGAGCCAGAAATCTTTCTGATTGAGAGGGGGTCAAATACTTATTTCCCTCATTTAAAATGCAAATCAATGTAGGACATTTTTGACATGCGTCTTTCTGGATTTTGTTGTTGTTATTCTGTCTCTCACTGTTCAAATACACCTACCATTAAAATTATAAACTGATCATATCTTTGTTAGTGGGCAAACGTACAAAATCAGCAGGGGATCATACTTTTTTCCCTCACTGTATGTTGACCTAGCAGGATTTGTACATTTCTACCTCTGACAGGACTGACAATGCTGTGAAAAACCACTGGAACTCAACCATCAAACGTAAAGTAGAGATGGGAGCATATATTATGGACAATGACGGGAGCCCACTACTACCCACTACTCTGGAGCAGGGCGAGGTCAGCCCTGTGTATTCTTCACATACTAACAAGCACCATGGTTCAACTAACCCATCACCCATTACTTTGGAGCAGGGCAAGGTTAGCCATTTGTATTTCTCACGTTTAACTAATTTGATTTACTTGAACAAAAAACAGAGGTACCTGTATATGCTTTGTGTACTCAAGGTAAATTGTGGCGGTTTGAATATAGTGGTTCTTGTTTGATAACCTAGGTTATCTTTGCTTGCAGGTGGATTTCCGTTGTGATGTTGTTTTAGACGCAGAGCCTGAACCTCCAGAGGTGGTAAGAATGCCATGTCCTTGACTGTTACTCTATTTGCACAACCTCACCAACACTGCGTGTACAAAACATTAGGAGAACTTCCTAATATTGAGTTTTTAAGAAAATTGCAGAAAATATGCAGCTGAAGTCAGACGAGAGCGGATTCATTGCTTTAACTAATTATGACAAATGTTAAGAAAATGTCGAGCGACATAATGACTTTTCAAATAAGTTACATTACATGTTGGCTGACAATTTGTTAGCTACGCTATCCTTACGAACCGCATAGCATTACAGCAGTATGTACCAGTTAGCTAGTTACCTAACGTTAGTTGGCTACTAATACATCGAACTTGCCAGGCAGTGTATTAACTATCTGCTATCTAACTAACTACCAAACGTTTGACTTGATTATTCACATCATTCTTAGCTAAGTGGTATAGTCGTTGTGCGTTTCAATGGACATTGTTAATTCTGGCTATCTACTCCGATTTCAGAGCACTCTCGCGCAGAATAACTGATGAATTTACGAACGCTCAACACCTGTTGAATATGCCGGTGTCAGTAAACGTGAGATGTTCTCTCATTTGTGTCTGGAAGTAGCTAGCCAACGTTAGCCAGTCAGCTTGGGTGCTTGACTGCCGTGGAACGCTCGGATCAACCCTACTCCTCGGCCAGAGCGTCCAGTGTGTGCTCTGAACGCTCCGAGAGCGAAACGCTCTGAATTTACGAACGGACAATCTGACAACGCTCTGGATTTACTGCAGTGCATCTCCTCCTCATGGACTGCACCAGATTTGCCACTTCTTGCTGTGAGATGTTACCCCACTCTTCCACCAAGGCACCTGCAAGGAAAGGAAGTGTACCACATGAGGGAGGAGGATGTCTTCCCTGTAACGAACAGCATTGAGATTGCCTGCAATGACAACAAGCTCAGTCCGATGATGCTGTGACACACCGCCCCAGACCATGACGGACCCTCCACCTCCAAATCGATCCCGCTCTAGAGTACAGGCCTCTGTGTAACGCTAATTCCTTCAACGATAAACGCAAATCCGACCATCACCCCTGGTGAGACAAAACCGTAACTCGTCAGTCGAGCACTTTTTGCCAGTCCTGTCTGGTCCAGCGACGGTGGGTTTGTGCCCATAGGCGATGTTATTGCCGGTGATGTCTGGTGAGGACCTGCCTTACAACAGGCCTACAAGCCCTCAGTCCAGCCTCTCTCGGCCTATTGCGGACAGTCTGAGCACTGATGGAGGGATTGTGCGTTCCTGGTGTAACTCGGGCAGTTGTTGTTGCCATCCTGTACCTGTCCCGCAGGTGTGATGTTCGGATGTACCGATCCTGTGCAGGTGTTGTTACACGTGGTCTGCCACTGCGAGGACGATTAGCTGTCCGTCCTGTCTCCCTGTAGTGCTGTCTTAGGCGTCTCACAGTATGGACATTACAATTTATTGCCCTGGCCACATCTGTAGTCCTCGTGCCTCCTTGCAGCATGCCTAAGGCATGTTCACGCAGATGAGCAGGGACCCTGGGCATCTTTCTTTTGGTGTTTTTCAGAGTCAGTAGAAAGGCCTCTTTAGTGTCCTAAGTTGCCTACCGTCTATAAGCTGTTAGTGTCTTAACGACCGTTCCACAGGTGCATGTTCATTCATTGTTTATGGTTCATTCATTGTTTATGGTTCATTGAACAAGCATGGGAAACAGTGTTTAAACCCTTTACAATGAAGATCTGTGAAGTTATTTGGATTTTCACTAATTATCTTTGAAAGACAGGGTCCTGAAAAAGGGACATTTCTTTTTTTTTTTTGCTGAGTTTAGTATGTAGTGTATATACTCATTAAGTATGTAGTATACAGTATGGGTATTTTAACACAGCTCTGGATTCACTTGATCAGTCTGTCATGGAAAGACCAGGTGTCCTTAATGTTTTGTACACTCAGTGTATGTCTGTGGGAGACCAAACAGAAGTGATATGTCCCGTGTTATTTTATCCTCCTATCAGGCATAATGTATTACTATAACCAAATGGAGACTGTTGAGCATTTTTTTTCACTGTATATTCTTGAAACATTCAACCCGTTTCACCCATTTTCTTTGATCTCTGTAGATGAGGCAATATAGAGAGGCTGTGGCCCCCACGCAAAAAAATAGGCAAAAAAAGGACTCTCACCCAGCCAGGCCAAAGATGGTAGTGTCTCCGCCTGTCTCAGCCAAGAGGGACTCCAACAGCCCCTGCTCCGGCTCTAGCGGTGTCCCCACAACCCACCAGTCGCGCCAGAAGAGCATCACAGAGGCCGTACTGCGGATGATATCGGAGGACATGCTTCCCCTCAGCTTCGTGGAGGGCTCAGGCTTCAGGAGGTTCATGTCTGTGATCGGCACCCAGTATCAGAGGCCGTCCCAGCGTGCCGTGGGCCTCCGGCTGTACGATGATGTGGAGAAGGCCATCAAGCCCCATCTGATCCGCAACCTGAAGACCTGCCTGGCGGCCAGCGCTGGCGATGCTGTGGTCCACGCCACCCTGGACCTCTGGGCCAGCGCCTATGCCGACCCCATTGTCGCCGTGCAGCTGCACTTCTTGGATGACGACTGGCACATCCACCGGCCCACCGTGGCCTTCCGCCACATCGGTCACAAGAACATGAACGTGGCCGTGGCCCGGGAACTGGAGGCCGTGCTGCTGAGTTACGGCCTGTTCCCCAACAACCTGGGTTACATCATCACCAACAAGGCCAAGCACACCATCGCTGCTTACGACCTCTTCTGCGACTATAGGATAATGTGCTAGTCTCAGCGGGGCGACCCGGACGAGGAGGAGATGCTGGCCTTCCTGGGTGACCAGATGCCCACCGAGGACTTCTCAGAGATCCAGTTTGGCACGCGCGTGGGCTGCATCGCCAACATGCTGCAGCTGGTGTTCAAGGAGGCTCTGAAGAACTCTCGCGTCGTAGAAAAAGTGGTGGCCGCCTTTCACCGTAGCGCCTACTGGAACGAGGTGCTGCTGAAGGAGTGTGGCATGTCACTGGCCCCCTCACCCGGCAGCCACCACTGGAATTCCACCTTTGTGTCGATGCGACGGATGGTGCTGGAGGCGGTGTGGGGCTCGGTCATGACCCTGCTTGCCCAGGCCCGCATTGAGGCCAAGGACTCGTCCAGCTCCCCGCCCATGGTGAGGGCCAAGCGCGAGCAGGTGGTGGACATCATCGGCCTGCTGGAGCCCTTCGAGGAGGCCATCCAGGTGCTGCAGAGCGACGCCGTTACCTTCTCCCTCATCATCCCCTCTCTGATTGGCCTGGACAGGACCTTGGAGACCCGCCCCACCAACTACAGCCACTTCTCCAAGGGGCTCCGATCTGGCCTGCACACACACTTCCAGACCCTTATCCTGCAGAGGGACCTGATCCAGGTCACGGTGCTGGACCCCCGCATTAAGCTCCAGCCCTTCGACAACGCCAAGCAGGAGGGGGACACCTCCACACTGGCCGCCCCCTCCAAGTTCCAGGTCCGAACGCTGGTTGAGTCATCGGTCAGCGACATGGATTCCTGGAACCCGTTGGTGAAGCAGAAAGAGTGTGAAGAGAGCCAGGATGACTCTGAGGCCTCCAGCTATAGCAGTGGCAGCAGTAACCTCAAGCGCAAGTCCATCTTCAGTTTCCTCCAGCCTGCGGCCAAGACCAGAAGCTGTCTGAGCTGGACCAGTACTTATCAGAGCCTGTGCTGCATGGGGACGGCTCCACCCAGGTTTTCTGGAGAGATGTCTTGCGGTTTCCCCAGCTCCAGATGGCAGCCAGGAAGCTGCTGGCTGTGCCAGCCACATCAGGGGGCTTTGACCGGCTCTTCCCCATGGCGTCCTGCATCGTCAGGGCCAAGAGGAGCCGGCTGCCCCCTCACACCACCGAGAGGCTGCTGCTCTACAGGAAGTCACTGAGGGGGAAAGATGGGAGGACATCCAATTACAATGGCTCCACTAAACCGTCATAGACATGCAGAACAACAGTGCCTTCTACTGCCCTATACATCTCATTATCAGTCCTGTTTGTGCAGGGTCTCTTACCGTAATCTGTTACGCGATTGTCATCCAAGTAACATGATTGAACAATGAGCCGGAACAGAAACCTGCACACCAAGGGTTGAGCTTTGAGGGCTGAGTGATGTCATGTCGTGAAATGTAACACAACAGAAATAATACTTCTAATTCTTGAATAATAACGTGTTCTTTTTGTAATTAAGAAGTAAATTAATATTAGTTGTCATGGAACATTTTGGAAAGAACATGTTTGGTACACCTTGTAATGGACAATATGGCAAGATAGACAAATATATTTGAGTGTATCCTGGCAACTATTCTTTACATTTTTCTGTTTGGGGTTTGAATCTGTAAACAGATAACAACATAAATGTAATTTTCTACACAAGCAATTTTTTTGTCATTACCTGCTGTAGTTACTGCTGCTTATTTGTCTGTTTTCTTCAAGGATCAACTAGCATACAGGGACCCTGTGTTATAAAGTGACAAATTAGTTCATATTGAATGGTGAGTTTTTTTTTTCTTCTTCTGGTTTGTTTGGTCAAAAACAACTTTCAATCAAATGGACATTGTTTGCATATATTACTGTAAATGGGTCTTATACATGTTGACATTTCACCGATAGAAATATGCACTTCTCTACCTCTTATCTCTTTTAATACTTTTAGGTTTCAGTTGCTTGTCACTGTGAACTCTTACTTGGGGACAAATCTCATAGCAAGTAGTGTTGGAATAGTAGATAAACTGCTTTTCTATGGAAGTTGCACAAATAGGTTAATTTGGATCAGCTTGGAATGAGTGCTCATTTCTGTCAGTTGTAAGTGTACTTAAATAAATTGCCTAAGAATTGAATTTGAATGTGCAGTACAGATAACCTATGGGGACAGTTTCTGTTAACTAGTGATGAATGATGAAAGAGTAAAATGCCTATACTGTATGCAACTGGGTCGAGCAGTTAGTGTTTTTGTTGCCCTAGCCTATATCTAGTAGTAGTAAGGTTTTTTTCCTGACATTATTCCTGTAAATTTCACTATTACATACTTTCTTCTTATGAATTTTGTGTAAAATAATTTTAAGATGAACTGATCAGGATATCCACACAACTCATTTTCCATGTATTTATTCTACTCACTTGAAACTATCAATTTACTCCAATCATGTAATGGATTTGAGAGTTTTTGGTCTTAATTTGAGGGGGATTGTGTTGAACAAATGCAAATCTCTGGAGTTCACATGAGCTACTGGTATTGCTTTCTGGACCTTCATATAGTGCTGTGTCAACTGCCAACCTCTCATGAACAACTATCTTTAGTTGATAGAAATGTATGGAAAATAAAGACACTCAATGTTTCTGTATTTTTCAGGTTCTCATTTTTGTCTGCATAAGAATTATGTACATATAGGCCTATTGACGAATGCACATCTGAAAGTTGTGTACAGCATAGTAGAGTACACAATTATTGACAGTAGGTTACTATTAATCTCGGTTAACCCAGAACTAAAGTGTCGTGTAATGCTTGATTACCATTTATGTTTACGTAGTCAATCCAAGAGAGATTAGGTGAGAATCAACCTCCAGAGGGCAGTCGCGCGGTCTGTGAACATTCCTAGGAGGTACGTTAAAGCCAATTCTTAGTGTCATGGCAGCAACAGTGCTCCGCAGCAACATTAAGTGTGCACCCACTCCGTTGGCCCCAATGCAATACACTACAGGCCTGCCTATAAATTACATATTGGATTATAGAGAGAAACATATTCTAGGTGCCGAAGCGAAATGTATTTATGCCAATGTATGTGCTGCCCCTCATACCTGATTCACTGCTGGGCGCGCAATATCTAGTGCCCCTATATTTAGTGTGGTCTCAATCAAATGATCCATAGTTTATACTAGGCTGTAGGCCTAGGCTATACGAAGTGCGTGCTCGGAGAAGCACAGGGCAAAGTTTTTTTGAGCTGCTGGGATGGTGTAAATAAAACTAGGCTACACTACATTACACACTGCAACGGATATCCCAATCATGAGCCCTGCCCTGCTCTTGGTGATGCATATTATCTTCATCCTGATGTAGCTAAGAGTTCATATGATGGAGTGTCAGTAGCGCAGCTCAATCAAATCTCAGACACCCAAGATATTGGGAATGAATACTACCACTTAGAGACAGAAAGATGTGGTAGAGGTTTATCAGATGAGGAAATCATAAGCTCTATGAAAACTGAATCAGATGAGCAACATGTAACTAGAGAGGTTGACATCGAAATAAGCGAGGATACACTGAAGTGTATTTTGTCAGATTAGGCAAATTTTGGAGGGTTCAGGTTTACCACTAGAAATAATAGTGTGTTTATGTTGACTCTTGACGAATGGGAGACGTTCCATTCATGAAGAAGTGGTAGGTATTTTAAAAAGTTCTCATTGGTAGGCCTGCACCGCTGAGATGTACAATATGTAGGCTATTCCATATACAGTGATTCGCATTGTGGCCATTTATTTTACCATGGAACATATTGTAGAACCCACATTTAATGCAAATGCCACTTAAATATGAACAAAAATGAATCATTGTTAATTTTTAGACAAATATTTTTCATATAGTATGAATAAATAATGGTTATTGACACATTTCTACTATTACGTGAGGGACCTTTATTTCGAAAATTTCCGAAGTACTTTTTTAGTGTTGCTGACGAGACGCTGATAAACCAACCATTGGTTGAGAACAACAGAGCCTTGCGTAAACTGCGTAACATGTTTTGTAATGTTTTTTTTTATTACAGTTGGCAGTAGTTAGCTAAACATACTCAGAGGCTGTGTTGTGTAAACCATCTACACAGCAACTACATCGCAAAGAAAGGTAAATAATATTTTAGTCCAAAATGTTGCACACCCCAGTTATATATTTTGTCGTGGGAGTTAAGTTTGATAACAGCTAAGCTGCTGGACGTATCAACAACCGTATGATGAATGTCGAGTTGAAATGAACCAGCTACTTTCTGGATTAGTTATGATGTCAGTTCAACAGATAAGTACACCCCGAAATGTTGAAATCCATTTGATCAAGAAAGTGGTTTATTTTAGTATGGAATGCAGTGTGTTTACTATCCTGCATTTTTTAGGATGGCTCAAGTGCCCAAAATTAGGCTGGCAGGGGGCTTGGAGATCTGCCGCATCCTGAACGGCATGTGGCAGGTATCAGGTGCTCATGGTCCGGTGGATCATCCCAAAGCAGGTAAACTTAAAGTAGGGTAATAGTTCACTCCAAATTCAAATTTGTTGACACGTTTTTAGACCTTAAGTGTCTAGCTAATGTCTTACATGAGTGAGTGTCCCACACCATCTTTTGTCCAGTTCTAGCTATAGCCCATCAGTTCCATACAGTATCAATGGAATAATGGGTACTATATAATAACATTTTTTTAGATGATGCTGCCTGTTATAGCATTTTTTACGCACAATTTGTATTTCCCTAACAGTTATTATCAAACCCCCTTTTCCTATTCCAGTGCAGGCGATGCAAGCCTATATTGATGCTGGCCTAACAACTTTTGACATGGCAGATATCTATGGACCAGCAGAGGAGATTTTTGGACACTTCAACAGCCAGGTATGAGTTGTTGTTGTAATTTACACCACACAAACTCCAGATTATGAACCTATTGGATTAAAAGTGTAAGTAAATGTTTTTTTGTAGATTATATGAACATTGATTTCAGATCTGTGTGTGCAAGTGGAGCAGCACCCTTGAATTGGCACAGGAGGGAGCTAATGTAGCACAGTTGATATTCGGCCTTTGGGCTGCTCAGTCTCGCGCTCAAGAATCAGGGGAGAGATGGCGTATGGAAGATCAGTAAATTCTCTCTCACTCATACACACACATGAAAAGCCCTTACACATCAAGCCTTAGTCATACACACATGGACAGATGCACTCTTACACACACACACACTCTTTATTTTCACCATTAACATTGGTTTTAATATGAAGATTTTATTTGCATCTTCATTTATTGATTCCATTGGATTTCAGACCTTGTCGGTGCCCAGGCACGATGCATCTCACACAGTTTTGACTTGATGTGTTTTGACACCTAGAATAATGTCCTCTGAGAATGCTTCCCAACACAACCTCTCTGAGGATTGAATCACCTTCATCATGACACTGTCTGTAACTGGACACATCTGCTCTGCTCTCACATGTGAAACGGAGAGATTTATATGGTCTCTCACGTCTGACTGAAAAGTGTCTGAGATCTTTGAGGGGATTATGTGGACTGAGGATGTTATTATACAAAGTGTGGTACACCACCAGACTGAGTACATTTTGTGAATACATTTCAGTGTGATGCTGCACCACCCCTGCAGGGTTTGACCAAATGGGTGCCACGACCTGGACCAATGGACCGCAAGGTGAGTCTTTAATACAGACTAGTGTGGGAAAAATCATCCTACAAGTTCTCCACCATCCAGTCAAATCTGAAAGCTAAATACTGTATATCACACCCACCAGTTAACAATAGGGCAGTGTCTCAGGACAACATTCAGCTCTGTGAGAGACTCCCTTAACTGAACCAGAACAGACACCTCAAAATAGAATCAGATATGTCACTTGGCTGAAACAAAAGCCTGCACCCTCACCAGCCATAACAGGGTAAGATAACTTTATTATGTCTTGTCACTAGGTTGTGGAGAAGGCGTTGCAGCGTTCCATGTCCCGTATGCAGGTGGATTCTCTGGACTGTGTGCAGTTCCACTGGTGGGACTACAGCGATAATAGATACCTGCACGCCCTGGGGCACCTGTCTGATCTGCAGCAGGATGGCCTCATACGTAGGTCATCTTATACAACCATTTACTATTCCCATGCACACAAGCTCTAACATCATCACTTTTTAGTGTGATAAGATTGTTAAGATTCACCATTCAGCCATGCACCTTATGTACTTGTTGATGAGCTGTGCCTGTTTGTCAAATTTAGATGTACTCCTTGTTTTCTGTCATCTTACTCTTCAGGAGAGCTGGCCCTCACCAACTTTGACACTCAGAGGCTTGAGGAGATCACAGACAAAGGGATCGGAATCTCCAGTAACCAGGTACAGTGCCTGCTCCCTCATTCGTTTGCCCCTTCTTTCTCTCGCTTTCTCACTAGCTTAATGGGAGGCAATTTCCTTATGCCTTATAGAGTATTGTGAAATCTCTGTGCATGTTCAGTACATTAGTCTGCATCAACGTTCAGTATGTCCAGTATTAATGTCCAGTGATGTTTCCTTCCAGGTGCAGTACTCTCTGATCGACCAGCGGCCTGCTGCTAAGATGGAGGCTGTCTGCCTGTCTCACGGCATCCAGCTCCTTACCTATGGAACTCTGGGTGAGGACCGGTCTGAGGTCATCACAGCCACTGCTCTACTCATACTGGTGCTACTTGGCTGCTCTAGGGTTGAGCCATTTAAGAGGATGAAGAAGCACAAGCATTCATGTCACTGCCCTGAGAGAGTCAGTGGTGAAAGGTTGGGTTAGGTCCCAGTTAGCCTGGCCCAGGTCTGAATGGGGTTTAGCCAACCTATCTGACCTATAGATCTAGACCAGGCTAGCTCACAGTTACTGTTGCAACCTCAGTGACCAGTTATGGTCTGTTTTTTGCAAGTTATGTGATTTACAATATTATATCGTAAATCACATAACTTTAGACAGACCAATTAGTGCTCCTTCTAATCAAGGACCACTTGATATTCTGATCTGATATTGCCCGGAAATGACTGACGCTCTCGCATATGTCCGTAATGAAAAACATAACGTACTCTCGGCAGATATATTGTAGAGAAAAATATTCTGTGAGATACTGCATGCTTTGCTTTTATACTTTTTGATGCATTATGGTAATTAGTATTATTGAAATTAATACGTTATTTAATATAGTGTTAGCGATTTTAGAAATCCTTTCCATATTGACTCTTGCCATGTGGGGTGTAGTGATATAAAATGGTGGTGATCTAAGATGGAGACCAAACTGACGATGCATCTCTGCTGTTTCTCTGCCCCCCTCTTCACCCTATTCCCTCACATTCTATGTATTTCCCTCTCTTCCTGTTTCCTCATCTTTACCCTGTCTCTCTCTCTTTCTGTATCCACCCCCTCCCTAATCCATCTTTTTGAACCTCCATCGCTCTGTCCCCCCTCTAGCCGGTGGTCTACTCTCAGAGCGCTATCTGGGGAAGGCGGAGCCTACAAGCAGGGCGGAGCTCAACACCGCCTCCCTCAGTAAGTACAAGAAGGTGATTGACGGCTGGGGAGGATGGGGGCTGTTCCAGGAGCTGCTGGTTGCCTTGGACACGGTTGCCCAGGGCCACAGCTGCTCCATCGCCAACGTGGCTACCCGCTATGTTCTGGACCGGCCAGCGGTGGGCGGAGTCATCGTGGGCTGTCGTCTCGGTGTTGCCGGGGCGGAACACATCAAGGACAGCCTGCGCAGCTGCAGCCCAGAGTTGGAGCTCACAGCGCAAGACCTGCGCACCATCGACAGCGTGCTGCAGCGCTCGCGTGACCTCATGAGCCTCATCGGAGATTGTGGAGACGAGTACAGGAACTAGAGCAGAATAGAAAAGATGGACCAGAGCATCTGGGTTGGAGGGAAGTAGAGATAGGGTACTGGAGGAAGAACATGTAAATGTGTGAATATATGTGTGTGTATAGATGGTGGGAAGTTAGAGGATGGCAGGAGTAGAAGGAAATGTGGCGGGAAGAGAAGGCGTGGGGGGCTGGAACTAGAAATGGCAGATGATGAGGGAGAGTGAATAGCATGAACTATGACAGAGCACACAGATATACAGCCTTTCACTTTTATTTTGTAAAATAATGTCAACGTGTGATAAATGTTACCCTGTACCCATGCAGTATAATAAAGAATGTAATGTATATAGCGCCATTATGTCTCTATATGTGTATGGAAAGGGCTTTTAAGTAAAATAAGAGATTGACCTAAAGCAGCTTGCTTAATTTACAATACGAACAATAGATATTGATATTTTTGTTTTTAAAAATGTCCTCTTCCTGTGTTCTTTTTCATGACATCCCTTCAGACAAGGAGAAAGTATTTATTTCTGTTACATTACTCAAAAGATGGAAATGTCCCTGTGTTTGAGGTGGTCTGTGGTGGACCTTTGTTTGCAGTATGCTGGTTTTGTGTGTGTGTGTGTGTGTGTGTGTGTTTGAGGGTTACTAGGGTGGAAGATGTGGGCAGGCCTATCTGGGGAACAATTCCACTAGGGAAGGAGACCATGGTGGAGCCTTCTGATGTTCCTTGACAGAGCTAGCTGACCGGCTGTTCATTCAAGGGTGTGGATATACGCAAACAGGAGGGGTCAGAGGCAGATTTGGGTTGGGGGTAGCACTGAGGGGCAATTAGATGGCAGGCTGGAAGATTGGGGGTGGGTGCCAGCTGGGGGGCAGGAGCAGGGGTATTTTTTGGGGGGTCAGTCTCCATCTCTTGTAGCCGTGGTAATGACGGGGAGGCATTGAAACTGTACAACAGACAGACGCTCTAATGACCACGAGGATGCCCCCAGACTGCCACTATCGCAGCTGCTGCAACTCACAGTGAGGGTACCCACTGCCTGGGGTTAAAGGGCAGCTACAAGATCACATGTACTCCCCTATGGGGAAACCCACACTATGCTAGAGTACAGTGAGTACCATGGACTAAGACGTCCAGTAAAACTACAGTCTCTCACCTAGGGACTGAGATTAGCCTGCTTCAGCGTGCCTCAGACTAAGGGCTCGATTCAATCAGATCCGCATTAACCAACATCCGCATAGCAGTTGTTTTGGCAGTGTCGGAGGTTGACCTGTGTTAGAGCTGTCAAATCCACAAGTGTCTCCCGGAATTGCACATACAGTAAAGCAGACATTGCCTGCAGAGGGTTGCATTAACAGAAATCCCATGCATCCTTGTTTACAAGTTCGAACACTAGAATGTGAGATGTAATCTACATCTAGATTAGGATGATAGAAATCCTCATTATTTAGTTGAATGATTTTTCAATTTGAGTGTAATTATCCCATTCTGAACTTCTAACACGAGTGAGGCGGGTGTGGCTTAGTGACAATGACCGCAAGAGCAGCTGCTCACCGATTTGACGGCTTCAACGCAGTTCCACCTCCTACACCGCCAAACATACGCTATGCGGGTGTCTGCTATTGCTGAATCTAGGCCCTAAACACCTTATTTTCCCCAGCTCAGCGGTCTTCAGGTTAATGTGACAGCAGCCATGTGTGGTGGGCTACTGTGTATCTATCAGCCTTACTCTCTCTTATCTTGATGGATGACCCATATGTATAAAGAGCATCTCTGTCTGAAGTTTCATGCACACACACATGCTGAAGTGCCCTTGAATCGTTCAATAGGCTTATTAATTATTAAAACACATGAAATATGCACAGCACGTTGTGGATGGTGGATATGTGCTTGTATGTTCATCTCTCAATGCAGCGTACATACAGGGCCCATAGTCCAGACTGTTAGCAGACACACTGCACCAGATTTGATCAGGTGTGGCACAAGCCAATGTGTGCCTGTGTTTTTTATTTGTATTGAATAATAATATGCCATTTAGCAGACGCTTTTATCCTAAGCTACTTAAAGTCATGCGTGCATACATTTTTTGTGTATGGGTGGTCCCGGGGATCGAACCCACTACCTTGGCGTTACAAGCGCCGTGCTCTACCAGCTGAGCTACAGAGGACCACATACTAAAACATACAATGTACCTGCAGTGAAGCCGATCAACATTTACATTACATTCAGTCATCTAGCAGACTCCCATGCAGAGCGACCCACAGGAGAAACCAGGGTCAAGCGCCCTGCCCAAGGGCACGTCGACAGATCTCCCACCAAGTCAGATCGGGGACCCGAACCAGCGACCTATCGGCCACCGGCCCAAGCTCCCAACCGCCAGGCCACGAACCAGCCAACCCCCCCCCCCTTTTGCTCATATGATTTGAAAAACTAATCATCAGGAGTAGGCAGCGCCATAAATAAGTGAGTAACCTGAGATATTACTTTTATTTTATTTAACTAGGCAAGTCAGTTAAGAACAAATTCTTATTTACAATGACGGCCTTCCAAAAGGAAAAAAGGCCTCCTGCGGGGACGGGGGCTGGGATTAAAAATAAATAAATAAAATATAGGACAAAACACACATCACGACAAGAGAGACACCACAACACTACATAAAGAGAGACCTACCACATAGCATTGCAGCAACACATGACAACACAACATGGCAGCTGCACAAAACATGGTACAAACATTATTGGGCACAGACAACAGCACAAAGGGCAAGAAGGTAGAGACAATATACATCACGCGAAGCAGCCACAACTGTCAGTAAGAGTGTCCATGATTGAGTCTTAGAAGAGATAAAACTGTACAGTTTGAGTGTTTTTTTTTTTTTTTTGCAGCTCGTTACAGTCGCTAGCTGCCGTGAACTGAAAAGAGGAGGACCTTTAACAGAATGTGACTGGCAGAACGGGTGTTGTATGTGGAGGATGAAGGCTGCAGTAGGTATCTCAGATAGAGGGGAGTGAGGCCTAACAGGGTTTTATAAATAAGCTTCAACCAGTGGGTCTTGCAACGGGTATACAGAGATTACCAGTTTACAGAGGAGTATAGAGTGCAGTGTTGTGTCCTATAAGGAGCATTGGTGGCAAATCTGATGGCCGAATGGTAAAGAACATCTAGCCGCTGAGAGCACTCTTATTTGCTGATCTATAATTTACATCTCTGTAATCTAGCATGGGTAGGATGGTCATCTGGATCAGGGTTAGTTTGGCAGCTGGGGTGAAAGAGGAGCGATTATGGTAGAGGAAACCAAGTCTAGCTTTAACCTTCGCCTGCAGCTTTGATATGTGCTGAACTAAGGAGTTAATCAGTGTACATTTTCCATAAATAGACAGTTATTTACCTCTCCATGGTTGCAGGATCTTGTCTATTTTTACTAGTTTTCTATTGAAATTCATTGTGGCCAGCTCATTTATATATTTTGTTATATGAATACCAAGTGTGTCTACTTCACCATCAGCCCATTTTATAGTTAACTGCAGGGTAATGTAAAGGTTGTGTTTTTTAAAGATCCAATACATAATATGCTACACATCATAATTAGGTTTTAGTCCAGAGGCCAGAAAAGTTAATTCGATCTTCAATGAGACCTTGCAGGGATCTAGCTTGCAGACTTAATATAAAACTTGAGTCATTGGCATACCTGGACACCTTTGTTTTTAAGCCTTGGATTTCTAATCCTCTAATATTGTTATTTGATCTGATTTTAATAGCTAGCATTTCGATGGCCATAACGAATAGATATGGTGAGTGTGGACACCCTTGTTTAACTCCTCTTGACAGTTTAAAACTATCTGAGAAGAACCCACTATTGGCTATTTTACACCTGGGGTTGCTATACATTACTTTTACCCATTGAATAAGAGACTCACCGAAATTTAAAAAATGGAGGCGTTTATATATAAAATCCAGACTTACTTTATCAAAGGCCTTTTCAAAATCTGCTATGAATACCAAGCCTGACTTCTTAGGTATTTCATGTTGTTCTATTATTTCTAGTAGTTGTCGTATATCATCTCCAATGTATCGTTCATGTAAAAACCTGTCTGATCAGGATGAACAATACCTGGTAAAACCTTTTTAATTCTGAGTGCTATGCATTTCGCTAGTATTTTTGCATCACAACATTGAAGTGTCAGAGGCCTCCAGTTGTTTAGATGGACTGGATCTTTATATTTGCCATCTGGGTCTTGTTTTAATAATAGTGAATCAGACCTTCCTGCTGATTACCTGACAGACTACCATTTCTATAGGAGTAGTAAAACAAGCTAATAATTGAGCTTTGAGTATATAAAAAAAGGCTTGATATACCTCTACCGGTATGCCATCAAGCCCTGGGTTTTTCCAGACTGAAAGGATATAATAACCTCAAAAAGTTATTCCTCTGTAATTTGGCCTTCACACTGATCCTTTTGTGGATTTTTATTTTTGGGGAAATTATTTCCTTAAAGTATTTGTCATTCAGAGGGTGAGAATGAGACCGAAAAGAAAACATCTGCTTAAAATATTTAGCTTCCTCTTTTAAAATATAATTAGGAGAATCATGGATGACTCCGTCTTTAGTAACAAGCTTCTGCAAATTATTTTTGGTAGCGTTCCTGTGTTGGAGATTCAGGAAGAATTTGGTGCATTTTTCTCCATATTCCATCCAGTTTGCATTGTTTTTGTAATAGATTTCATTAGCTCATTCTTGAATAAGTTCCTCCAGTTCTTTTTGTTTTTCCTCTAACTTGTTTTGTATCTCTGTAGTACCGTTTTTATGGCTATCTACCTGTACTATTAGTTCCTGTATTTCCCACGTTAGTCTTCTCTCTTTAGACAGAAACTGTGTGAAAATTCTGTAAGAGTTATGTGAAGGCCAAATAGATAATGGTCCGATCGCATTCTGTCTCCATTCTATGTCTGTGTGTTGCTATGTAGGCTATGCTCTGTAGGTGTGTGTGTGTGAATGAATGTGTATGATGGTATTTGATTATGGACATGAAATCATGAAAGAACAAGTCAATACGTATGAAACAACTATCAGACTGGAGGGTTGTGAAGAAACCATTCCTTTATTGGTGTGAAGTCCCAGTCAGGATGAGGAGCTAAAAACAGTGCTCTATACCAGACCCATGTCCACTCACACACTCGCTCACGTGGGGTACAGGGTGTGTCGCATCAAAATGTGAGAGAATCAGACTATTTTTCTTTCAAAAAAACGTTCACCTCACTCAGACTACAGCAGTACTCATGACTTTCTCTGGGATGGGGTCGAGTGTAGGGGAGTGGGGTACTGAACTTACAAGGGGCCAGGTCACGGGTCAAAACCACATCAATGACAGTTAACAGAAATACCATATTCGCCGATTCTTTGATTTATACTTCTTATTCCCGGAGAGCGGGTGTGGCCAGAAGTGCTTTCCTGATGACGTTTCCATGACAATAGCATGTTGCAGTGGCACTGGTAGTGGTCTACTTGGCGTTGACGGAGCTGCTGAGCATCTTGCGGACAGCCTGCGCGATGGCGTCGCGGTCGATGCCGAAGATCTTGAGGAGCTCGGTGGGTTTGCCGCTGCGGGGGACGTGGGCCACGGCCATTCGGTGCACATTGAAGCCGGTCTCATTCACCACGGCAGAACACACCGCCTCCCCCAGGCCACCTTAAGAATGATGACCACATGTCAGTCAATCACATTTATATAGCCTTTTTACAACTAAATAAAACCTAAAATGCAAGAGTACATAGTGCTATTTTCTGGGTCTTCTTAGCATTTGCGCACAAGTTTGTCCTAAGACTCCATATGTCACATATGCTCTCCTTCTCTAAATCTTTTGAGCCTGTCTTGCTGAGCTGTCTTTGTTTGTGCAGTTTAGCTCCACTGTGCTGTACAGAATGTACAGTAGCTGGCCAGTCAGTCCAATCTATACATCGGCTTTGTCTTCCACTCCACTGACACTGTAACATTGTCACCTCCACAGCCCACTGAGTCTTGATCCTCCCTGACAGGCCTGCCACCACCTTCTCATTGACTGACCATCAGGCCGGGGTTGGCGAAGGGGGGCCAGGGGCGAGAGAGGGCGTTCCCCCACTCTACTTTAGTAGCCATCTGCACTATGGGGGTCCTTGAGGTCTGGGCCTCTCCATATAGTCCCCTCTAACCCCCTTACCACAGCCTCCCCCCTTCCTCTCCCTCACACACTGTCTTCCCACCCCCTATGGCTCTGAGTGGATGCCCCAACCCCCACGTCGCCCATGCATGCACACCTGTCATAATGCACTATTCATGCTCATGTGTAGACGGGGAATGGAAGTGGGGGTTGGAGGTTGTCAGGGCATGGCTTCTGCACGGCTGTGTTTACTCCTTTCTTTGTTTAGTTCCGTCAACGGACTGTATAAATCCCAACGGACAAATAAGGCAACTGTGCCAAAATAAACACCCACACATTCTTCGACTTGTGTTCTTCCCCCTTCCTGTTATCTAGGTCAGTGAAAACCCAAAGGCCAGAGCAGAGCTGAAATTCAAAAACACTGAGGGATGATACTCTCTTCTCCTCCTCCTCCTGCACATGCTCAAATACTGCAGTCTTGACACTTTGCAATTTCAGAGAAAGAGTTTGTCCGCAGGCTTAGAGATTTAAGAACTGATACAAATCATGGGAATGCCTCACAACTGCATAATGTTCTATCTAAAACTTCATAGCTCAGTGCCCATTGCCATATATTTTATTCCACTGGAATAAGATAACCTGAGTTCAGAAAGCAGACTGTGTGTGCAGAGTACCCACCCTCATAGTAGTGGTCCTCTACTGTGACTATGCGGCCCCTGGTGGCCTTGGCGTGTTCGATGATGGTCTTGGAGTCCAGAGGCTTGATGGTGAAAGGGTCAATAACTCGAATGTTGATCCTCTCTGAGAGAGAAACAGAGCATTTTATCATATAATGAACTACAGAAGAGGACATACAATACTCGTTGCTCAATATTAATCAAAATGTATTCAGTTCAAACCATGGTGTATCATCTATTCAGCCAACACCAGATAAACAGTAGAGATGAATCAACAGACTTCTACAGTGCTAGAGACAGATGCAAGGAGTACTCTGGCTCTGTTGTTGGGGTGCAAATGCTTATTAGAGTGTCACCATCAGCCACTACTGTTGGCATATAACCCCAAATCATGATGAATGGTCCAATGCCTTAGTGGGACAAGTCTCACAACAAAGTCTCAGTATGCGTGTGTGTGTGTGTGCATGCATGCGTGTGTTATTCGGATTATGTTGATGCCCATCAGTCCCTGGGTGACGAGCACATTTCCTGACAGCGAATGTAGACTATAGAACATTGAGTTCCAGTGATGGATCTATGTAACTTTCCGAAATTATGGTTCTGTACCTTTCTTTAGCATTTCAGCAGCTGCCAGTGCCTCATGTAGGGTCACGCCCGCTCCGATCACTGTCACATGATCATCGTTGGTCTTGTACACAACCTGACGGACATGGGATGGAGGTTTCTATTATCTAGGCATATTTCTATTTTAAATAATTTAGCAAGCATGTTAGTACTATAAGAAAGTGTTATACTGTAAGCCTTATATTAGTCATTGTGTATAGTACATCTCAGATATCATTGTCTCCATACCTTTGCCTGTCCCACATGGAAGTCTTCATTGCTGTTGTAAAGAATGGTGTTCTCTGGGCGACTGGTTCTGATGAAACACACACCCTGAAACAGAGATTAAACATGTCAATCAGCCTCTGGACTTTCATTACCTTGTCATTTGTCAGACAGGTTTATTAAACAGAGACTCAGCCATACTCAGCAGCTGTGTGAACCAAATATATTGTAGAGTTAGCGCATAGCATGAGGCAGATGTGATAGAGGGGGTTCTGGGTGCAGGTTAGCATTTTTTGTCATGAATATTTTTCTGGAGGCAGCTCTGCAGAGTGGTTACTAGCTGGCACAGCCACAAAGTCACAGCTACAGGACTGTTTCGCTAGCACAGACTGGAATATGTTCCGGGATTCATCCGATGGCATTGAGGAGTATACCACATCAGTCACCGGCTTCATTAATAAGTGCATGGATGACGTCGTCCCCACAGTGACCGTACGTACAGTACATATCCCAACCAGAAGCCATGGATTACAGGCAACATCTGCACTGAGCTAAAGGCTAGAGCTGCCGCTTTGAAGGAGTGGGACACTAATCCGGATGCTTATAAGAAATCCCGCTACGCCCTCAGACAAATCATCAAACAGGCAAAGCATCAATACAGGACTAAGATCGAATCCTACTACACCGGCTCTGACGCTTGTTGGATGTGGAAGGGCTTGCAAACTTCACGGATTATAAAGGGAAACACAGCCGCGAGCTGCCTAGTGACGCGAGGCTACCAGGCGAGCTAAATGCCTTCTATGCTCGCTTCGAGGCAAGCAACACTGAACCATGCATGAGAGCACCAGCTGTTCCGGAAGACTGTGTGATCATGACTGTGTGTAGCCGATGTGAGTAAGACCTTCAAGTAGGTTAACATCCACAAGGCCGGAGGGCCAGACAGATTACCAGGATGCATACTCAGAGCATGCGCTGACCAGCTGTGTTCTTAGTCCCCTCCTGCGCTCCCTGTTCACCCACGATTGCGTGGCCACGCACGACTCCAACACCATCATTACGTTTGCCGATGACACAACGGTGGTAGGCCTGATCACCGACGATGATGAGGCAACGTATAGGGAGGAGGTCAGAGACTTGGCAGTGTGGTGCCAGGACAACAACCTCTCCTTCAACGTCAGCAAGACAAACGAGCTGATCGTGGACTACAGGAAACGGAGGGCAGAGCACGCCCCCATTCACATCGACGGGGCTGTAGTGGAGCGGGTCGAGAGCTTCAAGTTCCTTGGTGTCCACATAATTAAGGAATTATCATGGTCCAAACACACCAACACAGTTGTGAAGAGGGCACGACAACGCCTATTCCCCCTCAAAAAGTTATACAGCTGCACCATCGAAGGCATCCTGACTGGTTGCATCACTGCTTGGAATGGCAACTGCTTGGCATCCGACTGCAAGACGCTACAGAGGGTAGTGCGTACGGCCCTGAACATAACTGAGGCCAAGCTTCTTGCCACCCAGGACCTCTATACCAGGCTGTGTCAGAGGAAGGCCCTAACAATTTTCAAAGACTCCAGCCACCCAAGTCATAGACTCTTCTCTCTGCTACCGCACGGCAAGCAGTACCGGCGTGCCAAATCTGGGACCAAAAGGCTCCTTGACAGCTTCTACCTCCAAGCCAAAAAGACTGCTGACATAAGACTGCTGAACAGTTAATCAAATGGCTACCTGGACTATTTGCATTGACCCCCTTATTTGATTATTCTTTATTATAATTTTTTGCACTGACTCTCTTGCACAGACTCGATGTACACTCACCGGACTCTACCCACACACTCACACATACTACACTGACATTCCAACACACTCACATATGCTGCTACTCTCTGTTTATTATCTATGCATAGTCACTTTATCCCTTCCTACATGTACATATTACCTCAACTAACCCGTACCCCTGCACATTGACTCGGTACCGGTACTCCCTGTATATAGCCTCGTTATTGTTGTTTTATTGTGTTACTATATTTCCTTTAGTTTATTTAGCAAATGTTTCTTACTTTTTTTTAAAACTCTGCATTGTTGGTTAAGGGCTCGCATGTGACAAATAAAATTGTATTTGATCAAATCAGATTTTAAACCTAACCATAACCACAGTGCTAACCCTAACCTTACATTTTTGTTTTCATGGATTTTTACAATATAGCCAGTTTTGATTTTGCAGCTGGCCTATCTAAGGGGAAATCGCTAAGTTCTGCCTCCAGGACAAGACAATAAACGTCAACCTGCATACTGGGTACCTTTGTGTTGGCGGCCAGCTCCACAGCTTTCTCAGTGGAGACACCGTCGCTAGGGTAGAAAACAGTTGCCGTGGGAATGGCTCTGAACATGGCAATGTCTTCAAGGCCCATCTGAGAAGGACCATCTTCTCCTAGAACACACACAAATGCACACATACACACGTAGATACACAAACACGCACGCAAGTCACACACAATAGCATTTGGGGTGTTTGGGGCGGCTAAAAGTTAAAGTTACAGGACTGGCATGCGTTCAGTGGGGCGAGTCGGCGTGGGCATGCAATGTACCTGAGGAACCAAAAGGGAACCTGGCCGCCCCGCCACAACCACTTCCATGACACAGAGAGAGAGAGGGGGAGGGAGGAAACGAGTGCTGGCCGGAGCCACACTGATACAGTAGTAGATGGACGGAAGATGTGAAGAAACAAAATCAAAATTCAGGATTCAGGAAATAATACAGGATTACTACAAGGGAACGATTCAACCCAATGCAAGAGTGTTACCAAAATTTGCAATTGAAACCAACTGAAGACAAAGACCTTCCTCGGCTAAACAGTGTTAGGGGAAGCACTGTGTTAACACTGTGTGACAGTAAGCCAAGTCTTCTGCAGTGGGCTGTATCGGTCCCAGAGGAACAAGCGCTGAGAGCTACGTCAGGTTAGGATCACAGTGTGGAAGTCACAGGGGTCACTACACAGACAGGTCATTAGGGGGGTGGGGTCAAAGGTCAGTGGTAGGACTGACCGATGGACACGCCGCAGTGGGAGCCACACAGATTGATGTTGCTCTCGGAGATGGCAGCCATGCGGAGCTGGTCGTAGGCACGTGTGAAGAAGGTGGCGAAGGTGCTGGCGAACACCACGTTACGATCCCGCGTGGCACAGCCCACCGCAATGCTCACCTGACAGAAGAGGAAAGAGAGGATAGGGAAAGGAGAGTAAAAGCCTGAGCAACTTGTGTTCTCAAATTCTGCCCAAAGTATCTCACATTCCTTAGACGCATAAGGAGGGAGCCATCATCTTTCAATTCATATGGGAGAAATGTGATGTTTGTGCCATTTCATTTCCTGTTAGCCCTGAGAAAGCCCTTTCCCCTGTTCCCCATGAGGCCTTGCTAAGGGGATGGGGCCTGTGTGAGACAGTAGTTTAAAGCAATCATTGTCAGTGAGAGTTTTTACTCAATAAAATACACTATGTTGGTGGTTTAAACAATGCCATGTACATTAAGTACAGCAAAGCACAGTGTGTCGTTAGCTAGCATAGAGCATCATTGTTGTCACTGACAAACAAGACATTTAAAAAGCCAACAGAGCATTAAATGCTCCAATCCCTTAATAATATTAATATCTGATGTGACAGCATGACGAGGGTAATTAATGAATCTAAATAACATCGGAACTATATTTGACTCCTCTATCGTGTGTGTGGGAGTCAACGAGACACAGGCCACAATACAGCTTCATTAAACCTGCTAATGATGCCTCAAAGAACTGCTACTGGAACCCTGCAGAGACATTACTAGATGCTGACCTAGGATCTGTCCATATCATCTTATTCATTATGATCTAAAAGGCTAAACTGATCCTAGATCAGCACTCCTACTCTGACACTGTGGATACGGGCCCTGGTCTCTTAGCCAACCAGGCAGGAGGAGTAGAAGGAGGGGGTAGCACTGTGTGTGCCAGAGGTGAATAATTCAGATATGAGGGTGGAAAGAAAAAGCCGCTTTTAGACTATAGTGACGGATAAAGTGGAATTGCGTCATTCTACAGTCGTTCAAATACAAAGACGTAGGCCTACAGTATGAATGGTTTGGATGGAACTTTGATGGTCATTTTGGGTTGACGTCAACAACAGCTTATCATTGTTGTTTGTTGGTACTTTTTTTGAAGAGACGTTAACTACCTTTTATGAAGATTTTGTGATCAGTACACTTTAGTTCACCCTACTAGACCTAGAATCAGGTCAGATATGTGGCACTGGGTGTCAGCTGAGCTTACCATGTTCTGCTCAGCGATGTAGCACTCAACGTAGCGGTCGGGGTGCTCATTCTTAAAGAGCTCAGAGAAGGTGGAGTTCTTGGTGTCTCCATCCAGAGCCACCACATGCTCGTTGTAGCGGCCCAGCTTAGCCAGAGCCATGCCATAGGCCTTCCGCGTGGCAATCTGCAGCCAAACACAACCAATGGGTTAGTTAACTAAAACACAGTTCAATGTAGTAGTCCACCACCATTCATTCTCTCTGTCTTAGAGCATCTCTCTCTCTCAAACGCTCTTGCTCTTTCTGTCAAGTACACACATGCATGCACGCACGCACGCACACACCTTTTCTCCGAGTTTGTAGCTGGGTGCGCTGGGCATGCGGACGTTGCGCAGGCTGACGGGTGGGGAGTCCTCGGTGGGCGTAGCGGGGTACAGGCGCTTGGTGCTGTTCATGATGCGCGCCTGGATGTCCTTCATCACCCCCTCAGCCATCTCCTTGGGCAGGGGCTTCCCATGCCAGCCCATCTTGTCCTCCGCAGCTACAACACACACAGAGAACATGATGAAATACATACACAGACAGAGACACACACAGACACACTTATCATCAGAGATGTCACACTACCTCACGCATAGCAAATACGCCTTTAGTATATCAGCAATGCAAAAATGGGTGTAAATCTGCTTATGTTTTATGTGTTATCTGTTTGACATGATATCAGTATCAAGATGTCATAAATTACATATTCCTCAACACTCCATTCTCGCATCACAAAGCCTTACACACGAGTAGCCGTCAAAGACCATTCTATAGGTCAGGGTTCCACTTCAAAAGACATATGCTTATGACAACAGGCAGACAAAGGCCAGTGATCTGAGTATATCCTACACATTCTGAGGGATTACTAGGCTGCTGCAGCAGAAGCTTTAAAGCACTGCCTGGATTACCACAGGTTTAGGTGCCCCTCATAGAGAAGACAGGGAGGGCTGAGTTGGGTCTATCAGACTTTACCCATTTTAAGGGACAGGCACAGACTAAACCTTTGTGATTTTAGGATTAGCGTGGTCTGGTAGTAGGTATTCATGACAAAGCAGCACCCGAGTACCACAGATATGTTTGAATGTGAAGGGTAGAGTGGAGTCTGTCAGTATCACAATGAAGCTGTGTTGGTACATTGGTGTATTGCATGAAAGGCGTTGCTGCTGGTATAGTATTAGGGTTTGGTTAGTCTCTGGGTGTACCTGTCTGTACGAGTGTATCAGTACATGTACCTATAGAGGAGCATGGGATTGGGTACCTGTAGAAATGTGTGTGTGTTACTGTAGGTACCTGGGATTCCTTTGCCCTTGATGGTTTTGGCAATGATGGCAGTGGGCTGGTGACGGGGTTGGCTCAGAACCTTGGTCAACTCCTCCACACTGTGCCCGTCCACAATGATGGCATTCCACCTACAAACATACTATTCATTTATTGGTGCCAATACCTGGTGGGAGTAATTTACCCACTTTCATGGTCTCTAGGACACGCATTTTCTAGGCCTTCTCCAAATCCTCACCCGAAGGCCTCGCAGCGTTTCTGGTACTTCTCCACATGGTGCTGCAGGGGAGCTGGGTCACTCTGACCCAAACGGTTGATGTCCAGGATAGCCACTAGGTTGTCCAACTGGTAGTAGGAGGCGAAGGACATGGCCTCCCACACAGAGCCCTCAGACATCTCCCCATCACCCAGCAGGCAGTACACATTGTAGCTACAGAGGGACAAACAGACAGAGGGAAAAACAGAAAGACAGACAGACGGACAGGGGCAATTAGAGGCTTAAAACATCACAGCAGCCAAGCTTTTATAAAAAGTAATAAACAAGTAAAGTTATACGACTAACATAAATGACTAATCCACAATTTTCAATAAATTGCCACCTAATGGCTAAGGGGATGAAATGCAACACAAAAGAGCAGAACAATAACAATCTCTCCCTCATCATTGCCTCCCCTCGCGGCGTAACATTTTCCACACAACCCCCTCCCTTCATCTTCGAATGAGCCTCCCTCCCCCACACAGTGCGAACAGGAACAGTTGACCCCACCCTCCTCGGCTTGGAGCTCCGATCACCCTGCATGGTAACAGGGCCTGACAGCTTTCCACTCAAATAGACACATTGTCATTAAAGCGAGAAGATAGACTGAGACATGGCAAATTAAGGCACGCATTCCGAACCGGACCGCCCGGGGAAGAAAAGCATTCCAGAGCCCAGAGAGGGATCCACAAAACACCTGGTCCAGATCCCGCTTAACATCCCCTCTCCCGGTTACTCTCGTTTACTTTCGCCTCAGGGGAGCAGCAGCACCACTTACTACCCACAGACAGACTTCCCTGCACCAACACACTGTCAAAAACGGTGAAAAATTCCTCATTTTCACAGTATTAAGTCTTGCCATGCCAAATCAATTGCTGGCTGTCAAAGGCTATGCCAATAGGGCATAAGGTCTGGGCAAAAGCCCTACTCTTAAGACAACACACACACACAATGGAGGGGGGATCTGAGGCAACCCTTCAAATGTGCATACCGGTGAGTGTGTGGCTTAAAACAACACACTGGGGAACGTATCCTACACATTCTGAGGGATTACTGGGCTGCTAAAGCACTAAAGCACTGCCCGGATAAGGCCGGGGTTTGGGTGCCCCTCGTTACACACCTCTAAACGTGCCAGGATAACCTTGCAGTTTAACCTTTAACTGAACCTTCTATTTAAACAGGTACATAATTGAGAATAACCAATATTCATTCACTCACTCTCTCCCCGGGTGAGAATATTATAGAGGTGAGAAGAGAACAAATCATACAGACACCTCACACTGAGCCCTCAGGCTGGTCTGGCTTACATAGAACCAAAGAAAGGGAAATGTTGTCTTAATGCACGCCCTCCTGAACCTGCGCCAAATTGTTTTACGTTCTGCTTTGATTTTGTTTAGCTAAAGCATGGATAATCATATTCAAACTCTCCATTTACTAAATCAAATAAACACAGTGAATGAAACAGGGTACTGTAAGCGTGAGGCTTTAAAGCTGTGGCATTTTGACTTGCTAATCCTCCTGCTGTGTATCTGACACATTCACTCATTTGATTCATAGAACACTCTCTTTATCCGGGACCCTGGCCTATGCATGTAGGGCTGTGTATTTTGGGGTCACAGACTGTAATAGGAAGATTGTGTAATTAAAGCAGTCATACATACAGACAAGTCACAGTTGGGGCTGGATGCTACAGTAGCTCACTTTGACGAGCTGTTCTGAGCACTGGAGCACACGCACACACTAACTACTTTTTCCCAGAGAGAGACACACACTAACTACTTTTTCCCAGAGAGAGACACACACTAACTACTTTTTGAGAGAGAGCGAGAGAGAGAGTGAGAGAGAGAGAGAGAGAGGGCAGTATGGAAAGAGGGTGCAAAAGAGAGGGTGTGAGGGAAAGCGAGGGAGAGAGCAAGGGGTAGTAGTGAGAGAAAAGAAGAGAGGAGTGGTTAAGCGCAAGAGAGGGAGAAGAGGGCGGCTCTCTCGCAGCCCTGATTATTAGAGCAGAAAAATTGACTGAACACAAAATGCAGAGAAGGCGTGGCCAACCCATCACACGTATACATTCTACGGCAGACTGCTCTGTTATACGGATCAAAAATGAAACCAGAGAATAGCAACAAACAAAAAAAATCACAATATCTCTAATAAAACATTTCAAAGTCTATCTGTAACCCCAAAGTACAGCTCAGCTATCCTACTGTTATAGCTTTGTATAGGGATTCAGATATGAAGGTGAATCTGCTTTGTCATATGCAGATTGCCATAGACAGCATTCTAGGCTCCATTGTTTGCCAGTGTTGCCACGTGGCCGTTCTAGAACAGACCTCGTCTCTCACAACAAAGACGCTGGCTTCCAAACCATATTGAGTGGTGAAACGGCCAACCTGTCTCCACAACACCACATACAACATCAGCTATGGCTGTCAGCCAGTGTCTACTCTCCTGAGAGGAGGTGAAATGTCAGATGTACTTACTGTTTGCAGTGTGCAACATGAGTATAGGTGTGTGTATTGTGTGCATGCAAGCTTTTGTCTATGAATGGGTCTCTCTATGCCTATGCGTTGCAAAGTATCACTGTGTATGTTCATAGTAGGTGTGTCTGATTTATCTAATTGCACATATTTCCTTGTACATGCTCCCCTTTGTCGATTCCCAATGCTATGTATTGTAATTATTTGTGTTTGTGTGTTGGTCTATCTGTCTGTGTTCTGGTGTAGCCAGACAACGTATGATCATGCAAATAAACCATGACCTTAGAGGGGTGTCGAGCATCTCACTGAGTTATGTGCTAAACTCCATATTATGTGCCGAGGTGTGCGTGTGTGTGGGGGAATGTTCTATCACCTGGCCTTGTCAAAGTATTTCCCAGTGTAGGCCATCCCGCAGGCAGCCCCCAGACCCTGTCCAAGAGAGCCGGTGGCCACATCCACAAATTGCTGCTTCTGTTAACACACATAAATACACACAAATGTTAAGACATTACAAAAACACGTTGTAGCACATACAACATGCATAAACATGAATTACACCAACAAACACACATTACACCTTAAATAAAGTAATCAAACATTACACAAATTATGCAGTTAAACATTGCACAGACATCTATTTGCACACAAAGACTAACTACTCAGTCATAACACACCCACATTCAGTCTGTGGCACGCACATTACCATCACAATCATATACAAATCCAATTTTATTTTTCACATGCGCCGAATACAACTGGTGAAGACTTTACTGTGAAATGCTTACTTACGAGCCCTTTCCCAACAATGCAGAGTTAAAAAATAAAAACCAAATAGTAACAAAAGAGGAATAAAATAAAATACACAAGAATGGAGCTATATACAGGGAGTACCAGTATCAAATCAATGTGGAGCTATATACAGGGAGTACCAGTATCAAATCAATGTGGAGCTATATACAGGGAGTACCAGTACCAGATCAATGTGGAGCTATATACAGGGAGTACCAGTACCAGATCAATGTGGAGCTATATACAGGGAGTACCAATACCAAATCAATGTGGAGCTATATACAGGGAGTACCAGTACCAGATCAATGTGGAGCTATATACAGGGAGTACCAGTACCAGATCAATGTGGAGCTATATACAGGGAGTACCAGTACCAGATCAATGTGGAGCTATATACAGGGAGTACCAGTACCAGATCACAGTACAGCCCAGGGCTGTGGTCCTCTGTAGCTCAGCTGGTAGAGCACGGCGCTTGTAACGCCAAGGTAGTGGGTTCGATCTCCGGGACCACCCATACACAAAAAAAATGTATGCACGCATGACTGTAAGTCGCTTTGGATAAAAGCGTCTGCTAAATGGCATACTATAATGTGGAGCTATATACAGGGAGTACCAGTACCAGATCAATGTGACGAGATGCAAGGTGTTTGAGGTAGATACTGTTCACAAAACACACACACTTCTTCCTCTCAAACACACTTCCTAAATATACACATTCATTCAGTGCTCATGGTAACTGTATCAACAGGGTAAATCAACGTGGTCCTCTGTAGCTCAGCTGGTAGAGCACGGCGCTTGTAACGCCAAGGTAGTGGGTTCGATCCCCGGGACCACCCATACACAAAAATGTATGCACGCATGACTGTAAGTCGCTTTGGATAAAAGCGTCTGCTAAATGGCATATTATTATTATAAGTATTAGGTGAAGAGGCACTGAATCTTAGTTAAGGGAATCAGTGGGCTACTCATGTGTGTGTGAACAGAGCATTGCATTACTGTGAAATTACTATGCGTGCAGACACAGGGCCTGGGACCGCCTGTCACTGTCACACAAGCACATCTTTGTGACAATAAAGTCTACACTACAGTACATAGTGGGTGTTGTGTGCTCAGACTTTCTCTCTCCAACAAGGGAATACCAGACAAGTCTGGCTTTGGAGATGAGGAGGACATGTTAGTTGTAGTTCATAAAAGACCACAGGTAACAAGCGGTCGTGGATGAACGGGTTTGTGAGGAATAAAGGGCTAAAGATAAACCAGGCTTGTGAAAGGATGACTCTCTTTGGGTTAATGGAGTTAAGAGGTTATTTGTGGACCAAACAGGGTCGTGTCTTGTGGATTGATAGGTCACTTCCTGTTCCTGTTCTCACCGGCACAGGATGTCCCTCCAGGATGGAGTCGACCTTACGGAGGTTGAGCAGCTCGCTGTCCTTCAGGTAGCCTGCCTCGGCCCACACCGCATACAGCACCGGGGCTGCATGACCCTGGAAGAGGGAGAACGAGCGAGAGGGACACAGAGAGAGAGAGAACGGTCTCACAGATACAAGTTACTCTTAGACTTCATTGAGTAGTAGAAAGAGACTTTGTTACCATCACACACAGACATGACCTCATTCAGACAGAACATACACAACGGGGCCTTAGCTAATGCAAGCACACTTCAGTAATTTACTACAACCACCTTTCATAGCAGAGCTGTTATTCCCTATGTTAGACTCTCACATACAGTATCACACTCTGTGCCTGGACCACTTTCAGTTCTGGGATTGGGAACATGATCCCAAATGTTATTCCTTCCACATCTCCAAATTAATTAAACTCCAGTAGTCTCAATAGGATTACATTCACGCCTCTCGGTCAGTCTCCTAAAGCAGTGGTTCCCAAACTGTGGAACTCAGTCAGGCTTTCAACTTACTCTTTAAAAGTTGTAATAATATAATGCACAAGGTGCAATTTCAAAATTGGTTAGTGCAACAGCAGTTTTCCTCTTGTTATGTCAATCATAGAGCGCTATTTATAACTTGTCAGAAATGTCCAGTTGACCAACTAGCCCATGTCAGCTAACATTGACGCGGGATGTTCCCCAATGATGAAAGTGGGGCATGAGTGAAAAAGTTTGGGAAGCACTGTCCTAAAGGGTCCCAGGTCCCAGGGCCAGATTACATGCTTACTCTACATTGGGCCTTTAAGAACTATAATCATACGGCTGGCTCTTCCCAGTACTGGCCAATGCAATCTGACTGGTTAAAATCCTATGAATATACAACTGTCCATCCATTCATCAGGTTGTTTTTTGGAAATGGGATTATTTTGATACAATGCCCTGGTGCTGGCTGAGGGCCCTAACCACACTCTCAATCTACTGAACGATCTGGCCTTAATGGCCATGTACTCTTATAATCTCCACCCAGCACAGCCAGAAGAGGCCACCCCTCAGAGCCTGGTTCCTCTCTAGGTTTCTTCCTAGGTTCCAGCCTTTCTAGGGAGTTTTTCCTAGCCACTTTGCTTCTGCATCTGCATTGCTTGCTCTCTGGGGTTTTAGTCTCGGTTTCTGTATAAGCACTTTGTGATAACTGCTGATGTAAAAAGGGCTTTATAAATGCATTTGATTGATTGACAAACTTGACTAAACTGTATCTGAGGCTAATGAGGCTGCTATAGTAGGTCTGACCTTAGAGGTGAACATGGAGGCTCTGCTTTAGAATGGATTTGGCTGACAAGACTGATTAAGGCACGGGACTGAGACTGGTACATCTAGACACCTCAAATTCAACTTTGGACCTCAAAGCCAGTTCCACTGTATTTTTTTATTGTTCCCCTCTAATTAGGGTCTGATTTAGACGTGGGACACCAGGTGGGTGCAATTCATTATCAGGTAGACCAGAAAACCAGCAGGCTCTGGACCCCGTAGGGTAAGAGTTGAATATCCCTGGTCTCTAGACCATAGAAATATAATCCCCATTCAAGTCAATGAGAATTATATTTCTAGACAGTGTTAGAGTGGTACCTTGGAGAGGACGAAGCGGTCATTGTTGATGTTGCGGGGGTCCTCAGGGCGGTACTTCATGGTGTTGAAGAAGAGCACAGACATGATCTCTGCCACACTGCAGCATGATGTGGGGTGTCTGGGGGACAGAGAGGACAGGACAGGGAGTCAGACCAGGACTCTGACTAACAAGCACACACAAATCAAGACACACACACACACACACACACACACACCTCCACGCGCTCAGGACACCGCAGTCTAGAGCTAGAAAGTATAACACACACACTCACCATAAATGACCTACAATCAGTATTCTATAGACTATTTCATTGCCCTCCCATATTTCCAGTAGACAGACACATTGACAGTCAGACAGACAGAGCCCAGACTTCACACACACACTGATAAAGCAGTGCACAGTCACTGTCCTGTGATGTCATCATAGGAAACAAATCCATCTTCAATGGAAGTTGATCACCCAGACTTGAACTCTGATATTCATTCATTGAGTGCAGGGCCTAGCCTACATTAGTCTGTCTGCCAACTGTAACCTTCATCTTGTAATAAAGTTTTAACACTCAATGCCTGTGAAACGTGTTATTTTCTCTCTTTTGACTTTGACTTCATATTAGTGAATTAATTCACAACAATCAATCTGCTGTCTGTTACATAAGGCAGACCGTCTTCCATACATTCAGTCAGGGTTAGACAGTTTCTCATGCAATGAGCCAGAGGAAACCATTGTGATCATTCCATTGCACTTTAGTTTTATTATAGCAGACCACAAGTACACTACTTTCTCCTTTACTGCCAAAACTCCATGCTTGAGGTTAAATGCAAAAGACAACCAAATTAAAACAGTTTTTTTTAAAGAATCTATAACATATGAGATTCCAAACAGAGCATGCCTGTTATAATATGTCACCATAACACAGGTGCCAGGTACCCACCAGAAACGGAAACGTTTAATCAACCTGAAACGGAAAGGTGGTCAAAACAGACAAAACGTTTTAGAAATTAAATATTTACTGGATGAAATAAACAATGAACAGATGAAAGAATGAACACAAAAAATATATAGTTTAATTGTGCCTTGGACTTATTCGTTGAGGTGGAAGTATAAACATTTATTAAAAGGTTGTATCCTCAGAAATTATGGTTATTATGCCTCAATAGCATATTTTCTTTGAGCTGTTGACTATACTGTTATAAATAAGGAAATAAGAAAAACAAATGAATTAATCTCTCAGTAATATAAATAATATTTATTCTACCCCTATATCAAGGACAAGCCTGAAAAAGATTAATAGAAAGGGGAGTGATCGTCCTTGTTGCCTGACATATCATCAGCCCGTCGCAAATCGTTTCGCTCTGCGAAGAGGATGGGCAGTGGAGGCTGAATTTACGCAGGAGCGCCAGGAACGAGCGCGGTCCCTTTAGATGCGGCGGACCCGGATCCATTCCATATACTCAAAGGCCCACGTCGCCATCACGCGTAAGGACCCATTCTTTACGGAATCATATTGAATGAGTTTACGCTATCAAAAAAATTCATTCAAAAATAAATAGGCATTAAGATGCTGCACAATCGAAAAGAATGCACCTGCAACTAGTAGCCTAGTCTATTACAATGTAATAGGCTACAACATTAAAAACAAAAGTTCACAATGTTCTCTCTGCATATTATATCTATATGGTATCTGCATGGTTTAAATCCCACATTTAAGACATGTCAATGATTAATGCCATCCATTTGGAAATGGATGGCATTGAAAGGGTAGAATTAAGAATAGTAGCCTGTTCTGGGACAATGCGTAATATGCGCATAAAATGGGCACACAATGTCCAAGCCATGGCTATTACGCATGTAAACCCATCACATAGCCTGCATGGATGGACACCTCATATAACACATTTCATTTTCTTTTTAATTTAAAGCATTAAAGCATGGCGCTTACCCGCTGCCTGCAGCAGTTGTAGCCTTGATAGAGTTGATCCTGAGCCGGTTGGCGACGTTCCTAAGTGCCTGCAGGGTCTGCTGGTCGGGTTTGTGATAGTCCTCCATCTGTGAGCAATTCTGTCAAAAATACACTTCAAAAATAAAATACTGTCCGAACAATGTCAGGGTTAAGACTAGGAAAATCGCCTTCAATCTGTGCGGGGGATAGAGGCAGAGAGAATGAGTGAGAGTGGGCGTATTAGTAAGCCTATGATTGAATATGGATAATTTAGAGCAAAAAAGGAGATAAAACAGTACACTGGCTCAACGAACGCAGAGTGGGAGGGTGTGTATGTAGCAGTGCACAAAGTATGCTACATCCCAAACAGTCACGCATGGACGAAATGGGGGAGGCGGAGTTGCCAAGGCAAAGTGGACTTTAACTGCCACGCCCCCGTCGCCACTCCGCGTCACAGTCCTCCCCACACGGTCGCTCCTACAGCAGGGCCAGGGACACAGCAGGGGGCCGGCCATGTTGAGATGTAGTAGGCTACTCTCTGCTAGTGCTGTCAAAGACCAGTGGAAAGTGGATGATTGCAAATAGGCCTACTGTAAGTAATTAGCTATAATTTGGTCTCCATTGGTACAGTAGAAAACAGTGGCACACCGCAGTTTCGTGAGGCCTTGCAAAGTCAGAAATATTTGTTGTTGTTCTTGTTGTTGGGGGAAACAGCCAACTTCCTACAATTCTACACATTTTGACATGGTGTAAAGAGAAACATTTGCAGTTTTATAGATCATCTCATGCTTTTATACATTTTGCCATGAGGCTGAGAGAAAATGTTCCAGATTTAAAGCTAATTTACTGCAATTCTATACATATTGCAATGGGGCAGAGAGAAAAATTTGCAATTTTATAGCTAATCTCATGCTATTCTACACATTTTGCAGGGAGGCAGAGATAAAAAATCAGCAGTTTTACAGCTAATTTCCTGTCATTCTATTTTTTTTGTCATGGTTTATGACATGTTCATATGCTATCTGGGGAGAAGGGGACTTTCTTTTCTTTTTTTTCTCCCCAGGGCTGTATGGTACATAAAGTACATTATGTCTATTCATGACCATTGGGATTGTAGTTAAATAAATAAAGAACTGCAGTGCTGAGACTGTTAAGGATGGATAGAGGGTTCACAAATTACACTGTACTAATCTAAATTAATGATAATCTATACTCCGAATGCGTTGACCTGACTCATTCAAATACACTACACTGCACCTGCCATAACCAAAATATGCCAACTGGCACCCCAGATATCCATGCTCACTCGCTTCAGTCTTTTTGCTATGCGAAATGGGGAAGAACCTGTGAACAAAAGTGGCACCATGTGCAGATTGAAAATAATAGCCACTACTATACAGTATAAAACAAAGGCTGGAAGAATGGGGCGTACTATGTGTAGTGCAGTAAAGAACACTGGCATCTGGCGACTTGGACAGACTTTGCATTAGAAATGTAATTTCCTGTCAAAAAACGTAACCTTGCTGCCCTCTAGTGACTTATTCCAGATATGCCTTGAGCCGCATCTCAATCATCCTAAATGGCAACCACTCCTTGTCTCCACCTCTCCAAATGCTATGACACCAGGGGTACATCTCAATAGTCATAGGTGGTTTCTTCTCGTTTACTTTCCTTCATTCTCACAGACATGAAAAACCATGGTGGTTAGATTAAAGCAGATGAACGACAAAACAAGGAGAAGAAACCACCTTAAACTATTGAGATGCACCCCTGGTGTAATAGCGTTTGCCTTTCAGTTTTTTACATTAACGGATGTAATGACTGCAATAGTCAAAACAGAGAATAATTTAAGAAAAGTACTTCATTTCAGCAAGAAATTGAAATCGTTTGAGAAAAAACTTCACTTAATCTTTAATATCACAAAATATTTATAATAAACAAAAGTACACAGTGACATAGAAAAAACGATTAAAAAATTGATGTGGTTCATAAGACCCCATACAACAAGTTAATTCATAATTAAACTGACACTGGCAAATAAGAGGCATACTTTAACAGTGTAAAATAATTTAAAATACTTTTTTTTTTTTTTTTTTTTTATCTCTGGGCCTCATCTATTTTCTCCTCCAGTATTGAGCCTGTGACTAAATAATATGTACACAGGGGAGTAAACTTTGATATCCTGTCTGAAAACACACCTATCAATCAACATGAATCATTGAGCCAATAAAACTGTGTTATAGAACATTTTATATATATTATTGAGGAACCATAGGAGTCACAAACTACTCATTAACTGCTTTTTACTAACTGTGTTTTGACGTGAAAACAATATGCATGAGGTAAGAGGTTTTCTCTTCTTACATTACAAATAAACTTACTTGTACTTTCTGGCTGAAAGTAATCAAGAGACGAGGTTAAAAACTAAAATTCCTTTGACAACATAATGTGTTGATCAGTTATTTGTTTAGATAATGTTCTTAATTGCCTCCCTTGTCTATAGCTGAACACCACCATTCTTTAAGTCTTTCAATCGGAATGAAATGTGTGATTGAGTGCAGACAAACTGAAATACATACCGTGCGTGATCAAATAATGTGAACATACATTGAGTGCACAAAACATTAAGGACACCCAATCTTTCCATGACATACACTGAACAGGTGAATCCAGGTGAAAGCTATGATCCCTTATTGATGTCACTTGTTAAATCCACTTCAAATCAGTGTAGCTGAAGGGGAGGAGACAGGTCAAATAAGGATTTTTAAGCCTTGAGACATGGATTGTGTATGTGTGAATGTACAAGACAAAATATTTAAGTGCCTTTGAACCGGGTATGGTAGTAGGTGCTAGGCATACCGGTTTGTGTTAAGAACTGCAATGCTGCTGGGTTTTTCACACACAACAATTTCCCATGTGTATCAAGAATGGTCCACCACCCAAAGGACATCAAGCCAACTTGACAACTGTAGGAAGCATTGGAGTCAACATGGGCCAGCATCCCTGTGGAACGCTTTCGACACCTTATAGAGTCCATGCCCCGACTAATTGAGGCTGTTCTGAGGGCAAAATGGGGGGGGGGGGGGTGCAACTCAATATTAGGAAGATGTCCTAAATGTTTTGTACACTCAGTGGCAGTGTGGCACATGGTCAGATATGTGTACGGGGGGAGGGTGACGTTATCAAATACATTCAAACTGGCTGACCTACAAGATCAAAGACATACACCTCCCAAGTGGCACAGTGGTCTAAGGCACTGCATCGCAGTGCTAGCTGTGCCACTAGAGATCCTGGTTCGAATCCAGGCTCTGTCGTAGCCGGCCGCGACCTGGAGACCAATGGGGCGGCGCACAATTGGCCCAGCGTCGTCCAGGGTAGGGGAGGGAATGGCCGGCAGGGATGTAGCTCAGTTGGTTGTGGGTTCGATTCCCAAGGGGGGCCAGTATGAAAAATAAAAAAATAATGTATGCACTCAATAACTGTAAGTCGCTCTGGATAAGAGCGTCTGCTAAATGACTAAAATGTAAAATACACATTGACTCAACCTGTCATGACATACTAGTACTTTCAGCTGTTGGTTGCAGAGTGGAGAACAGGGAAAGATAGAGAATATACTGTGCGTTAACCCATCAGAGTCTAAGCCGGGGGAGGGGGTTCTACTAAGCTATATGGAATTGTTTTAATAATAATAATAATAATATGCCATTTAGCAGACGCTTTTATCCAAAGCGACTTACAGTCATGCGTGCATACATTTTTTTTTGTGTATGGGTGGTCCCGGGGATCGAACCCACTACCTTGGCGTTACAAGCGCCGCGCTCTACCAGCTGAGCTACAGAGGACCACGTTTTAAGGTCATACCAAGGATCATTTAGCTATTTGATTATGAATTTTAAGACCCCCTGAAGTATCCAAAAAAATATATAAAACATTTGTTTGACGAAAATGTTTTGGGGGCTTTAATGCTATTAGCCCATACAAACACATTGAATAACAGATTCCCTACATGGAACAACAGATAGTCCCCAAAAAATTTCAAAAGGAAGTTTGTTCTAAAGTGTCTCTCCTATATCTGAGAGATATAAGAAAGATAGTGTATATACGTATATGCTTCCCTACCTGTCAAAAGTTTGGACACACCTTCTCATTCAAAGGGGTTTTCTTTATTTTTACTATTTTTTACGTTGTAGAATAATAGTGAAGACATCAAAACTATTAAATAACACACATGGAATCATGTTGTAAACAAAAAAATGTTAAACAAATCAAAACATATATTTTATATTTGAGATTCTTCAAATAGCCACCCTTTGCCTTGATGACAGCTTTGCACACTCTTGGCATTCTCTCAACCAGCTTAATGAGGTAGTCACCTGGAATGCATTTCAATTAACAGGTGTGCCTTCTTAAAACTTAATTTGTGGAATTTCTTTCCTTCTTAATGCGTTTGAGCCAATCAGTTGTGTTGTGACAAGGTAGAGGGGGTATACAGAAGATAGCCCTATTTGGTAAAATAGCAAGTCCATATTATGGCAAGAACAGCTCAAATAAGCAAAGAGAAACGACAGGCCATCATTACTTGAAGACATGAAGGTCAGCCTATCCGGAAAATTTCAAGAACTTTGAACGTTTCTTCAAGTGCTGTCGCAAAAACCATCAAGCGCTATAATGAAACTGGCTCTCATGAGGACCGCCACAGGAATGGAAGACCCAGAGAAACCACTGCTGCAGAGGATAAGTTCATTAGAGAGTTACCAGCCTCAGAAATTGCAGCCCAAATAAATGCTTCACAGAGTTCAAGTCACAGACACATATAAACATCAACTGTTCAGAGGGGACTGTGTGAATCAGTCCTTCATGGTTGAAATGCTGCAAAGAAACCACTACTAAAGGACACCAAAAATAAGAAGAGACTTGCTTGGGCCAAGAACCACGAGCAATGGACATTAGAACGGTGGAAACGGTTTGGTCTGGAGTCCAAATTGGAGATTTTTGGTTCCAACTGCCGTGTGAGTGAACGGATGATCTCCACATGTGTAGTTCCCACCGTAAAGCATGGAGGAGCAGGTGTTAGGGTGTGGGAGTGCTTTGCTGGTGACACTGTCTGTGATTTATTTAGAATTCAAGGCACACTTAACCAGCATGGCTACCACAGCATTCTGCAGTGATACGTCATCCCATCTGGTTTGGGCTTTGTGGGACATTTGTTTTTCAAGACCAAGAAGGAGAGTGATGGAGTGCTGCATCAGATGACCTGGCCTCCACAATCCCCCGACCTGACCCCAATTGGGATGGTTTGGGATGAGTTGGACTGCAGAGTGAAGGAAAAGCAGCCAACAAGTGCTCAGCATATGTGGGAACTCCATCAAGACCGTTGGAAAATCATTCCAGGTGAAGCTGGTTGAGAGAATGCCAAGAGTATGCTAAACTGTCATCAAGGCAAAAGGTGGCTATTTGAAGAATCTCAAATATAAAACATATTTTGATTTGTTTAACACTTTTTTGGTTACTACATTTACATTTACATTTTAGTCATTTAGCAGACGCTCTTATCCAGAGCAACTTACAGGAGCAATTAGGGTTAAGTGCCTTGCTTAAGGGCACATCGGCAGATTTTTCACCTAGTCGGCTCGGGGATTAGAACCAGCTACCTTTCGGTTACTGGCACAACGATCTTACCCACTAAGCTACCTGCCGCCCGCTACATGATTCCATATGTGTTATTTCAGAGTTTTGATGTCTTCACTATTATTCTACAATGTAGAAAATAGTAAAAATAAATAAAAACCCTTGAATGAGTAGGTGTGTCAAAACTTTTGACTGGTAGTATGAGATATATATATATACATACAGTGAGGGAAAAAAGTATTTGATCCCCTGCTGATTTTGTACGTTTGACCACTGACAAAGAAATGATCAGTCTATCATTTTAATGGTAGGTTTATTTGAACAGTGAGAGACAGAAAAACAAAACAAAAATCCAGAAAAACGCATGTCAAAAATTGTATCAATTGATTTGCTTTTAATAAGTATTTGACCCCCTCTCAATCAGAAAGATTTCTGGCTCCCAGGTGTCTTTTATACAGGTAACGAGGTGAGATTAGGAGCACACTCTTAAAGGGAGTGCTCCTAATCTCAGTTTGTTACCTGTATAAAAGACACCTGTCCACAGAAGCAATCAATCAATCAGATTCCAAACTCTCCACCATGGCCAAGACCAAAGAGCTCTCCAAGGATGTCAGGGACAAGATTGTAGACCTACACAAGGCTAGAATGGGCAACAAGACCATCGCCAAGCAGCTTGGTGAGAAGGTGACAACAGTTGGTGCGATTATTCACAAATGGAAGAAACACAAAATAACTGTCAATCTCCCTCGGCCTGGCGCTCCATGCAAGATCTCACCTCGTGGAGTTGCAATGATCATGAGAACGGTGAGGAACTACACGAGAGGATCTTGTCAATGATCTCAAGGCAGCTGGGACCATAGTCACCAAGAAAACAATTGGTAACACACTACGCCGTGAAGGACTGAAATCCTGCAGCGCCCGCAAGGTCCCCCTGCTCAAGAAAGCACATATACAGGCCCGTCTGAAGTTTGCCAATTAACATCTGAATGATTCAGAGGAGAACTGGGTGAAAGTGTTGTGGTCAGATGAGACCAAAATCGAGCTCTTTGGCAGCAACGCAACTCGCCGTGTTTGGAGGAGGAGGAATGCTGCCAATGACCCTAAGAACACCATCCCCACCGTCAAACATGGAGGTGGAAACATTATGTTTTGGGGGTGTTTTTCTGCTAAGGGGACAGGACAACTTCACTGCATCAAAGGGACGATGGCCGGCAGGGATGTAGCTCAGTTGATAGAGCATGGCGTTTGCAACACCAGGGTTGTGGGTTCAATTCCCACGGGGGGCCAGTATAAAAAAATATGTATTCACTAACTGTAAGTCGCTCTGGATAAGAGCGTCTGCTAAATGACTAAAATGTAAATGTAAAATGTTATTCTGTCTCTCACTGTTCAAATAAACCTACCATTAAAATTATAGACTGATCATGTCTTTGTCAGTGGGCAAACATACAAAATCAGCAGGGGATCAAATACTTTTTTCCCCCTCACTGTATATATATACAAAATATATTTTGGCATTAAACAGTCTCCATATACAGTTGAAGTCGGAGGTTTTCAACAACTCCACAAATGTATTGTTAACAAACTATAGTTTGGAGGTGTACCTGTGGATATATTTCAAGGCCTACCTTCAAACTCAGTGCCTCTGTTTGACATCCTGGGAAAATGAAAAGAAATCAGCAAAGACCTCAGAAAAAAAATTGTAGACCTCCACAAGTCTGGTTCAACCTTGGGAGCAATTTCCAAACGCCTGAAGGTACCACGTTCATCTGTACAAACAATAGCACGCAAGTATAAACACCATGGGACAACGCAGCCGTCATAACGCTCAGGAAGGAGACGCGTTCTGTCTCCTAGAGATGAACGTACTTTGGTGCGAAAAGTGCAAATCAATCCCAGAACAACAGCAAAGGACCTTGTGAAGATGCTGGAGGAAACAGGTACAAAAGTATCTATATCCACAGTAAAACGAGTCCTATATCGAAATCATTCTCTCTACTATTATTCTGACATTTCACATTCTTAAAATAAAGTGGTGATCCTAACTGACCTAAGACAGGGAATTTTTACTAGGATTAAATGTTAGGAATTGTGAAAAAACGAGTTTAAATGTATTTGGCTACGGTGTATGTAAACTTCCGACTTCAACTGTATACTCCCATTAATTCTTTCAACTGGTACCTGGGGACCTTTAGAGGAGCAAAACAGTTACGTATATGTTCGTGAGAGTCTCACCTTTGCACAGAGGGGTCATATTAGTGTGTAGCCCAAACGTTTCGGATGCTACAGACAGAAGTTGGAACCTGACACTTATGGAGGGTGTAGGCAAAACGGAGAACACCATCGTGTTTATGAGTCTCATCCTTCTATAGAGGGGTCACCGTTTGGACGCTACAGATGATTTTATGAGAAGACCGATTTTCAGGATGTCTCATGGTCTGACAAACAGCGCTCTAGCTCTGTCACCTTTCACCGCAGATGCGTAAGTGCGACATACAGATATCTCTAGCTTAAACTGACAGATTCTTATGGGGATTTTTTTATTAGTCCAATTATATTTCCTCGGGTGCGCGGACATCGACCTTATTAAACAAGATAATCCTTTCGATGAATGCAGTTAGCTCAGGTTCAGTGTTGCAGTAGCTTTTACTGCAAAACCCCACAGAATAGGGCCTAAATTAATACAACAATTCTATGTCTAAACCCTTGGGAAAAAACACACTTAAGAAGCCTGGTTATATAAAAAACTATAATCTCCCAAAAGGCATTGCAATCTATTGCACACGTCCCTTAACAGGCATAGTGATAGAGGCTGGTGGTGGTGAATGGGGTGAGCGAATGACAGAAAGAAGGAACACGAGAGATTGAGAAAGAGGAGAGAGGGGGTACGATAGAGAGTGTGTGTAAAATCCCAGCTGTACTGAGGCAGAACAAGGAAGTGGACCTGGAGTTGAATGAAGTTTGGCTTGCACAGCAAGTCCCTAAGCACTGACCCCACCACAGTGGGCCGAAGGCTCTTTCCCAAGAGATATGAGGGTTTATGGTCATCCACCTCATCATCATCCTCCTTCCCCAGGGGTTTATTTCTCATCAACAGAAGAGAGGAACAATATTTCCTACTAGAGTGCGTACTTGATTTGACACTACCGTCACGTGTGACATCTCCCCTTCACCTTCTCCTCCACACAGGGTAGGAGAGCCATGATGTGAGCCTCCTAGGTTCGAGTCCTGTCCTCCTCCTGCAGTCCCATTGCTGCTCCAGAGGTACAGAGCCAGTCTGTGTCTCTGCACATGGCCAGCAGTAGCACCCAGTGGTCCAGTACCTGTAGGTTTGGTTGGCTGGTGCCCCTGTCCAGACGTGTCCAGGCCCAGCCCCAGGTTTGGACTGAGACTATAGCTTGACGTGGCTCAGGTCCTGGGAGAGACTGTGGAGATAGGCCTCGTGGATGGCACTGAGAAACGCTGGGTCATTCTGCACAGGCATAAACACAGGAGGGAGAAGAGTTATCTTCCAGTCATTTTGTATAACAGTAACAAACAAGTTTCCAGACTTCACACAACTGCTTCAGTTCATTGCATATCGCTTTTAAGTAATACGTTTGGGTAACACTTAATTTGAAGGGCATATACAGAAGGACTTCATAACCTATTTATAAGCAGTTCATGAGCATTTCATAAATGTCAACAACGGCAAGTTGAAATCTGCAGTATAAAACCCTGAACTTGACAAAAGACTTGAAACACAAGGCCAGGGTCTGGGGTGAAAAAGGCTTCATCTCTCGCTCTACCTTGATGAGGTGGATGAGTGTGTCCTGTAGCTGGGTCCTGTTGTAGGGGGGTTGGGGGAGCTCCATGACCCCTGTGGCTGCGGGCGGAGGGGAAGCTTGCCTCTGCACTTCCGTTGTCTTGGCAACAGAATGCTGAAAGGCGCTCGGTGAGAGCAGAACGGAGTGCTCTGCCCCCGGTACCACAAGATCCGCCTTCATAGGGACAGCCTTGGATGGACAAGAGAAAGAGAGAGGGCAGGAAGTGGATGCCATCTACATCATGTGAACACAGAGACTTGTACAATCAAAGCCATCTACATCATGATAACACAATCATACTTACTGGCATGGTTTTCGACAGTTTCTGAGATTGAGCGAACACATCAATTTCTTTAATCTGCGGCTGAGTAAATAAGGGAGTCCTTCAGACATGACAGATTACACTAAGTACGCATCACAAAAAAAGAACAGGGGCAAAAGCAGCTGGTTACCTGCACATGGCCTGTGGGCATGCTGCCGAGGGCAGCGGGCTTGGGGATTGGCTCTCTGAAGCTCTGGGGCGTGGCCAGCGGGCTGGGCAAGACGCTAGGTGCGAGGGCGGGTTTGTGGAGGTCAGAGGGGCTGGGTTTCAGCGAGCCCAGGAGATCCTGCCCCAGGTAGGCCGACAGAGGGCCAGGGGGAGGACCGCAAGCCTCAGCCCCAGATGGAGTAACCAACAGTGGGGACACAGAGTGCTGGGGTTGGGGGTCTCCTGAAGGTCCACCGGGGAACACGGGGTAAAAGGTGTAGCTTGGGCCAGGGCCCCCTCTGGCCTCCATCAGGGGGATCAGACCAGGGGTGAGGTGCCGGTTGTTGCCCCCTGGGTCAGCTGTGAGGTGGGGGGCCAGTAAGGGATGGAAAGGGATGGGTGGGGCGTAACTCTGGGTCTTGAGGAAGCTGACGGGGCCCGGGGCAGCAGGGTCTGTGGAACTCTGGATGGGCATGGCTGGCAGCAGGCTGGCCTCCTTGGGTAGAGAACTGCCAAACAGCTCCTCCACGGTGATCTGCCTCTGGCCAGAGTGGGAGCTCTGCAAATACAGTTACAACAGTCAATATGAAACATACTTATACAGTAAACATTCAATGACTGACAAGTAACAGTCATTTCAGTCATGTGAGAGAACACTTGGTACAGGTAGCGTGTCATCAGACATAGTACAGTCATTTCAACTAGAGTGGTACGTACCTGTTCTGGCTGTGAGGCGCTGTGAGCGCGCTCTGTAGTGTCACCGGCTGATTTCAGCGTCTCTGTGTTCACACTCTGCTCAGTAGTAACGGACATCTCCGTTTCCCCCGCCTGAGTCTAGTTAACACACAGACATATTTATTATTTTGACATTCCTACTAGTGTGTTCAGATGAATGTAAATTGGGATGGGTGTGTGCAATCTCAGCAATTAAAACAAAGAAAAACACTGGGCAGCAGGACTAAGATCTAAGGAAAGAGAGTGACATCAATAAAGAGTAACTAAGACAGACAGACAAGACAGTGAGTTCTTAACTGAGTAAGAGAGAGAAACAGCAGGGGGACATTGCTACCCCATCCACAGCTGGGTGCACACTGTTGGAATAATATTTATTCACATTTTTATCCCTTCTGTGTGTGTGTATAAGAAGAGAGGGCAGTAAAGTCTGTCCAAAAATACTATTCTCTGGACTGTGGTCACGTGTGTGTGTGTGTGTGTGTGGCCCGGGTGATGACTTGATTGTGAAGATTGCTCCCGTCTCTCACCCTGTGGTATTCATCTTTGGCCTTGCTGAGGAGCTCCAGAATGTCGATGGGGCGGGGTTCCGAGCAGCCATTGGTCCTCCCAGGGACGTCGGCCATCTCTGGGGAGCCCCGGTGAGCCTGCAAGGCTTCCTGCTTCACAATCCTGGAGGACAGAGACACAACAAGAGAAACAAACACACAATACAATCTCATGTCTGTAAAGTGCTAAATGGCTCCCCCAGTGGTATGGGTGATGATGGTATTCATATGTGGGTTAGTGGTGGTGTGTTTCACCGGGCCATACTCACTTCACCATGAGCTGAGCGATGCGCTGGCAGTCCTTCTTATCGTAAAACCAGATGCTGTATATACCCACTGTAGGAGGGACACAGAGACAAGAGTGAAATATGACTGACTAGAAGAGATAATGGGAGGGAGAAGGGTTCACTAGAGCCGCATCCCTTAGGAAGAGGGATATTTTAGTTGAGTTCAGCAACTTTATTTAAAAAAAATGTTTTGTCATTTAGCAGACGCTCTTATCCAGAGCGACTTACAGTAGTGAATGCATACACTCATAGTTTTTTCATACTGGTCCGCTGTGGGAATCGAACCCACAACCCTGGCACTACAAGCGCAATGCTCTACCAACTGAGCCACACGGGACTTTCTGAGGAAACAGTGTGTGACAGGAGTGTTTCCCTCCGAGGCTGGTAACCTAGCAACAGTAGTGTTTGGTGCCTGGGGAACCCTGGGATGCATAAACAGGTGTGTGTTTCTCTAAACAGGCCACATTCACATTCTCTAACCGGTTGAAGCACTGATACAACCCTCCACTAACAGATGTGTGGAATACGAGGGAAGGCAGGAGATAAACCTTGGAATCATGGTAAACAGAATAAGTCACCATCCCTTTACGAGTCTCAAAGACAGCCAAGAACCCCACTTTTCCAGGATAGTCTTGCATTCCCTCCCCAGGGGCCTGCAGGCACTAGATGACTGAGGAGGAGTCACAGGGTTCCAGATAACGCTGCCCCTCTGGATGACTGGATCAGACGCCTACAGAACTACCGCTGAGAGCAGACGTGCTGTATCCATCCCATCCATGAGGTGGTTTCCAGGCGGCTCCGGGCCATAGAGGCCCTTGGGCCTGACAGACATACTTTTCCTCAGACTGAGCTCCTGGGCTGGGTTGACCCCTGTTAGTGTGAAGCCATTGGCGGAGGAGACCTATCAGAGGAGATGTTCCTGCTCACTGCGCACCATCAGCCTCAGCGTGACCTCCGGCACAAGGGGAAGGTCATCTTCCAGAGAACCCTGGGACGTTGTCTGCTGAGTGCATTCAGAGGCAAGTCTGACTGGAGGGGTAGTGTGTTTAGTGTGTCAATGTCTGTCTGGTGAATTTGTGTGCATGTATATCTATGCAGTGGTCAGCATGGAAGGGGATTGAAGTGGTGGAATTATGTCAGAGGGAGCATGTGTAAATGTGTGTTATATTCCTGTATGTCTGCCTGGGTTTGATGTGTGTCTGTCTGCTGCACAGACAGGGTAATGTTATTTTCCCATTGGACTAAACAGGAAAATTAAATAGTAGATCGTATGAAGGGATTGCAGTAAAAGACGTAACCCCCTAGTCATCAAAGGGTCTGAAATCTTTCAAGTTCTCTTTTGAATTCCACACAGTTTGACAGATCTGTAATGCCTGTGTGCAAGCAGTGCTTTGCAACTTAATTCCCAAAATGTGTTTATAAAACATTGACGATCTTCCTTATTTATCTGGGGGCACATTACATAAATAGCACATTCAATGCTAAATGTAGCCTAGTAATACATAAGATGTACACCCGCAGCTCTTTTAATGGAAATATAGTTATGGGCAAATCCACGGAAACGGAATATCAGATTTTTCACTTTAAATGTATGCCAAACAAAAAACATTGATTTGTAAGTTTAAACAAACCATACAATGACTACTTTGAACAATTGACACAGTAAAAACAAAAACAAATTACTGGAAAAACTGCGTAGATGTGAAGTTTGGTAACAGAATTACGGTAAAATCTCTCTTAGTTTTATTCTGTTATCAAACTTTGTATCTGCACATTTCTTCCTGTAAATGTGTTTTTGTAAAAGTTTCAGTGGAAATTCTTAAAAAGTAGTCCTTGTGCATAGAGTTGAAATCAATGGTTTTTGTTTGGTGTACATTTTAAAGTGAAAAATCTGAGTCTCAGTGCTATTCTGTTCCAATGGAATTACCCTTATGTTTAGATAATCCATAAAAACATAAAATGTTGGTTAACTACTAATCTAAAAAGGAATTTTAACATGACCCTTGTTATCCCCACACTTTCTTCTCACCTTTCCTGTAGACTAAATTCTGGATATAGAATTTAATCTTCTAGATGTGCAAGCTAGTGGTGCGCGGGTCAGCTGTTTGTTCACCCACACCCGCCCACAATTGCTAATAACCCATCCGCAACCTCCAGACTATAAGTGATAAAGTGAAAATCTGAGGCTCGTACCCAACCCTAGCCCGCAAATATAGAAAATACATTATAGGCTACATTCAGACTGCAGAATAATTTTTGGACAGGGGGTGCTGGGATTTCTGCTTCTAATTTCCGACATTTTGGTAGGCTATTTGTTAGTCAACTTGTCTATAATTAGATACATGTAGCTTCTCTTCTGTCATTATATGTTGCCCCAGAAGACTAAATAAACCCTTACTCAACAGAATAATGTAATAGATCGATAGAATGAATGCTTCAATATAGTTGACGTCGGTGAAGTTCTCTCTGTCATCTTTCGCGGAGCAAAGACATTTAGGAACTGGGGAGAAAATACAATAAAGCAACAACAACAAAAACTATTTTCTGTGGAAAACTTCCATCAGTTTGACCGGTTGTAAGGAAAAAGAAAGCTGTGAAAACGACCCAACGTGTTTCTGATAAGATTTCAGTTCGGCTTCGATGCATATTTGATGTGGTTGAAATACTATCAGCTTTTATGACACATTTATGATGAAGACAGCACCTCTACAGATGGTATCTAACTGAGCTTTACATTCTCTCAAGATGCAGAAATAAATAAATCATATTTCTCCACTCCTGTTCCCAAGTCCTACATTTGGTGCCTACATTTGGTGTATAATTTTACTGCAAGAAATGCTTAATTCTGCAGGAGTTATTATTAAGGCTATAGCCCTATTCGCAAGGGACTAGCATTACTAGAGAACATTGGTTATGTATTTATTACCCCAGAACATCCGTTATTCCAGATGTGCAATATTTTTTAAATTATGCATTTGGCGATGTTCAATTCTTGGCACAAAACGTATAAACAAAAGCATTCACTGTGAAAGTCGACACATGTAGGCCCTTCATATATACAGTGCCTTTGGAAAGTATTCAGACCCCTTTACTTTTTCCACTTTGTTACGTTACAGCCTGTGAGAGAAAAATTACGTATTTACCTGATTTGTTTGATATGAATAGTTAAATGATATACTTAACAAATAGTAAGACATTTCTGTTCTACTAATGCTGTGATTTTGTAAAGGGATGGTTTCCACTCTAGCTCCCTGCAGCTAATCTGGACGTATGGTCACTAGAGATCGCTTGAGCTGACAATTGATTTATGATGGCTACAGCCTGCATTCCATAGACAAGATGTGGTGTGTGTAACCGAGATACAGATAGCCTGGAGGAGATCCTTGCATTTGGGAAACTTAGCCTGGAGGACTAAAATAACACTCATGCAGATAACCACCAGATGAACCCAAGGTGGCTTATGATGCCCCCGATCTGCATGGGAGGGGTGGAACCAGCCAAGCATTTTTAGGTCTGCTATTTAAGACCCTGTATTCTCTGTATGATTTTAAGCTCTCTGCAACACATACTTCAGAGTGTGCGGTCTACCAGCTTCATTATTGCAATAATTAAATCGAAATTGAATTAAGATGATTGTTTGAAGAAATGACAAAGTCTCTCTCACTTGATTAGAATATTCCACAACAAGCCTTATTCTAAAATGGATGCAATAGAAATCAATCTACACACAATAACCCATGATGACAAAGCAAAAACAGGTTTAGAAATGTTTGCTAATGTATTAAAAATAAAAAACAGAAATACCTTATTTACAAAGGCATTCAGACCCTTCCCTATGAGACTCAAAATTGAGCTCAGGTGCATCCTGTTTCCATTGATCATCCTTGAGATGTTTCTAGATTGATTGGAGTCCACCTGTGGTAAATTCAATTGATTGGATATCATTTGAAAGGCACACACCTGTCTATATAAGGTCCCACAGTTGACAGTGCATGTCATAGAGAAAACCAAGCCATGAGGTCGAAGGAATTGTCCGTAGAGCTCCGAGACAGGATTGTGTCAAGGCACAGATCTGGGGAAGGGTACCAAAACATTTCTGCAGCATTGAAGGTCCTCAAGAACACAGTGGCCTACATCATTCTTAAATGGAAGAAGTTTGGAACAACCGAGACTCTTCCTAGAGCTGGCCGCCCGGCCAAACTGAGCAATCGGGGGAGAAGGCCTTGGTCAGGGAGGTGACCAAGAACCCAATGAGAGTTCCTCTGTGGAGATGTGAGAACCTTCCAGAAGGACAACCATCTCTGCAGCACTCCACCAATCAGGCGTTTATGGTAGAGTGGCCAGATGGAAGCCACTCCTCAGTAAAAGGCACATGACAACCTGCTTGGAGTTTGCCAAAAGGCACCTAAAGACTTTCAGACCATGAGAAACAAGATTCTCTGGTCTGATGAAACCAAGATTGAACTCTTTGGCCTGAATGCCAAGCGTCACGTCTGGAGGAAACCTGGCACCATACCTACGGTGAAGCATGGTGGTGGCAGCATCTTGCTGTGGGGATGTTTTTCAGTGGCAGGGACTGGGAAACTAGTCAGGATCGAGGGAAAGATGAACGGAGCAAAGTACAGAGAGACCCTTGATGAAAACCTGCTCCAGAGCACTCAGGACCTCAGACTGAGGCGAAGGTTCACCTTCCACCAGGACAATGACCCTAAGCAAACAGCCAAGACAACGCAGGAATGGCTTCAGGACAAGTCTCTGAATGTCCTTGAGTGGCCCAGCCAGAGCCCGAACATGAACCCGATCGAACATCTCTGGAGAGACCTGAAAATAGCTGTGCAGCAACGCTCCCCATCCAACCTGACAGAGCTTGAGAGGATCTGCAGAGAACAACGAGAGAAACTCCCCAAATACAGGTGTGTCAAGCTTGTAGCGCCATACCCAAGAAGACTCAAGGCTGTAATCGCTTCAAGAAAGGATTGAGTAAAGGGTCTGAATACTTACGTAAATGTGATATTGATTTATTAATTTTTTATATATAGTACCAGTCAAAAGTTTGGACACACCTACTCATTCAAGGGTTTATCTTTATTTTTGACTATTTTCTACATTGTAGAATAATAGTGAAGACATCAAAATTATGAAATAACACATGGAATCATGTAGTAACCAAAAACGTGTTAAAACAAATCTAAATATATTTTAGATTCTTCAAAGGAGCCACCCTTTGCCTTGATGACAGCTTTGCACACTCTTGGCATTCTCTCATCCAGCTTCACCTGGAATGCTTTTCCAACAGTCTTGAAGGAGTTCCCACATATGCTGAGCACTTGTTGGCTGCTTTTCCTTCACTCTGCGGTCCAACTCATCCCAAACCATCTCAATTGGGTTGAGGTCGGGTGATTGTGGAGGCCAGGTCACATGATGCAGCACTCCATCACTCTCCTTCTTGGTCAAATAGCCCTTACACAGCCTGGATGTGGGTTGGGTCATTGTCCTGTTGAAAAGCAAATAATAGTCCCACTAAGCCCAAACCAGATGGGATGGTGTATCGCTGCAGAAATAAATCACTGACAGTGTCACCATCACACCTCCTCCTCCATGCTTCAAGGTGGGAACCACACATGCGGAGATCATCCGTTCACCTACTCTGCGTCTCACAAAGACACGGCGGTTGGAACCAAAAATCTCAAATTTGGACTCATCAGACCAAAGGACAGATTTCCACCGGTCGAATGTCCATTGCTTGTGTTTCTTGGCCCAAACAAGTCTCTTCTTATTGGTGTCCTTTAGTAGTGGTTTCTTTGCAGCATTTCAACCATGAATGCCTGATTCACGCAGTCTCATCTGAACAGCTGATGTAGAGATGTGTCTGTGACTTGAACTCTGTGAAGCATTTATTTGGGCTGCAATTTCTGAGGCTGGTAACTCTAATGACCTTATCCTCTGCAGCAGTGGTAACTCTGGGTCTTCCTTTCCTGTGGCGGTCCTCATGATAGCCAGTTTCATCATAGTGCTCTATGGTTTTTGCGACTGCACTTGAAGAAACTTTTTAAAGTTCTTGAAATTTTCCGGATTGACTGACCTTCATGTCTTAAAGTAATGATGGATTGTCGTTTCTCTTTGCTTATTTGAGCGGTTCTTGCCATAATATGGACTTGGTCTTTTACCAAATAGGGTTATCTTCTGTATACCACCACTACCTTGTCACAACACAACTGATTGGCTCAAACGCATTAAGAAGGAAAGAAATTCCACAAATTAACTTTTAACTACCTCATGAAGCTGGTGGAGAGAATGTCAAGAGTGTGCAAAGCTGTCATCAAGGCAAAGGGTGGCTACTTTGAATAATCTCAAATATAAAATATATTTTGATTTGTTTAACACTGTTTTGGTTACTACATGATTCCATATGTGTTATTTCATAGTTTTGATGTCTTCACTATTAAAGAAAAACCCTTGAATGAGTAGGTGTGTCCAAACTTGTCATTATAGAGTATTGTGTGTAGATTGATGAAGAAAAAAAACAATTGAATCCATTTTAGAATAAGGCTGTAATGTAACAAAATGTGGAAAAGGTCAAGGGGTCTGAATACTTTCCGAATGCACTGTAGGTTATGCACTTCGTTCAATTTATCGAATTAGTTATTGTTTTCTTGCTCAAACCGGGAGCAACACCTGTCAAACTCAGACATTTCTCTCAAAACACAGGGATGTCAATTTGCACGGGACTAGTATTGACAGAGGACTTTGGAGTTTGCCAAAAAACAGTAGGTTATTCTGGTTAGTCAATGTCCAGATTTCAGTTTCCATTTAACCCATCTAAACAGTAGGCTACAGTTCCCTTGAGATGCCATAGGCCTATTTGAAGTCCTGTCTTGTGACTGTCAAATTTGTATACAGCCTCACAATCATCACACATAACATAGCCGGCACTGCTATCATCCTCTTTTACCACAAACATTACTTTTCTGGCCCTCCCTTCTCTTTATTTTCAACTCTCCTTTCACAGCTTTTGTCTTATTGAATTAAAGTTCCACAATGTTATTTTTGCCTTTGTGGCTTGATGTTAACATTTTCTGCCCTTCCCAAAAGCATTATTTGGCGATTGGCTGTGTAGGCTATTTGGCACGCATACAGTTAAACCCTAAAGTTTAGGTTTATGCAGTAATACCAGATAGCCTAAAACAAAAAATGTTAAACTCAATGTGCCCTATATATATATTGCACAATAATTATACATTTATGGATTTTTTGAGATATTGTTTATCGTTATTCAACCCGCCCGCCACCCACCCGCCCTTCAGCCACACAATATTTAATGACCCTAAACCCATCCGCCCACGGGGACTGCGGGTTATGAGTCAACCCACAAATCACTAGTGCAGGCTACATGGTATGGACAGTAACAATTTTTTTTTAAATAGCTCCATCTTTAAGTTATTGCAAAGCAGCCATTGGGGTTGAAATCTCAGACTGACTAGTGGACTATTATGAAATAGCCTACTCACAGTTAGCATTTCTGTACAGCAGGAAGGGGTCTTGGAGCTGAAACTCAAGGTCTTTGTTGATGGGCTCCACCAGATTCTCTGTGCTCAGGCGATTCATGATGGTGAAGCCATGATGAGGGGATGCAGACCTGTGGACAGGTTATTGGAGAGCAATGGAGAAAGACTATTAGGCTAAATGTGTTCATGTCTCAAAGATAAAAGCAAAGAGAGTGGTGAAATTGAAGAGAGCAACAGGGAGGGTGGAGGTGAGGGGAGAGAGGAAGAGATCAATTAGGGAGGCATAGACATGAGGACAGGTGGTGAGACAACCACAGATAAAAGGGGGTTAGGCCCTAGTTAGCTAGCTAAGTATCTTTACAATAACAGTGCCCCCTTCAAAAAAGGTCACCATAAAAAGCAATTACCTGGCATAAACAAATAAGGTGCCTTCAATTTCGGTCTTTTCCTGAAATGGAAATATGCAGAAAAATTACAACTTGAACTTGCTGAACACGAATCGATCATCAAGTAAAAGAAGAAGAATCACAACATGCAAAAGTTAGCTGATATTTGGTCTGGGTGCGTTCAGTTCATTAAACGTTCTATGAGTTCCATGAGTTGGTACAAACTGAAAGGGTGCGTACACTGCCACCAGGAATTTGTTGTTTGAACAGGTATAAAGCCAAGGTTGGCGATTTACTGCCACATGCAATTATGGAATGTTTGCTCAGGAGTATAATTTATTGGCTGATCCCGCCAGATGACCTGGATGGAATTATGTGATCCTTCCTTAACCCATAGGAAGTCCCAACCAGTTGACTACTTCAAAAAGGTGAAAGTCCTTATTGGCGCTGCCCATGCTAAAACAGGCTTTTGGGCACTATCATTGGTCGTGTCCCCCCTGCTCAGATGTTACATGCAGAGGAACGCGCCCCTGCTCTTGGGATGTAACCATTTGTATTTGAAAAATATATAAAAAAACTGGTCGTTCAGAACAGCAGTTTCCGTTGAATCAAACATTGCACACCGTTGTGTTCTGCTGAACGAGGCCGAGGGCTCTAAAATATTTTGCTATGCACCCAGGAGTTATATTTTGGGAGCACTGTGCAACTAGGAAAACAATCTCCCAGATAATAATTGTTGTAATGTTGAAAAGGCTTTGCTGTACTGTTGTTTCAAAGTGCCCTAGAGAAAAAAGCGAGCGCAGATTCGATAGTGTCATAGTTGCACCATTACTACAGCGAAAAAGGCTTGATTGTAGCCCAACCAGGTTGTAAAAAACTCTGGCCCTTTCAATCGGACTGGCTTTCAGACCTATCAATCACTCATTCATTTGTTCCAACCAATCAGGGCGCTTGGACATGCTCCAGGGCACCTTATGTTAAGGCGTGCTTTGCAGTCTTTAGAAAGAAGAACAGTTTGATGCTGACAGACTTTTCACATGCTGCCTTTCTACTGAAGTGCTGTTCGTCCATTGACAAGTGAGTGTTGGGAATGTTATTGTGCTAATAGGGGGTGCAATAGTAGTGAGTTATGGTTACATTATTGTGCAGCGTAACTGTGTAGATAAGTTTGCAAGTAAGAACTTAGTATTATTTGCTAGCGCTCAGCTAATGCTAGCTCTACTGTTTGTTTGAATGTACCCCAACCAATAAGAAGTTAGTGTTGTTTGCTAGCGCTTGGCTAATGCTAGCTCTACTGTTTGTTTGAATGTACCCCAACCAAGTAAGAAGTTAGTGTTGTTTGTTAGCGCTCGGCTAATGCTAGCTCTACTGTTTGTTTGAATGTACCTTGTGCATGCTACTTCATCTAGTTTTGTAATTCATGGCAATAAGTGTGTTCATTGAGTGTGACTAGCCTCCTCATTAGTATTGTATTAGCAATGTTTGTATTACTTGCATACTCCTGCTGCAATATGTATAGTCTCTAGCGCATGTTCAGAGGCCCTAAGATAAGATCTCAGCCAGTCCATAGGGAGACATAAAGCTCCTATTTATTTCTCCCTCTCTGGCTGTATATTCTTGATGTAGATGCTATACTATTGTATTCCTTGATATGTTTATATTATGTCAGTTTTCTTATCTGCTTATTGTTGTATTGCATGTATATTTATTTAGTCTACTCTAACTGAATCTTAATGATTGTATTATTCTGCCTTTCCAGAACCACACAATTATATAAACATCTTCATATGGAAGCAGATGTGTCCACGAGTGTTTGTGTGTGTGGTGGTGACAAAGTGTATAGTAATGGGCCTCAACATGAAGTTCTGACAGGACAACACTATAGTGGGCAGATCTGAGTGAATCAGCATTAGGTACTAGCGGGTGAGGGCATTCAAAGCTGACCGCTCAGACGAGTTCCGGATAGCCGTTTTTACATGGTCCTTTGAGCCGAATTTAGCGACTAACGTTTTTATATATATATTTTTTAACATTTTTTTTAATGGTCCTTCGTATCGCCGGATTCTGGCCTGCTATAGTTGAGATGTTTAGGTATCCCACCTCAGCCCACACAAAGTAGCCACGCACCCGAGGATGAGCTGTGAGGCCTTACACCCCTCTCCCATCCAAGATTCTTCAAGCCCTGCTCCAGGCTTCCTCAGTGGTAATGGAGTAACCACACCCTCTCAAGTTGGGAGCTGCAGAGGGACTACGAGGAGCTGCTCTATTACATTTACGTCATTTAGCAGATGCTCTTATCCAGAGCGACTTACAAATTGGTGCATTCACCTTATAGCCAGTGGGATAACCACTTTACAATTTAGAAGGATTACTTTATCCTATCCCAGGTGTTCCTTAAAGAGGTGGGGTTTCAAATGTCTCCGGAAGGTGGTGAGTGACTCCGCTGTCCTGGCGTCGTGAGGGAGCTTGTTCCACCATTGGGGTGCCAGAGCAGCGAACAGTTTTGACTGGGCTGAGCGGGAACTGTGCTTCAGCAGAGGTAGGGGAGCCAGCAGGCCAGAGGTGGATGAACGCAATGCCCTCGTTTGGGTGTAGGGACTGATCAGAGCCTGAAGGTACGGAGGTGCCGTTCCCCTCACAGCTCCGTAGGCAAGCACCATGGTCTTGTAGCAGATGCGAGCTTCAACTGGAAGCCAGTGTAGTGTGCGGAGGAGCGGGGTGATGTGAGAGAACTTGGGAAGGTTTCTGCGGCATTCTGGATGAGTTGTAGGGGTTTAATGGCACAGGCAGGGAGCCCAGCCAACAGCGAGTTGCAGTAATCCAGACGGGAGATGACAAGTGCCTGGATTAGGACCTGTGCCGCTTCCTGTGTAAGGCAGGGTCGTACTCTCCGAATGTTGTAGAGCATGAACCTACAGGATCGGGTCACCGCCTTGATGTTAGCGGAGAACGACAGGGTGTTGTCCAGGGTCACGCCAAGGCTCTTCGCACTCTGGGAGGAGGACACAACGGAGTTGTCAACCGTGATGGCGAGATCATGGAACGGGCAGTCCTTCCCCGGGAGGAAGAGCAGCTCCGTCTTGCCGAGGTTCAGCTTGAGGTGGTGATCCGTCATCCATACTGATATGTCTGCCAGACATGCAGAGATGCGATTCGCCACCTGGTTATCAGAAGGGGGAAAGGAGAAGATTAGTTGTGTGTCGTCTGCGTAGCAATGATAGGAGAGGCCATGTGAGGATATGACAGAGCCAAGTGAGAGGGAAGAGATCAGGAGGGTGTACTCTAGGAGAGGCACAGGAGCGCCAGGTCCGCTTCTGCTCTCCACAGATGAAGACAACTCCAGAGTGCACAGTCCAGCACACCAAGGTCTGCACCCCCCTCAGCCAGAGCTTTGACTAGCCATTGTTAAGGAGACTCCCGCTCCAAGCCAGCTGCTGCCATGGGGCCTGTTCTGGTTGCCGTTGCGGAGTCGTCCTCTCCTCCCAGTGGGGATCCTCGACTGTCTGCTGCCCTGGAACAAAGTCTCCACCTGCCTCTCCCCCTCCTGGAACGGAGCCCAAGCCAGCAGTGGATTCTTTGACCGCTCCTAGGATGGAGCCACAGCCTGCAGCTACTGCAGATGTCAAGTGCAGCCAGGACATTGGGGATTCTCCAGCCACGCCTGCCAGCACCGTGCTAGTTCCAGGGTTATAGTACCCTTCCTACCCTGTAGGGTCAGCGTCCCTGCGTCCCCTTCCCGGTAGGGTCAGCGTCCTCCCGTCCCCTTCCTACCCGGTAGGGTCAGCGTCCCCTTCCTTCCCGGTAGGGTCAGCGTCCCCTTCCTTCCCGGTAGGGTCAGCGTCCCCTTCCTTCCCGGTAGGGTCAGCGTCCCCTTCCTTCCCGGTAGGGTCAGCGTCCCCTTCCTTCCCGGTAGGGTCAGCGTCCCCTTCCTTCCCGGTAGGGTCAGCGTTCCCTTCCTTCCCGGTAGGGTCAGAGTTCCCTTCCTTCAAATCAAATCAAATCCAATTTTATTGGCCACATTCGCCGAATACAACAGGTGCAGACATTACAGTGAAATGCTTACTTACAGCCGTGCAAATAGTCCGGGTAGCCATGATTAGCTGTTCAGGAGTCTTATGGCTTGGGGGTAGAAGCTGTTGAGAAGTCTTTTGGACCTAGACTTGGCACTCCAGTACCGCTTGCCGTGCGGTAGCAGAGAGAACAGTCTATGACTAGGGTGGCTAGAGTCTGACAATTTTGAGGGCCTTCCTCTGACACCGCCTGGTATAGAGGTCCTGGATGGCAGGAAGCAGTTGCCATACCAGGCAGTGATGCAACCAGTCAGGATGCTCTCGATGGTGCAGCTGTATAATTTTTTGAGGATCTGAGAACCCATGCCAAATCTTTTCAGTCTCCTGAGGGGGAATAGGCTTTGTCGTGCCCTCTTCACGACTGTCTTGGTGTGTTTGGACCATGATAGTTCGTTGGTGATGTGGACACCAAGGAACTTGAAGCTCTCAACCTGTTCCACTACAGCCCCATAGATGAGAATGGGGGCGTGCTCAGTCCTCTTTTTTTTGCTGTAGTCCACAATCATCTCCTTTGTCTTGGTCACGTTGAGGGAGAGGTTGTTATCCTGGCACCACAGGGCCAGGTCTCTGACCTCCTCCCTATAGGCTGTCTCATCATTGTCGGTGATCAGGCCTACCACTGTTGTGTCGTCTGCAAACTTAATGATGGTGTTGGAGTTGTGCCTGGCCATGCAGTCATGGGTGAACAGGGAGTACAGGAGGGGACTGAGCACGCACCCCTGAGAGGCCCCCGTGTTGAGGATCAGTGTGGCAGATGTGTTGTTACCTACCCTTACCACCTGGGGGCGGCCCGTCAGGAAGTCCAGGATCCAGTTGCAGAGGGAGGTGTTGAGTCCCAGGATCCTTAGCTTAGTGATGAGCTTTGAGGGCACTATGGTGTTGAATGCTGAGCTGTAGTCAATGAATAGCATTCTCACGTAGGTGTTCCTCTTGTCCAGGTGGGAAAGGGCAGTGTGGAGTACAATAGAGATTGCATCATCTGTAGATCTGTT